GTGTGTGTGTGTGTGTGTGTGTGTGTGTGTAGGGTGGCGTGCCTGCCTGTTGCAGCACTGGTGGGGCCACGGAGCAGGGAGATCACGGCCAGCCATTGGCTGAGCCTCTGCCAGCAACACAATGCTGCAAAAGAGGCTGGCGCTCACACACGCACAAGGCGACGTGCAGTGGCATCCAGGGTTGTGCAAGGCTGTTGCCCAGACTTCAGGTGGTCCATGTTTGGGGAAGGTGTTTGGGGTGGGTTGGGGGGGAAGCAGCTGCTTGGGGGGGGGGATGCTGGCGTGGCCCCTGTGCTGCTAGGGGGCTGGATTCAAGACACCGAGGTTTTCTCTAAGTCGATGCCCAAGTTGGTACATTACACGAAATAAGCCAGATGTGGGCACCGCCTCAATCTTTTGGAAAAGAAGACAAAGGCGTGCATGATCAGGAAATCAAAAGATAAAATTAAATCGCCATCCTCTCTTCTCTGGACCCCCCCCCCTCTCTCTCTTCATTAGCTAGAGGACGATGGGAGTTGGCGTCACACAACACTGGAAGTTTTTAAGCAGAAACTGGACAGCCCTTTGTCCGAAATGGTCTAGGGTTTCCTGCCTGAGCAGGGGGTTGGACTAGATGACCTCCAAGGTCCCTTCCAACTTTATTACTATTACTATTTGTTAAGCGAATTTTGCCCCATCTTAACGGATTCCCTGCCCGCAGCTGTTAAGTGACTCACAGCCATGGCTAAATTAGTAACACTGTCGTTAAGCGGATCCAGCTTCCCGCATTGACTTTGCCTGCCGGAAGGTCGCAAAAAGGGATTATTATTATTATTATTACAAGTTCAGAGACACGCACAGACCAGAAGACCGGTATGAAGGCAGATGCCGAAGCTGCAACTCTCAGCCTTGGTCTTCCTGCAGCTGGGCCAGGATCCCTTAAACGGGAGCCAGCTGTGTGCGGCAGCAGCCAAAAAAGCTCACACAATCCTGGGTTGTATAAACAGAGACATAGAATCGAAATCATGCGAGGGGACCGCTTTGTAAAGCCTTAGTAAAGCCACACCTGGAATACCTGCATCCAGTTTTGGCCACTGCATTACCAAAAAGATGTTGAGACTTAATGATAATCCATAATGTTGGAAAGGGACCTTGGAGGTCATCTAGTCCAACTCCCTGCTCAGGCAGGAAACCCTAGACCATTTGGGGGGGGGGGGAAAGTGCAAAGAAGAGCAACGAAGAGGATTAAAGGCCTGGAGGCTAAAACATAAAGACGTACGAAGATCGGTTCTGGGGATTTGGGAATGGCCAGTCTAGAGAAAAAAAAAGAGGACTAGGGGGGACATGATAGAAGTATTCCAAAATTGGAGGGGCTGCCACAAAAAAGAGGAGGGGGTCAACTTATTTTCCAAAGCACCAGAAGGCAGGACAAGAAGCAGCAGGTGGGAACTAATGAAGGAGAAGCAATCTAAATTTCCTGACCGTGAGAACGATTAGCCAGTGGAACAGCTTGCCACTAGAAGTTGTGGGTGCTCCATCCCTGGAGCTTTTTAGGAAGAGACTGAACGGCCCTCTGTCTGGCATGGTCTAGGGTACGGGTAGGCAACCTTGGCTCTTTTATGACTCGTGGACTTCAGCTTCCAGAATTCCTGAGCCAGCACAGCTGGCTCAGGAATTCTGGGAGTTGAAGTCCACGAGTCATAAAAGAGCCAAGGTTGCCTACCCCTAGTATAGTCTCCTGCTTGAACCAGGGGTTGGGCTAGAAGACCTCCAAGGTCCCTTCCAGCTCTATTTTGATTCTGAAATTAAATCTCCCATCATCCCTTCTCCGGACCTTTTCTCTCTCTTTGCTTCCCGGACTGGAGGATGATGGGAGTTGGAGTCATACATGTTCGGACAATGCACAGGAGACCTGAGTGAAAGCAGTTGCTGAACCAGCCAGCCTGTTCCCAGCTCCGGTCTTTCTGCAGCCGGGGCTGGATCCGGCCCCTCTACCTACCAGCCCTGGCCTTCCCTTGCCAGGTGCCCTCCCCCCCACTGTGGCTGCATGCCCATCATCCATTCCCCGTCTGGACCTGGGACCGGACAATGCTCAGACGAGGCATTTTGGAGGAGAAAAATGGCCTTAAAACATCTTTTTTGATTATCCTCTTGACATATTCTCATTGTGTTCTCTTCCATTGTTTATTTTCTGGCTTTTATTACAGGCAACCGCCGACTTACAGCGGTTCATTTAGTGACCGTTCCAAGTTACAACCGCGCTGGAAAAAGGACCGTTTGTCGTGCATCCGTTGCTGCATTTCCCCCCCCCCCAGGGTCGCGTGATTTGCATTCCGATGCTTGACCACACCGGCTCACGTTTATGATGGTCGCTGCCTCCTGGAGGGGTGGTGTCACATGATCTCTTTTTGCGACCTTCCGGCAGGCAAAGTCAATGGGGGAAAGCTGGATCCGCTTAACAACGGTGTTACTAATTTAGCCACGGCTGTGAGTCGCTTAACAGCTGCGGGCAGGGAATCCGTTAAGATGGGGCAAAATTCGCTTAACAAATAGTAATAGTAATAAAGTTGGAAGGGACCTTGGAGGTCATCTAGTCCAACCCCTTGCTCAGGCAGGAAACCCTACACCATTTCGGACAAGTGGCTGTCCAGTCTCTTCTTAAAAACTTCCAGTGTTGGAGCATTTACCGCTTCTGGAGGCAGGTTGTTCCACTGGTTAATTGTTCTCACTGTCAGCAAGTTTCTCCTTAGTTCTAGGTTGCTTCTCTCCTTGATTAGCTTCCATCTGTTGCTTCTTGTCCTGCCTTCAGGTGCTTTGGAAAATAGCTTGACTCCCTCTTCTTTATGGCAGCCCCTGAGATATTGGAATACTGCTATCATGTCTCGCTTAACAACAGAAACGGGGGATTGTGGTCATAAGTCGATTGTGGTTGTAAGTCAAGGACTGCCTGTATTTTACTTCTGTTTTCCTTATTGTAAGCTGCCTCGAGTAACCCCACAGAGAGCAAAGGGGCAAATAAAATTTAACTAATGAGTAAACAAACGCAACGTGAAGGTTTTTGGGGTTGTTTTTTTTTTTTTTAGCCAATGCCATGGAAGAAGTTGGCTGCTTGTTCCCTTCTTCCAAATGTTTTTTTTTTTTATCATTTCTGTCGGACTGCAAGACTTGGATTTCTTTGCGGTCTCCCATCCAAGCAGAACTGGGATCCTTGGCTGCCTCGCCCAGCTCAATTCAGCCAGATGCCGCCTCTGAAGTCCTGCTCCAAAGGAGACCTTAATGCCCCAACTAAGACCTCAAGTTTCTTGAACTTGGTCCCTTTAAGAGTGGACTTCAACTCCCAGAATTCCCCAGCTTTAATGCCTTTCTTCCTTCACACTGGGCAAATCGTCAGCTCCACCACTGCCTGCGCCCGTGTCTGAAAACTGAACAACTCAGGAGCCAAAGTTTAACGGCAGAGAGATCTGGGTTTAGATTTAGACTTAAGATTTTGATGGACGGGGAGGGAGAAACAGATATGGAGATGCAGGGATGGATGGATGGATGGATGGATGGAGAGAGATAATAGATATATAGATCCAGAGACGATTGATTGATAGACAGACAGACATAGATATATAGACGGGGAAGAAATGGAGGTAGTGACAGATTTTATCCTCCTGGACTCCAAAATCACCGCAGATAATAATAATGATAATAATAAAGTTGGAAGGGACCTCAGAGGTCATCAAGTCCAACCCCCTGCTCAGGCAGGTAACCCTATACCATGTCGGTTGGGGACTGCAGCCAAGAAATTAAAAGACGCTTGCTCCTGGGGAGGAAAGCTATGGCAAATCTAGACAGCATACTAAAAAACAGAGACATCACCCTGCCAACAAAAGTGCGTATAGTCCAGGCCATGGTTTCCCAGTTGCAATGTGTGGCTGTGAAAGCTGGACCATAAGAAAGGCTGAGCACCAAAGAATGGAGGCCTTTGAACTCTGGTGCTGGAGAAGACTCCTGCGAGTCCCCCAGACTGCAAGGCGATCCAACTGGTCAGTCCTGGAGATCAACCCCAACTGCTCTTTAGAAGGCCAGATCCTGAAGTTGAAACTCAAATACTTTGGCCACCTAATGAGAAGGAAGGACTCACTGCAGAAGGGCCTAATGCTGGGAAAGATGGAGGGCAAGAGAAGAAGGGGACGACAGAGAATGAGATGGCTGGATGGAGTCCCTGAAGCAGGAGGCGTGAACTTCAATGGACTCCAGAAGATGGTAGAGGACAGGAAGACCTGGAGGAACGTTGTCCATGGGGTCACGATGGGTCGGACACGACTTCGCAACTAAGAACAAGATGATAGATAGGTATAGGAGGCAGACAGATCTAAGTAGACCAGGGGTTCTCAACCTTGGCAACTTGAAGACTTGTGGACTTCAACTCCCAGAATTCCTCAGCCAGCAAAGCTGGGAGTTGAAGTCCACAAGTCTTCAAGTTGCCAAGGTTGAGAACCCCTGAAGTAGACAGATAAGTGGATAGACAAATGGGTGAGGGGTGGGGAACTACGGCCCCTTTATGACTTGTGGACTTCAAATCCCAGAATTCCCCAGCCACCATGGCTGCTTTGCTGCCTTTCTTCTTTGCTGCATCCCCCTGGTCACATTGATTCACATTCGGATTCTTGACAAGCAACTCACACTTATGACGGTCGCAGTGTCGTGTGTGCGCGCACGTGCGTGTGTGTCCTGTGATCACCTTTGGCAGCCTTCTGATGAATGAAGTCCACGGGGGGGGGGGCAGATTAACTGAAGAGCCGTGTGACTAATTTATCAGCGGCCGTCATTCACTCAACCAACGTGGCATGGAAAGGTGTAAAAACGGGGCAGTTAACAACCTTCTCACTTAGCGACGTACATTTTGGGCTCCGTTGTGGGTCTTTTAAGTCGAGGACTTAGCTGTGTTTTGCTGCGGACTCGGTCTTGGGAGTCCAAAGTTGGCAGCTGGCCTGGCTATGTCGAACTTGGACAGACAACGTGCACACGGGGGGTGGTGGGTGGGCTGCATTTTTGTTCTCTTTAATTTACAGAGGGGGGGGGGGTAGAAGACCCTTGTGGACACGAGGAGGCCCCCCCCGCCGCCTCCCCAGAGCGCTAAGTCAATTCCAAGGCTGGCCAGGGCTGCGGAAAGAGGGAAGGGGGTACCAAAGACCCCCAATTTCTCGCCCCCCAAACTTGTGAGAAAAAGCGCTTCTGGAAGGAAGAGCACAGACCCTCTCACTTCTCCCCCCCATTTGGCTCTCCTGCATGTGTGGGACCCCGATCCCTGGGCTTGGGCAGACAACGCCCCCCCCCTCCCCGCCCCGGGGTCCGGCTCAGCCTCTCGACTCAGCTGCAAGGAAAGGACCGTTCTGGAAGTTTCCGCGAGTTTCCGAGCCGGCCCCGCTTTGGCACAAAAACGCAGGCCGGAGTAAAGCTGGCAAAGCGTGACCCAGAAGTTAAGTCCTGGGGGGCAGAGGGCTCCCCCGTGCTCGGACGCCAGCAGACTTCCAAATCTGAAGACCAGATTACAAAAAAAAAAAAAAAGGGGGGGGGGGTCCAGCAGGAAGGTCTCCCAGCCTCTGATTCTGAGCCAGCACCCCGGGCCAGCCCCGCTGCAACCAAAGGGGTGGGGATGTCCATCGTGCTGGACTGTGCGCAGAACGGGGGGGGGGGCGCTCTGCGGGACCGCTGCCGACTCCCTCTTGCCCCCCCCCGGTCCTTCCTCCCCCCCTCCTGGGGGGTGGGGAGCTCATAGGATCTGCTCGGTGCTTGAGGCAGAGATGTCCAGCAACCGCCAGGCAGCGAAGGGGTTCAGCTCTTCGGGGTCCCTGCAGAGGGCCCAGACGTACAGCATGCGCAGGACCTTCTCCTGTGTGGGGGGGGAAGAGGAAGGAAGGGTTGGGGGGGGTGAAGGTTGGCACGGTTCAGGCAGCAGAAGACAACCCTGGTTGGAAAAGACACGCCCCCCCCACAGCCCCCTGCGTTTTCCCCAAGCCAACAGCTGGTTAAAGGGCGCTCCTGACTGGCAGCCTTCTTGGAGGGTCTGCATCAGGGGGTCTATAAACTTGGCCCTTTTATAACTTGTGGACTTCAACTCCCAGAATTCCTCAGCCAGCCGGGGGGGGGGGGGAAGGATGGGTGGAGATAGATAGATAGATAGATAGATAGATAGATAGATAGATAGATAGATAGATAGAAAAAGAAAGAAAGAAAGAAAGAAAGAAAGAAAGAAAGAAAGAAAGAAAGAAAGAAAGAAATTGGATAGATGGATAGATAGATATTGGATGGATGGATAGATAGAAAGAAATTGGATGGATGGACAGATAGAAATTGGATGGATGGATGGATGGATGGATGGATGGATAGATAAAGAAAGAAAGATATTGGATGGATGGATGGATGGATAGATAGATAGAAAGATAGAAAGAAATTGGATGGATGGATGGATAGAAATTGGATGGATGGATGGATGGATAGATAGATAGAAAAAGAAAGAAAGATATTGGATGGATGGATAGATAGAAATTGGATGGATGGATGGATGGATAGATAGAAAGAAATTGGATGGATGGATAGAAAGAAAGAAATTGGATGGATGGATGGAAAAAGAGAAAGAAAGAAAGAAAGAAAGAAAGAAAGAAAGAAAGATATTGGATGGATGGATAGAAAGAAAGAAATTGGATGGATGGATGGATGGATGGAAAAAGAGAAAGAAAGAAAGATATTGGATGGATGGATAGATAGAAAGAAAGAAATTGGATGGGTGGATGGATGGATGGATAGATAGAAAAAGAGAGAAAGAAAGATATTGGATGGATGGATAGATAGAAAGAAAGAAATTGGATGGATGGATGGATGGATGGATGGATGGATGGATGGATGGATGGATAGATAGATAGATAATAGGAAGATTGGATGGATGGAGATATAGATTAGATAGATAGACAGACAGACATTAAATCCAGCCTCCTTTGATTGATTGTGGCCTGTCTTTATCTTCCTTCTCAACCAAGGTGATTCGAATGGAGCAAGAAGCCCCCGGGGTGGGGTGGGGGGAACGGCCCCTTACCGGATCTCCTTCCACGACCTCTCCCTTTGGGTTCTTCAGCACCATCACCAGCTGAGCCTGGAAGGTGATGATCAGCACCGGCCCCTGCTCCATCATCTTCCCCATCGCCAGCTGAAAGAGGGGACCTTTCAAGGCGCTAGTCCATCAGGCGTCGGCGGGACTGGCCCGGCCCAAGCGACGAAACTTGCTAGTCCATAAGCCAGGTTGCACAGGGATGTCCAGCCTGGCTCGGGCGAATGGGACGGCCCACCCTCCCCCCCCCAGCTTCTTGCTTAGGGCTCAGAAACCGACCAAGATGGCCACGGATGTTATCGGGCATCGGGGGACGTGGGCATCCGCGGGAACCTGGAGCATTTGCTCCAAAGGGTGGGGGATCAGGCCTGGCAGGTGGGCAGAGAGGCCCCCAAGGACTGGGTGGGGGGCTGTCTACGCTACTGGGGCTCCATGGGGGGAATGGGCCGGGGTGCCGGGGGAGCAGCCGGGAGTCCGAACTAGCAGTGGGGTCCCCTAGCAGGAGCTACTCACGTCCACGTTGTCCACGTCCAGGATTTTGGAGTGGAACTGGAGCCCCATGGCCCTGGCCTGCTGGATGGGCTGGGCCAGCTGGCTGTAGGTCTGAAAGAGAGGAAGGCGCCCGGTTCAAGAGTCCGGCCTCGTTGCCCCGGACAGGCGAGCAGTTCAGGAGGGGGGGGGCGGCCGTCTCGGCTGCAGCTCTAAGGAAACCTCCGTAGGCCCAAGGATCACTTCTTTTTCCCCCCCAAGGGAAATCAAGCATCTAGTCCTCAGCACTGCATAGGCCCGTTTAGAATCAGGCACCCCAAATCTGCTAAAAAACAAAATTCATCATGGCCCTCATTGCCTTTGGCGAATTTAACCAAAGCACCAGGAATCCTGTTGTCTGTCTATCTATCTAATCTATATCTCCATCCATCCATCTATCATCCATCCAATCTTCCTATTATCTATCTATCTACCCATCTATCCATCCAATTTCTTTCTATCATCCATCCATCCAATATCTATCTATCCATCCAATTTTTCTCTTTCTTTTTCTTTCATTTTCTATCTATCTCCATCCCTCCATCCAATTATCATCTATCTATCCATCCAATTTCTATCCATCCATCCATTCTATCATCCATCCATCCATCCATCCATCCAATCTATCTATCCATCTATCTATCTATCCTATCCATCATCCATCTATCATCTATCCATCCATCCATCCATCCATCCATCCAATCTACCATCTATCCATCCATCCCTCCATCTATCCATCTGTCTATCCATCTATCTAATCTATCATCCATCCATCCATCCAATCTATCATCTATCCATCCATCTAATCTATCATCCACCCACCCATGCATCCATCTATCCATCTATCTATCCATCAAATCTATCATCCATCCATCCATCCCTCCATCTAATCTATCATCTATCCATCCCTCCATCTATCTAATCTATCATCCACCCACCCATGCATCCATCTATCTATCCATCTAATCTATCATCCATCCATCCATCCATCCCTCCATCTAATCTATCATCTATCCATCCATCCATCCCTCCATCTATCTAATCATCCACCCACCCATGCATCCATCTATCCATCTAATCTATCATCCATCCATCCATCCCTCCATCTATCTAATCTATCATCTATCCATCCATCCAATCTATCCATCTATCTAATCTATCCTATCCATCATTTATCCATCCATCCAATCTATCATCCATCCATCCATCTAATCTATCATCCATCCATCCATCCTTCCATCTATCCATCTATCCATCCATCTATCTAATCTATCATCCATCCATCCATCCATGCATCCATCTATCCATCTATCTAATCTATCATCTATCCATCCATCCATCCATCTATCTATCCATCCAATCTATCTAATCTATCCTATCCATCCATCCATCATTTATCCATCCATCCAATCTATCATCCATCCATCCATCATTCATCCATCCATCCCTCCATCTATCCATCTATCTATCCATCCATCTATCTAATCTATCATCTATCCATCCATCCATCCATCCATCCAATCTATCATCCATCCATCCCTCCATCTATCCATCAATCCAATCTATGCCTCCATATTTCCATATCTCTCCCTCCCTCCCTCCTTCTCTCGAAATCCTGTAGAAGAGGCAACTTCTTTGTACAGGCAGTCCCCAACTTACAACCGGCAATTTGCTTAATGACCACTGTGGGGGAGGGGGGGAGCAATGACCCAGCCTTACTTCGATCCCCCCCCCAACCCCACCTGGCTTTTCTCTGGCCCAGTAGGGAGAGGCTGAAAGGTTACCCCAGAGGGAATCCCCCAAAGGTCAAAGGGCCGTGGTGGAGGGGGCGTTGCTGGGTGTTTCTCCTCTGCCAGGGGGAAGCCCTTCACCAGCACCCCCCCCCGCCCTGCCCCAAATACCCTGGCTGCCCCTAGCCGAGACTCACCGCTTCGTAGCACCAGTCCTTGAGTATGTCCAGCTCTCCAGAGATCATAGCCTGGGGGGGGGGACAGGAGATGATCGTCAGGCATGGGGGGGCTGGCAGTGGATGGGGGGAGGGTGCCAGGGGCAAGAGGGGAGGACAAAGTTGACACGGGAGAGGATTCAACTAAGATGGTTAGTCGCCCTGGGATTGAACACAGTGTAAGGACCCCCCCACCCACTTTGCATCTTAAGAAGACAGAACTCTTGGAATATTTCTTCCAACAGGCATCCTTTATTAAGAGAAAATGGTTGCAGGCGTTCTAGACAGCCCTATGGTTCAAGGTTTTAAGGCACTGGTTCTCAACCTTTTTAATGCCGCGACCCCCAACCAGTCGTAAATCAAGGGCTACTCGACCGGTCGTAAGTCGAGGGCTACTCAACTGGTGCAGCACCGTTTGCAGAATGGGACTTTTGGCGGGCTCAGCAGGGCAGAGACAGCCTGGACAATCCTATTGGCTTTTGAAAGCCAATAGAATTAGACTCTATTCAAGAGAGTCTATTCTATTGGCTTTCAAAAGCCAATAGAATAAAAGGGAGTAGCACAGCTAAGGAAAAGGGGGGAAAAAATGGCGGACTGTGTTGTTTGGCGACCCCCGTGAAATGGACGTTCGACCCCAAATGGGGTCCCGACCCACAGGTTGAGAACCACTGTTTTAAGGGGTCCCCAGCAGCCCCACCCCACCCCACCATCCTTCCAGTGCCAATCCCAGGCGTTACATTTCCCCCCCCTTTTTCCTCACTGCAGGTGGGAGACTTCAGAGAGGAGTAGATGAAAGGCGATGGCCATATTGTTATGGTCAGTCCTTTTGGTGGTATCCACATTCAGTCCTTTTTGCAGTTATGAAGTGAGGGCCATAAAGCCCCTTTGTTCACCCCATTCCCTTCATTGTATGACAGAATCCAGAGAGGGCAGAAATGGGGTTTTCCATAGTCGATAACTAGAGATGAAATATAATTGGATTCTGACACACAGGCTGCTCCTGCTGCACTGAACACAGAAACTGGATGGAGACACTGCAGCGCTGGGAGACGTGAATTCTTCACACAAAGTCTTGGTCCCGCCTTATAAACCCTTAGGAAGGCCACACCTGGAATACCTGCATCCAGGCTTGGTCCCCGCATTGCAAAAAAGACGTTGAGAGTTTGGAAATAATTCAAAGAGCAACTAGGACGATTTTAAGGCCTGGAGACTAAAACATACGGAAGAACGGCTGCAGGAATTGGATTTAGCTATGTAGAGGTGGGAGCCAGGCAAAGGTTGTGTGTAGAAAACTGCCCCTCCAACGCCTGTGTGCTTCTTCTTCTCTAGATCTATCTTCCTCCTCACATCACCATGGCAATGTGAAAGTGCGCAGCTCTGTTTGACCTTGCCAGTCTGATAACAGCTAGCTCGCACCAACAAGATGTTATTGCCATTACTATTCCCTGTTTCTGGCCTCTGGCTTCTATATTCTTGAGGATTGGTTAGGAGCTTAACCAATGAAATGCTATTGTCGTGTAGAAACGTTTGCTTCTTGTAAACTGCATATAAACAATAAAAGTTGTATAGAGAGCAGCCATTTTTTGCACCCTGCAATGACTGAGCACTGATTACTACATAGCTAGTCTAGAGAAAAGAAGGACTAGGGGAGACACGATAGCAGCGTTCCAGTATTTGAGGGGCCGCCCCCGAGAAGAAGGGGGTCACGTTATTCACCAAAGCACCCGAGGGAAGGACGAGAAACAACGGATGGAAACTGACCAAAGAGAGAAGCAACCTGGAATTAAGGAGAAACTTCCTGACAGTAATCAACCAGTGGAACAGCTTGCCACCAGAAGTTGTGGGTCCTCCATCCCTGGAGGTTTTTAACAAGAGACTGGACAGCCACTGGAAATGTTATAGGGTTTCCTGCTTGAGAACAGGACTTCCCACGGGTGCTTTGGAGGATAAGTTAGTAATAGTAATAGTAGTAAAGTTGGAAGGGACCTTGGAGGTCATCTAGTCCAACCCCCTGCTCGGGCAGGAAACCCTACGCTATTTCGGACAAATGGCTGTCCAGTCTCTTCTTAAAAACTTCCAGTGTTGGAGCATTTACTGCTTCTGGAGGCAAGCTGTTCCACTGATTAATTGTTCTCACTGTCAGGAAGTTTCTCCTTAGTTCTAGGTTGCTTCTCTCCTTGATGAGTTTCCACCCGTTGCTTCTTGTCCTGCCTTCAGGTGCTTTGGAAAATAGCTTAATTCCCTCTTCTTTATGGCAGCCCCTGAGATATTGGAATACTGCTATCATGTCCCCCCTTGTCCTTCTCTTCGTTAAACTAGACATACCCAATTCTCGCAACCGTTCCTTATATGTTTTAGCCTCCAGTCCCCTAATCATCTTTGTTGCTCTTCTCTGTACTCTTTCTAGAGTCTCAACATCTTTTTTACATCGTGGTGACCAAAACTGGATGCAGTATTCCAAGTGTGGCCTTACCAAGGCATTGAAGAGTGGTATTAATACTTCACGTGATCTTGATTCTATCCCTCTGTTAATGCAGCCTAGCACTGTGTTGGCCTTTTTGGCAGCTGCAGCACACTGCTGGCTCATATTTAAGTGATTGTCTACTAGGACTCCGAGGTCCCTCTCACAGTTACTACTATTGAGCATGGTGCCACCTATGCTGTACTTGTGCATTTGGTTTTTCTTGCCTAAATGTAGAACCTTGCTTTTTTCACCATTGAATTTCATTTTGTTAGTTAGTGCCCAGTGTTCAAGTCTGTCCAGATCCTTCTGTATCTGAAGCCTGTCTTCTGGAGTGTTGGCTATTCCTGCCAGCTTGGTGTCATCTGCAAATTTGATGAGTTCCCCATCTATCCCTTCATCCAAATCGTTGATGAAGATGTTGAAGAGTACTGGGCCCAGAACAGAGCCCTGGGGCACCCCACTACACACTTCCCTCCATATAGATGCAGTTCCATTGAGGACCACTCGCTGAGTACGGCCGGTCAGCCAGCTACGGATCCATCTGGTGGTGGTTCTGTCTACCCCACATTTTGACCCTCTCCTCTTCTTTGTAGCAGCTCCTCAAATACTGGAACGCTGCTATCATGTTCTTTTCTCTAGACTGGCCAAGCCCAAGTCCTGCAGCCGTTCTTCATATGTTTTAGTCTCCAGTCTCCTTGGATCATCTTAGTTGCTCTTTTTTACAAAGTCTCGACATCTTTTTTTGTAATGTGGTGACCAAAACTGGATGCAGGTATTCCCAGTGTGGCCTTACGAAGGCCTTATAAAGCACTATAGGTAGTCGGTTTTATGACAACTGGGGCCTCTGGGGAAGACCCCCCCCATTTCCCCCCCAGAAAGGAAAGAGCCCCCAGGTGCCAACAGTGGCTTGGCTTAAACCCCCTCCCCTCATTCCATCCTACAGGAAGTCCTCGACTTTTACAGCCCCTTCGTTCAGCGATCCTTCCAAGTTACAAAAGCAGACTTGCGACCGGCTCCTCACACTTACGACCCTGGTAGTCAGAACTGCCGGAGGTCAGCGCTTTCGACAGGCGAGGCTGCAAGTGCCATGCCTGTCGGCTACGAGAATCTGCCTTCTTTGCCGCCACTTTCCAAGGCCGTCCTCGAGGTTACGGCCACAACCTTTGGCGGCAGCCGAGACATTTGTTCAGTGAGTTTGGCCTTCTTTGACGACTTTCCCTTGCCACGGTCGTTAAGTGGATCCCTGCCGCGATTAAGTTAGGAACCCCGTCATTAAGTGAATCCGGCTTCCACACACAAACACACACCGGATTTTGCTTGTCAAGAGGTCGCAAAGGGGAAATCATGGGTCACTCCACCCCACCCCGGGGGACACGTCAGCCGTCATAAATACGAACCGATTGCCGAGCGTCTGAATTTTGACCGGTAAAGTGTGAAAACTGGTCGTAAGTCACTTTTTTCAGGGCTGTTGTCATTTTGAACGGTCACCAAAGGCACCGTTGTAAAGTCGAGGAAAGGTCCAGATGTCAACACTACAAATACTGTATATTCTTGCTTTTGACAATATGCAGAACTGTCTGGTATTTTTGAAGTTAATGCAGAGCAGAAGAGGGTGGAGGGTAAAGCCCGGGAAAGAGAGAGGAAGGAAACCTTTGACCTTCACACCAATTGGATAATGTGATATATGACGGCTAATTTAGGGAGGGAACATGCTGATAATTGAACTGCTCAGAGGAAGAGAACTTGTGTGCGGACATTTTGAAGCAATAAAAGACTTTTAGGTAAATCAATGCCTGGAAGTTCTTTAAAGGGTTTCATTAGCCGAAACCATAACCCCAGGGTTCGAAAGACAGGGACCCTTGCCCGCTGTCTCCCCCCCCGGGCTTCTGATGGAGACCTTGGGAACCCAGGGCCCCCCTCCCTCTCCTGCCCCACTCAGCCCACCCTACCTCGAGAATGTTGGGGATGATGTCAGCCTGGCACTGCTTGAGGAACTGGTCCTTGTCGAAGTTGGGGTCAACCCGCAGGATCTCCGTGAGGACTTCGGACATCTCCGTCTTGGAGAAGAGACCCCCTGCCAGAGGGAGAGGGGGGGTAAGCAGGACCTCCTGACCCCTTCAGGAGGAGGAAGGGAGGGAGGGGACAACCCCCCCCCCCGGTCGATGTCGTTCCCCCAGGCGGCACTTCCTTCCCTCCCTTCGGCCCTCCCAGCCCTACAGGGAGAGCGCGGCTCAACAGAGGGGAGAAGGGGCAGGAGTCCCTCTCTTGGGGGGCAGCAGGGAGCACCAAGACCCCCAGCTCTGTCTTCACCGGGCTTTCTCAACTGTGGCCACTTTAAGACTCGTGGACTTCAATTCCCAGAATTCTGGGAGTTGAAGTCTGCAAGTCTTCCGGTCGACAAAGTCTGGTTGTGCTGGCTGGGGAATTCTGGGAGTTGAAGTCCACGAGTCATGAAGGGGCCATAGTTCCCCCATGCTGGCTCAGGAATTCTGGGAGTTGAAGTCGCGAGTCATGAGGGGGCCATAGTTCCCCCATGCTGGCTCAGGAATTCTGGGAGTTGAAGTCCACAAGTCATAAAAGGGCCATTGTTCCCCCATGCTGGCTCAGGAATTCTGGGAGTTGAAGTCGCGAGTCATGAGGGGGGCATAGTTCCCTCACGCTGGCTTAGGAATTCTGGGAGTTGAAGTCCACGAGTCATGAGGGAGGCATAGTTCCCCCATGCTGGCTCAGGAATTCTGGGAGTTGAAGTCCACAAGTCATAAAAGGGCCATTGTTCCCCCATTCTGGCTGGGGAATTCTGGGAGTTGAAGTCCACAGATCTTAAAGCGGCCACAGTTGAGAGCAAACGCTCTTCCCTCTGGGCTGAATCAGCCAATCGATCAGCCCCAATCCAGATTCTTATCTTGTAGAGCCCCCGTTGTGTGTTGTGACTCTTGTGACATTAAATGCCCCTCGCCAAACTGTTGGGACGAGTGCAGCTTTGATAGTCAGAAGGTCGCAAAAGGAGACCGCTTGACCCTGGGACACGGTGACCGTCAGGAGTACAAGCCCCTTGCCCAGTGTCCGAATTTCGATCACGTGACCGCAGGGACGCTGCCACGGTCGTTCAGCGCAAAAAACGGACACGCCAACTCTCCCGGTGCTGCCGTAACAGCAACAGCGCTTGGGTTGTCCTCGACCTACGACCGCAGTGGAAGCCCAAAATTTATGTTGCTAAGCAAGAAATTTGTTAAGTGAATTTTGCCTCCCGTCACAACTTTCCTTTGCCTCGTTTGTTAAGCGAACCCCTGCAATGGTTCAATTAGTAACCCGGTTCTTTAAGTTACGTCCCCCTTGACTCTGCTTGTCAGAAAGAAGCAAAAAAAAAGGGGGGGGGGGAAATCACGTGACCCCCCCCGAGGACGCTGCCACCGTCATAAATGTGAGTCAGCTGTCAAGCGTCCGAATGTAAATCACGTGACCACGGGCAATGCTGCAACCGCCGAAAGTGTGAAAAATGACCGTTAAGTCACTTTTTTTTCCCCGTGGCGTTGTAACTTCGGTGACTAAGTGAACGGTTGTAAGTCGAGGACTACCTGCATAGCGACCGCTTTATAGTGGCTTTTACATCCCAGTCAGAAACGCCCCTTGCTAAGCAGAGGGGGGGGGAAAGGAAGACAGACCTATGAAGTCGGTCACTTTGTCCGTCATGACGCGCGAGGCACGGATGAGGGCGTTGTCACTCTCGTCGTACTTCATCTTCATTTCGAAGAAACCTGCCCAAATGAAAGGGGGGGCTCTGGGAAGGAGGAATAGGGATACCCAGTCCTGGGAAACCAGGAGAGGACGGCGTTGAAAACAGGACACTTGTTTTCCAGAGTCTTTAAAACTGGGTTGCGGTATCTGAGGAGGGGGTCACATTATTCACCAAAGCACCCGAGGGCAGGACGAGAAACGATGGTTGGGAACTGACCAAAGAGAGAAGCAGGAGAAACTTCCTGACAGTGAGGAGGACCATCAAGCAGTGGAACAGCCTGCCACCAGAAGTTGTAGGCTGAACAACCACTTGTCTGAAATGGTAGACAGTCTCCTGCTTGAGCGGGGACTGGACTAGAAGACCTCCAAGGTCCCTTCCAGTTCTATTCTGTTCTTTCCTATTCTGTACTGTTCTATTCTCTTTCCTATTCCATCCCATCCCATCCCATCCCATCCCATCGTATTCTATTCTATTCTATTCTATTCTATTCCTATCCTATTCTCTAATATATATTCTATTATTGTTCTATTTTTCTATTCTATTTTCTATTCTGTTCTATTTTCTATTCTGTTCTATTTTCTATTCTGTTCTATATTCTATTCTATTCCATATTCTATTCTATTCTATTCTATTCTATTCTATTCTATTCTATTCTATTCTATTCTATTTTATTCTATTCTAATCCTATCCTATTCTCTAATATATATTCTATTATTATTCTATTTTTCTATTCTATTTTCTATTCTGTTCTATTCTATTCTAATCCTATCCTATCCTATTCTCTAATATATATTCTATTATTATTCTATTTTTCTATTCTATTTTCTATTCTGTTCTATTTTCTATTGTTTTCTATTGTTTTCTATTCTATTCTCTATTCTATTCTCTATTCTATTCTATTCTATTCTATTTTATATTCTATTCCTATTCTATTCTATTCTGTTCTGTTCTGTTCTATTCTATTCCTATCCTATCCTATCCTCTAATATATATTCTATTATTATTCTATTTTATTATTCTATTTTCTATTCTTTTCTATTCTATTCTAATCCTATCCTATTCTCTAATATATATTCTATTAGTATTCTATTTTTCTATTGTATTTTCTATTCTGTTCTATTTTCTATACTTTTCTATTCTTTATTCTATTCTATTCTAATCCTATCCTATTCTCTAATATATATTCTATTATTATTCTATTTTTCTGTTCTATTTTCTATTCTGTTCTATATTCTATTCTATTCTATTCTCTTTCCTTGTATTCTATTCTATTCTATTCTATTCTATTCTATTCTATTCTATTCTATTCTATTCTATTCTATTCTAATCCTATCCTATCCTATCCTATCCTATTCTCTAATATATATTCTATTATTATTCTATTTTTCTATTCTATTTTCTATTCTGTTGTATATTCTATTCTATTCTATTCTATTCTATTCTATTCTATTCTATTCTATTCTATTCTATTCTCTTTCCTTCTATTTGTATTCTAATCCTATCCTATTCTCTAAAACAGACATGTCAAACACAAGGCCCAGGGGGCTGCATGCAGCCTGCAAAGTGGTTTCCTGTGGCCCGCGAAGCCATCCTGGAAACAGGGAGGGAACAGCCCCCGTTGCCTTGGCCCTGGCCCAGGCCAGCCGGGAGTCAATGTACAATTTTGTGGTGGCCATCTTTGCTGAAACGCATTCCGTCTTAGCTCCACAAGGCCGTCTGGAAACAGCGAGGAAGCAGCCCCTGGGTGCATGTCGCCTCCACCCCCCGGGTGCATGCTGGGGAGGGGTCACCCTTTGCGGGGAATGAAGAAATGCACCATCACCTGGAAATGGCCAGCAAATGGCCCTCACCTACTACACGTATCCGGCTTGATGGGCTTTGGGGAAGGGTTTTCGGCAGGCAGCGGTGCGCTCTCCTCACAACGCCAAGAGGCTGAGCCGTGTGTGTGTGTGTGTGTGTGTGTGTGCGAAGCTTGCCAGCTTTGCACTTTGCTGCCTGGTGAAACCGGGCAGGCTGGGGGGCATTGCGCAGGTAACGTTGACTCTCACGCTGCTCATGGCATCCCCTCCCCCAGAACCCACCAAGCCAGATCTGTGAAGGAGGTGAGGGCCATGTGCTGGCGATGGTGCATTTCTTCCTTCCTCACGAAGGGTGACCCCTCCCCAGCTGCGTTTCTTGCCTGTTTTCCTCCCTCCCTCATCTCAAATATTTTCCCACCACTCTGTACTAAGGAAGGAAGGAAGGAAGGAAGGAAGGAAGGAAGGAAGGAAGGAAGGAAGGAAGGAAAGAAAGAAAGAAAGAAAGAAAGAAAGAAAGAAAGAAAGAAAGAAAGAAAGAAAGAAAGAAAGAAAGAAAGAAAGAAAAGGGAGGGAGGGAGGGAGGGTCTGAGGAAAGTCCTGCCTTAGTCCTGCCCTGCTGCCCTTTCACCACCCCCTTGCCCCCTCCTCCTGGCCTATCCTGGGGGGTCTCCCATCCTATTGCAAAGGAAGCTTTGGATACAAAGCCGGGTCTCCTCCCATGGCGAGGGAATGGGCCTCCCTCTGACTCTGCCCTCACACCCATCATGAGCAACCTGGCTAAGGAGAGCAAGCACAGCAGCAGCAGCCTTGAGGGGGAGGTAAGTGCAGCTGGGCACCCCCTTGGGCAAGTGGGGCTGGGCTTGGAGCCGCAGGTCAGACTGGGCATTTGACTTTTGCTGCCCAGGGCTCCAGGCAGCCCACACTACCACCCAGCCACCCCCCCCCCCACATGGCCTAAAAGGAACAGTGAGGCTCCTCCAGTGGACCATGCCTTGGCACTTGCCCCAGTCCCCCCCCCTTCTGCCAGAGACCCCCAGATCTGTCCCACTCCTGCCCAGGCCCCCACAGGCACCCTTGACGGGAACGAGGTAGAGCTGGTCACGCCCACCCAGTAGGCCATTCCCACTCCAGCCACACCCACCCAGTAGGCCGCACCCACCCGGGCCACACCCACCTGCCCCCCCCCCAAGGGCAACTGCCATGCTGATGCAGCCCTCAATGAAATTGAGTTTGACACCCCTGCTCTAATCTATATTCTATTATTCTTCTTCTATTCTTCTCTATTTTCTATTGTATTCTCTATATTCTATTCTATTCTATTCTATTCTATTCCATATTTTCTATTCTATTCTATTCCATTCCATTCCATATTTTCTATTATATTCTATTCTATTCCATTCCATATTTTCTATTCTATTCTATTCTATTCTATTCTATTCTATTCTATTCTATTCCATATTTTCTATTCCATTCCATATTTTCTATTCTATTCTATTCCATTCCATATTTTCTATTCCATTCCATATTTTCTATTCTATTCTATTCTATTCTACTCTATTCCATTCCATTCCATTCCATATATTCTATTCTATTCTATTCTATTCTATTCTATTCTATTCTATTCTATTCCATTCCATTCCATTCCATTCCATTCCATTCTATTCTATTCTATTCTTTATTTGCCGCCTCTCTTGTTTCCAAGAGACTCTGGGGGATGGAGATGGAGGAACCTACAGTACTTACTGTACTCGTCTTCCGTGTCGGAGGCACCGTAGGGCTTCCATTGCGAAAGGAGTAGCCGGTGACATCCCCATTGCCCAGGGGATGCCCAGTTGAGGGCTCCTTTCAGGTCCTTGTCAAGCTGCCCAGCGAAGTGGTACCCATTGATCTACTCGCAGAGCTGACTGGAGCTGGAGCGAGGGATGGGAGCTCACCCCACCGTCCCACGGCAGCAACCGGCTCTTGAACCTACCAATGGCTAGCCCGGTATCCAAACCACATGACCCACCCCAGTCCCCGAGTACGTACGGTTGAAGACCACGTTCTTGTCCTTGAACTCCTTCCACTGCTGGTACCACTTGGAGTCTTTGTGCAGGACCATGCCCATCGCTTGCCTGGAGGGGGGGGAGAGGCGCCGTTAGGGAAGGGGGGCCCTAAAGTCCCCCCTACCTGTCCCCATTGCTGATTCTCCAGACAGCATGGAGGGGAGTTCTTTTTGGGTCCAATGGGAGAAGCCCTCACGGTGACTGGGGGTGGGGGTTAGATTAGATGATCTCCAAGATTCCTTCCAACTCTTGTCTATTCTATTCTATTCTACTCTATTCATTCAATTCAATTCTATTCTTTTATTCCTTATTCTGTTTATTCTACTCTATTCCTTATTCTATTCTATTCATTCTATTCTATTCCTTATTTTATTCCTTATTCTATTCTATTCTTTTATTCCTTATTCTATTGTCTATTCTATTCTATTCCTTATTCTATTCTATTCATTCTATTCTATTCTATTCCTTATTTTATTCCTTATTCTATTCCTTATTCTAATCCCTATTCTATTCTATTCTATTATTCTCTTTCTCTATTCTACTGTATTCTATTCTATTCTCTTAATTCTATTCTACTCTATTCCTTATTCTATTCTATTCTATTATTTTATCCTTATTCTATTCTGTCTATTCTATTCATTCTATTCTATTCCTTATTTTATTCCTTATTCTATTCTATTCTATTCCTTATTCTAATCCCTATTCTATTCTATTCTATTCTATTCTATTCTGTTCTATTCCTTATTCTATCCCTTATTCTATTCTATTCCATTCCATTCTATTCATTCTATTCCATTCCATTCCACTCCACTCTTCTTCTGAACCATCCGCACAGCCTCAGGGACAGCAAGGCAGGTGTGTCAGGGCTCTCCCACCCCCATTTGGAGATGCCCGGGGACTAAACCTGGGGGGGGGGCTTCCAAGAGTGAACAAGCCCTCTGCCCTTCTATGAGTCATTTTAAGATTGTCTCTCCCAACTGCAGGCCAGACAGTCTACGTCTCCTGTTGCTTCAACTGCAGCCCTGGGTAAAACAGGTGTCTCCTGGCCAAGGTTTCTTCCCTACCCATCAACCCCACAGCCAGCTGCCCACTCCCGCAGCCTCTGGCAAGGCCGGCCCCAGTTCGGACACCCACTCATTGGCTTCGAATATCCGCTCGTCCTTCATCCTGTCGTCGGCAGATTCTGTCCTTTTCCGGAGTCTCTCTGGACGCCTGTAAGGCCCCGTCTGGCCCAGCACGCTGTCGTCAATCTCCTTCCGGACGGTCTCCATGCCCTGGGAAGGGAAGCGCCGTTACACACGTACCAGGCGCAAGCAAGCGGAGGCGCTCGTGAACAGGCCGAGCCAATGCAACTGTATTGCCTTCTGCCTCTTGCGGCTGCGTAAGGACTCAAGGCTAGTTCCCTTCTTGACCCCCCCTCCCTTCCCGGCTGCCAGATTCCCAACATTCCAGAACGAAGGAAAGGGGGAGAGGAAGTCCCGGGATCGATTCAGGGGAAGACAAAAGATCGTCACTCACAGCTGAGAACAAAAGAATTTTTTTTCAAAAAAAAAAAAAAGAGCATAAAGTTCTATACCAGTGGTGGCGAACCTATGGCACGTGTGCCAGAGGCGCCACTCGGAGACCTCTCTGTGGGCACGCGCAGCATTGCTCCAGCCCTGCCTCCCCCTAGGGCCCCCTGGGCGCGGCCAATGCAGCGCAGCACAGCCAAGGACATGTCATCCAGATAGCAGGGACAAGACTCCACCCTTGCGCCCCGTCGCACGCAGATGCTGCTGCAGGGCGCGGGTGTGGCTGCCCTGGTGCCTTCTGCTGCGACGGGCCCTGGAGATGGTAGATGGTCCTGCGGGCAGGCGGGGAGGGGATGGGTAGGGCGGTTTTTGGGCAGTCGGTGTCTAAAAGGTTTGCCATCACTGTACTATACAGAAAATGACCGGCAACCTGAATTGTACCCGGAAGTTGACTGGCAATGAATGCCATTCATGTAGCAGTCATGATATGTGCTGTCAAGGTATTGATTTAATAGCTCATTAATGTAAGATGTAATGATGGGAATGACTCAGCAGGCTCTGTGTCTCTTTAAGAGCCTCTGTATAAAAAGAAGGCTCCACTGATGTGTTGTCTCTCTCTCTTCCGTTTCCTACTGTAACTGTGGTGTGTTGGATCCTGCTGTAATAGAACGTGTATGTACATTGTTCCTGGTGTAGGATATTGTAGATAGTGTAAGATAAACCACCATTTACTATAGACCAGTGATGGCAAACCTTTTAGAGACCGAGTGCCCAAATTGCAACCCCAAACCCACTTATGTATCGCCAGGTGTTGGGTGGGTGTGGCCCACTCGGCGGGTGCAGCTACAGTGGGCTTGGCAGACTGGGTGGGCGTGGCTGCAATAGTCATGGCAGACTGGGTGGGCATTAGACTCTATTCAAGAGAGTCTCTTCTATTGGCTTTCAAAAGCCAATAGAATAAAAGGGAGTAGCACAGCTAAGGAAAAGGGGGGGAAAATGGCGGACTGCGTTGTTTGGTGACCCCCGTGAAATGGTCATTCGACCCCAAATGGGGTCCCAACCCACAGGTGGAGAACCGCTGGCTCAGAGGTTTGTCTCTGTCCTCAGCGTCACTTGACTGGTGCAAATGGGTGTGGAGCCTTCTGGGAACTACTGAGGACAATTATTTCCAGTCCACAAAATGGTCCTTTCAGCAGTTCCAAGAAGACTCCACGCTCCTTTGCAGCATCCAGATGACCCTGAGGACACAGACAAACCTCCGAGTGGCCTCAACGACTCTCTAGAAGGCAAACGACCAGCTTTCTGCAAGGAGTATAAATCTTTCCCTTCCCCACCATCCGGACAGAGCGGAAGAAGCTTCTGGGACGAGAAGAGAAACGTCTTCAAAGAAAAACAAGGAAGTCCAGTTGCCTCCTTAAAAAAAAGAGCACCTTTGGGACGGCCAAAAACAAAAAAGACTTTCGCGCGTGTTTGGGGAGGAGCTGAGAAGCTCCAGGCCAACCCTCAGTCTGATCTCTTCAGACAGCTCAGGGGAGACCCACGGTCGGTCCCTGGAGAGCCGCCGCGACCCAAGAAAAGCAAAATCACTCAAAAATTCCGAGAAGGAGGATGGACCTCAGCCTCAGGCAACTCTCCTGCCCTCCACAGAGGAGCTGGGCCTGTCCCGGCCGGGGTGGACCCAGAACGAAGACGACTTGCCTGAGAAATGGCCTTGAACGCTGCCGTCCGGCCTAGCTTTTCTCCTCCCTTGGAGACTGTTTCTGCAGAATGCTTTGCTGTTTTGGCCGCTTCCTCCATGCCTTCCTTGATCTTCCGGCCAATCTCGCTCTTGCTGACTTCATCTATGCTCTGTGACCAGAGAAACAAAAGGAAGAATAACAGAATAACAGGGACCTTGGGGGGTCTTCTAATCCAACCCCCTGCTCCAGCAGGAAACCCGACGCCATTTGAGACAAATGCCTGCCCAGTCTCATCTTGAAAGCCTACAGGCATGGAGCACCCCCACCACTTCTGGAGGCAGGCTGTTCCGCTGTTTAGTTGTCCTCATTGTTAGGAAGTTTCTCCTTAGTTCCAGGTTGCTTCTCTCTTTGATGAGTTTCCATCCGTTGCTTCTCGTCCTGCCTTCAGGGGCTTTGGAGAATAATTTGACCCCCTCCTCTTTATGGCAGCCCCTCAAATATTGGAAGACAGACAGATAGACAGACAGACAGGGATGGATGGATAGATATGGATGGATGGATGGATATATAGATACATAAGAGATGGATGGATGGATGGATAGATATGGATGGATGGATGGATGGATGGATACATAGATACATAAGAGATGGATGGATAGATATGATTGGATGGATGGATGGATGGATGGATACATAAGAGATGGATGGATGGATAGATGGATGGATGGATATGGCTAGATAGATATGGATGGATAGATAAATATGGATGGATACATAGATACATAAGAGCTGGCTGTCTGGCTGGCTGGCTAGTTGGATGGATGGATGGATAGGGATGGATAGATGGATGGATGGATGGATGGAGTAGAATAGATGGATGGATGGATGGATGGATGGATGGATAGATAGTGATGGATGGATGGATAGATAGACTAGATATAGATGGATGGATGGATAGATGGATAGATATGGATGGATGGATGGATGGATGGATGGATAGATACATAAGAGATAGATGGATGGATGGATGGATGGATGGATAGATAGATATGGCTGAATGGATACATAGATACATAAGAGATGGATGGATGGATGGATAGCTAGATAGGGATGGAGAGATGGATGGATGGATAGGGATGGATGGACAGATGGATGGATGGATAGACTAGATATAGATGGATGGATGGATGGATAGATATGGATGGATGGATACATAGATACATAAGAGACAGATGGATGGATGGATGGATGGATAGACAGATAGGGATGGATGGATGGATAGGTAGAGTAGATATAGATGGATGGATGGATAGGGATGGATGGATAGATGGATGGATGGATAGGGATGGATGGATGGATGGACAGACTAGGTATAGATGGATGGATGGATGGATAGATATGGATGGATGGATACAGATACATAAGAGATGGAGGGATGGATGGATGGATGGATAGATAGATAGATAGGTAGATAGGGATGGATGGATGGATGGATAGGTAGATATAGATGGATGGATGGATGAATAGATAGACTAGATATAGATGGATGGATGGATGGATGGATAGATAGAAGTGGGCACATTGGCACAGATTAAAAATGAAATTTTGTTGCTGCTATCATGTCTTCTAACAAAAAAAGTAGAAATAGTTCAATCGATTGCTTTATTCCAAGAAGAAAAAAAACCATCTCTAACCTTGCTTCCCTTTGGAAATTGCTTCTGGATTTTGTCCTTGTGGTGAAAAAAAAATATGAAACTTTGATTTTGGTTTTGCGGATCCAACAGATTTGTTGTTACGGAAACGGCCACTACCTATTATTGTGTAAAAGTAAAAAGTTGAGGCTGAAATGTTATTAACTTCTACGGTGCAAAAGTCGGAAGGCAGTGCTTTTTTTTTTCTTTTTCTTCTTCCCTTTCCCTTCCCTTCGTTTCCCGTTGTTTTCATTTTCTTTTAGATTCTGATAAACGAATAAAAAAAAAGGTGAACCACAAAAGGGACGAGGTTGACCCTCGGAGGAATCAGGCTGGATTCTCTTCACTCTCGGCCTCCAGAGAGCGGCTGGCCAGGTGGGGGCTCCGAACAGCATTCCTGGCCACTGGAGAAAGACGTCTCCCTGGTTCTCACCTCTTTAACGGTGCCACCGATTTCTCCCAGTTTCTTTTTCAGCACTTCCGAGGTCCTGATGGTTTCAGACTCGATGGTTTTCTGCAAGAAGGAAGTAGAAGTTGGCATCCCATGTGGAGAAGTTCATGATAATAGTAATAGTAATAATAATAGTAATAATAATAATAATACTGGCTGACTGTGCGATGGTCCATAATAATAATAATAATAATGATAACAATAATAATAAGCAAGCAAGGGTAGTACCAATAGTCATAGGCTCCTTAGGTGCAATCTCAAAACAACTGGAGCACCACTTGAACACCATCAATAGGTAGACAAAATGCCAAATCCAGTCTGAACATCTGGCTGACTGTGCGATGATAGAAATAGAAATAGAAAGACTGTGGCAAAAGCAAGCAAGGGTAGTACCAATAGTCATAGGCTCCTTGGGCGCAATCCCAAAACAACTGGAGCACCACTTGAACACCATTGGCATTGACAAATTCGCTATTAGTCAATTGCAAAAGGCGGCCTTGCTAGGAACTGCTTCCATCCTGCGACGATATCTGTAATACCATCAAACATCCACATCTGCCTATCCCAGGTCCTGGGTAAGGACTCGATAGGTAGACAAAATGCCAAATCCAGTCTGAACATCTGGCTGACTGTGCGATGATGATGATATGATCGATAATAATAATAATAATAATAATAATAATAATAATAATAATAATAGTAGTTGGAAGGGACCTTGGAGGTCATCTAGTCCAACCCCCTGCTCAGGCAAGAAACCTATACTATTTCGGACAAATGGCTGTCCAGTCTCTTCTTAAAAACTTCCAGTGTTGGAGCATTCACCGCTTCTGGAGGCAGGTGTTCCACTGGTTAATTGTTCTCACTGTCAGGAAGTTTCTCCTTAGTTCTAGGTTGCTTCTCTCCTTGATTAGTTTCCATCCGTTGCTTCTTGTCCTGCCTTCAGGTGCTTTGGAGAATAGCTTGACTCCCTCTTCTTTGGGGCAGCCCCTGAGATATTGGAATACTGCTATCATGTCCCCCTAGTCCTTCTCTTTGTTAAACTAGACAGTGGTTCTCAACCTGTGGGTCGGGACCCCATTTGGGGTCGAACGACCATTTCACGGGGGTCGCCAAACAACGCAGTCCGCCATTTTTTCCCCCCTTTTCCTTAGCTGTGCTACTCCCTTTTATTCTATTGGCTTTTGAAAGCCAATAGAATAGACTCTCTTGAATAGAGTCTAATTCTAACGGCTTTCCAAAGCCAATAGGAATTGTCCAGGCTGTCTCTGCCCTGCTGAGCCTGCCAAAAGTCCCAGTCTGCAAACGGTGCTGCACCAGCTGAGTAGTCCTCGACTTACGACCGGTTGAGTAGTCCTCGACGTACGACCGGTTGGGTGTCGCGGCATTAAAAAGGTTGAGAACCACTGAACTAGACATACCCAATTCCAGCAACCGTTCCTTATGCTTTAGCCTCCAGTCCCCTGATCATCTTTGTTGCTCTTCTCTGTACTCTTTCTAGAGTCTCAATATCTTTTTTTACATCGTGGTGACCAAAACTGTTGTTATTGTGATTGTTGTTATCTAAAAGACCACACATATTAATTTAGTTTACCACTCAGGGCAGGCCTGCATCCTCAAACATGCGTAACATATTTACACGTCTGCTGCCTTCGCCCTTCCCTTCAGAATGCAGGGGGGGTCCTCAACCTACGAGCCCAACCTTTCTGTTGCTAAGCGGGATGGGTTTTGCCCCATTTTACGACTTTTCTGGCCGCGGTTGTCAAGTGAATCACTGTAGTTGTTAAGTTAGTCACACGGTCGTTAAGCGAAACCAGCTTCCTTCCCCATCCCCCCCATTGACTTGGCTTGGTCGCAACAGGGGATCGCGTGCCCCCCCCGGGACGCTGCGACCGTCATAAATATGAGCCAGTTTGCCAAAGCCATCTGAATTTGGATCACACGACTGCAACGGACGTAAGTGTGAAAAAGGGTCCTAAAGGGACGTTTTTTCCAGTGCTGCTGTAACTCTGAACACTAAGGGAACTCTTGTAAGTCAAGGAACACCCCCACATCGTAGCCCTCATTTGAAATGGCAACCCCCCCAAAAAAGCCAAGTTGCAGCCGGTCCTCACGCTTACGACCGTCGCAGGCGTCCGCACGGCCACGTGATCAAAATTCAGGCCTTCTGGCATGCACTTACGACGGTTTGCCGTCAGCTGGGGTCGTACGAGCGCCGTTTGCCTCCTTCCCAGCCAGCTGCCCAACTGGCAAAGCCAACATCTGCTTAATGACTGTGTGGATTCGCTTAACGACGGTGGGAAGAAAGGTGGTGAAACCAGGGCTGACTCATTTAGCAACCTCTCTGCTTAGCAATGGAAATTCTGGCCCCGTCTGTGATCCTTAAACTGAGGACAGCCTGTATTGTCGGTTCTTCTGGCAGCCAAAAGCAGACATGGGGTCCTCGACCGTGGCCACTTTAAGACTGGTGGACTTCAACTCCCAGAATTCCTCAGCCAGCACAGCTGGCTGAGGAATTCTGGGAGTTGAAGTCCACCAGTCTTAAAGTGGCCACGGTCGAGGACCCCGGTTCCAACGTACGTATTTCCGCCTCGCTTCCTGAAGGGCCTCCGATTCTTCCAACTTCTTCGCTTCGTCTCGGAATTTCTTGATGCTCTCCTTCATCTCCTTGTTCTTGGCCAGCTCCTGCTTGATGTTCTCCACGAAGCCCGATATGAAACCTTTCCGATGGCCGGAGGAAGAACATCTAGACTGAAGAGAAGGTTGCGGTTACAGCTCACGGTACAAAACCCGGTCCGGCCTCCTGCGCTTGGTTGCGCCCACTGCGGGGACGGCCGAGCGGGGAAGACGGGTTATTATTTCCCCGTGGAGGGAAATCTCAGCTCCAAACCCACCTCGCTCTCTCTCGCTCTCTCTCTCTCCCAGCTACGTCATTACTAAGTAGCTTTGATCCGTCTTAGACAGACAGATGTCCCTACTTCAATTTTAAGTTTAATCTATGAGAGCTGCATCGATGGATGGATGGGTGGATGATAGAAGATTGATTGGATGGATGGATGGATGGATGGATGATAGAAGATTGACTGGATGGATGATAGAAGATTGACTGGATGAATGGATGATAGAAGACTGACTGGATGGATGGATGGATGATAGAAGATTGACTGGATGGATGGATGGATGGATGGATGGATGGATGGATGGATAGATGGATGGATGGATGATAGAAGATTGACTGGATGAATGGATGATAGAAGACTGACTGGATGGATGGATGGATGATAGAAGATTGACTGGATGGATGATAGAAGATTGATGGGTGGATGGATGATAGAAGATTGACTGGATGGATGATAGAAGATTGATGGGTGGATGGATGATAGAAGATTGACTGGATGGATGGATGGATGGATGGATGGATGGATAGATGGATGGATGGATGATAGAAGATTGACTGGATGAATGGATGATAGAAGACTGACTGGATGGATGGATGGATGATAGAAGATTGACTGGATGGATGGATGGATGGATGGATAGAAGATTGACTGGATGGATGATAGAAGATTGATGGGTGGATGGATGATAGAAGGTTGACTGGATGGATGGATGGATGGATGGATGGATGGATAGATGGATGGATGGATGATAGAAGATTGACTGGATGAATGGATGATAGAAGACTGACTGGATGGATGGATGGATGATAGAAGATTGACTGGATGGATGATAGAAGATTGATGGGTGGATGGATGATAGAAGATTGACTGGATGGATGATAGAAGATTGATGGGTGGATGGATGATAGAAGATTGACTGGATGGATGGATGGATGGATGGATGGATGGATAGATGGATGGATGGATGATAGAAGATTGACTGGATGAATGGATGATAGAAGACTGACTGGATGGATGGATGGATGATAGAAGATTGACTGGATGGATGGATGGATGGATGGATAGAAGATTGACTGGATGGATGATAGAAGATTGATGGGTGGATGGATGATAGAAGGTTGACTGGATGGATGAATAGATTGATAAGATGGATGGATGGATGGATGGATGGATGGATGGATGGATGGAGGAGATATTGATAGATGGGTGAGATAGAGGAGATAGGAAGATGATGGATGGATGGATGGATGGATGGATGGATGGATAGACAGATAGATAGATGGATGGATGGATGGATGGATGGATGGATAGATTGACACGATGGATGATAGAAGATTGACAGGATGGATGGGTGGATGGATGATAGAAGGTTGACTGGATGGATGAATGGATTGATAAGATGGATGGATGGATGGATGGATGGATGGATGGATGGATGGAGGAGATATAGATAGATGGGTGAGATAGAGGAGATAGGAAGATGATGGATGGATGGATGGATGGATGGGTAGATGGACGGATAGACAGATAGACAGATAAACGGATGGATGGATGGGGTCATGTTATTCACCAAAGCACCAGAGGGAAGGACGAAAAACATGGTTGGAAACTGACCAAAGAGAGAAGCAATCTGGAATTATGGAGAAACGTCCTGACAGTGAGGGCAATTAACCAGTGGAACAGCTTGCCACCAGAAATCGTGGGCGTTCCATCACTGAAGGTTTTTAAAAAAAAGACTGGACATTCAGCTGTGAGACGGTATAGGTTCTCCTGCTTGAGCAGGGGGCTGGACTAGAGGACCTCTGAGGTCCCTTCCAGCTCTATTCTATTCTATTCTATTCTATTCTATTCTATTCTATTCTATTCTATTCTTATTTTCATATGATAGATAGATAGATAATAGATAGATGGATGGATGGATGGATGGATGGATGAGATAGATGAGCTTTTACAGGACAAATTAGCTGCAATGTTTATTTTTAAACACAAGCAGCGTCTGGACTCAAGTTGTTCATACCCTGTCTTTCTTGCTAAGGGAATATTCACCCAAATCCTTCCTTTTGTTTCCAAGAACCGGTGACCTCAATTTACAAAGATACCCAGGAAACGTCCCATCCTGACAAATCTTAGGAAGAAAAACACATTAACTAAATCTCTTGACTCCATCTTATCCGCCCCAGACACCCTCCTCAGAAAGTCATCTAAGGAGTTTTTTTCATACCAAGGAACAAATCAACAGAGAAGCAAGTCCTTCTTTCATTGACAAACCACCCGATGGCCTCTATGCACCGGCCCAAAATTAGAAGATTAAAAAGTGTCCCCCTCCTCAGAGGTTTTAGGTGGAATCAGGCAAGCAGAGAGAGTCAAATTTCTCCTATACAGTTGCAAGAAAAAGTATGTGAACCCCCTGGGATAATGCGGAGATTTGCATGAATTGGTCATAAAATGTGCTCTGAACGTCATCTAAGTCAGTGGTTCTTCACCTTTTTGAACGAAACCCCCCCCCCTTGAGCCAATGAGGAAGTTGTCATCGCCCCCCTCCCCCAACATAACCTCTCAATCACAACATAGGAAATAATTCTTCAATTTATGCAAACACTTTTTTTTGTTTTCTTTAAAATTGTCATCAGGACATATTGATGCAAATAATTTATTTCCGGTCTTTTCCCCCTATCTCCCATATTCTGGCCAATGGCGTGCCACTGTATGGGTAGAGGCTGCTGCGCAACGCGCATGAAGATAAGCGATGCGTCTTCACATATGTACGGCGTTCTGTACTGAAGCTAGCTGGAGGAACATTTGAAAACACAATTCGATCCACTAATAGCGAGCGATCTGATGTTTTTGTACGACAGATATACAGCGATTCACTGCACGAAAGAGTCTCAAAAGTGTCCCCAAAACTTCTCGCTCCATCGCCCCCATATTTCCCCCTTTGCGTTCCTTCGCCCCCGCATCGCCCCTTTTCATTCCATCGCCCCCCTGAAAAATGAAATCGCCCCCCGGGGGGGGGGCAATATCGCCCAGGTTAAGAACCACTGATCTAAGTCACAACAATAGAAAAACACAGTCTGCTGAAAATAATAATACACAAACATTACATGTTGCCATGGTTTAATTCAGCAGACTGTGTTTTTCTATTGTGGTGACTTAGATGACGTTCAGAGCACATTTTATGACCAATTCATGCAAATCTCCGCGTTATCCCAAGGGGTTCACATACCTTTTCTTGCAACTGTAGCTAACGAATAGGATAAGATCACCTTTATTGTCATTTTTTTTTTCTTACTGTGAGCATACTGGTCCACGTGAAAAATGAAATTGTGTTGCCTGCTCTCAAAAGAAGGTATATATCTAGCCAGTGAGTTGTCCAAACTTGCTGGGCTTCATTTTATCTGCTAAAAGGAAAACCCCCGGGAGGCCATGCCTGGAAAACTGCGGCCATTTTGGCCACCATATCACAAAAAAAAAAAAAAAAAAAAGAGGTTGAGAGTTTGGAAAAAATTCAGAGAAGAGCAAGTAAGATGATCAAAGGCCTGGAGACTAAAACGTACGAAGAACGGCTGTGGGATTTGGATTTGGCCAGTCTAAAGGAAAGAAGAAATAGGGGAGACATGATAGCGGTGTTCCAGAATATGAGGGGCTGCCACAAAGAAGGGGAGGGTCAAGCTATTCTCCAAAGCACCAGAAGTCAGGACAAGAAACAATGGATGGAAACTGACCAAAGACAGACGCAACCTGGAATTAAGGAGAAAGTTCCTAACAGTGAGAACAATTAACTAGTGGAACAGTTTGCCACCAGAAGTTGTGGGTGTTCCATCCCTGGAGGTTTTTAAGAAGAGGCTGGACAGTCCCTTCTTGAGCCAGACATGCTGGCTCAAGAATTCTGGGAGTTGAAGTCCATGAGTCATAAAAGAGCCAAGGTTGCCTACCCCTGGTATAGGTTCTCCTGCTTGAGCAGGGGGCTGGACTAGAAGACCTCCAAGGTCCCTTCCAGCTCTATTCTATATGTCAATATACCCATACATCACACACATATCCCCACGCTATATACACGTACATATACCCATACCCACACATATAAATATTAATCACTGTCCATTTTGAACATGGAGCGGAAAGAGGAAGGTTGAGAGTTCACAAGGTTAATGGGACAAAACTGTGGCTGAATCTCGGTGGTCTGCTTCGGATACCACGAAGCCCCCCTCCTCCCCAGAAGGTAACCAGGAAAAGAGGTCGTAGAGAGGATGTGCAGCATCCTAGACCAGGGGTCCCCAACCATTGGGGCACCAGGGACCGGTTCTGGGAAGAAAGGACCGAGAGTGTGTGGTTTTGCGTGCTGCCTGCATCCCGCGGATGGGGCTTTGCTTGTTTCTGCGGACCGATTTCTGGCGTGCCATGGCCTGGTGCCTGTCCACCAACCAGGATTTGGGGACCCCTGGCCTAGATCTCCAATCTTTCTCGGTTGGCGGACCGGAGGGAAAGGGAGGAAGCATTTTATGTGCATGTGCTAGTGGCGCCTTGTTTTTGCTGCGTGGCGCCGTTTGTGTAGCGGCGGCGCAAGCACGAGTGGGGGTGAGTGCCCGCACTGGCCAGCCTGTTCTGCGGCCCAGTGGCCAGTAGGCTATGGCCTGGTAATGAGCCTTGGCCCACAGGTTGGGGACCCCTGTCCTAGACCAGGGGTAGGCCACCTTGGCTCTTTTATGACTCGTGGACTTCAACTCCCAGAATTCCTGTGCCAGCATGGGGGAACTATGGCCCCTTCATAACTCGTGGACTTCAACTCCCAGAATTCCTGTGCCAGCATGAGGGAAACTATGGCCCCTTCATAACTCGTGGACTTCAACTCCCAGAATTCCTGAGCCAACATGGCTCAGCTTGAAAACCTCTCCCTTTCCCCTCAGCATGGCTGGCTCAGGAATTCTGGGAGTTGAAGTCCACGAGTCATAAAAGAGCCAAGGTTTATTTATTATATATTTATTAATAAAATTTACATGCCGCCCAATCCCTAGGGACTCAGGGCGGCGTACAAAATTAAAACAATAAATATAACAATAAAAATAAGTGCATTCATACAACATGTCCCAATCGTGTCCCCCCCCCCCCCGGGACATCAACCCCAGGCCTGCCGGAACAGGAAAGTTTTAATGGCTTTCTGGAAGGCCGGCAAGGTGGGAGTAGTTCGAATCTCGGGGGGAAGTTGATTCCACCACGTCGGAGCCACCACAGAAAAGGCCCTTCCCCGATGGCCCGCCAGCTGACATTGTCTGGCCGACGGGACCTGAAGGAGGCCCAATCTGTGGGACCTCACCGGTCTCTGGGAACTATGCGGCAGTATGCGGTCCTGTAACCTGGTCCTAAGCCATGAAGGGCTTTAAAGTGATAACCAACACCTTGAATTGCGTGCGGAGACCCACAGGAAGCCAGTGCAGCTCGCGGAGGATAGGTGACACGTGGGCGTACCTTGGTGCACCCACAATCGCTCTCGCGGCTACATTCTGAACCAACTGCAGCCTCCGAATGCTCTTCAAGGGTAGCCCTTAATAAGGTTGCCTACCCCCGTCCTAGACAATAGACAAGTCATTCAAAAAGTACAATATTAATTCTCAATTAAAATCATGCTGGCCTCTTCTCCTCAGCGGATGACCAGAGCCTCCCCCCAGCTCTGCACCCCAGAGTAACTTTCTATTCCTACCTTAATTTCCTATCCCTGTTTGATATTTTCTACTCCGCCTTTCATTTTTGCCGTCAAAGATAGCCAACGCCACCTGTACTTTTATCATCATAATACAGGTAGTCCTTGAGTTCATTTGGTGACCATTTAAAGTTACAACGGCACTAAAAGGACTTATGACCATTTGTAACACTCATGACCGTTGCAGCGCTCCCCATGTGATCAAAAAATCAGACGCTTGGCAAGTGGTCCGTATTTATGACGGTTGCAATGTCCCTGGGGTGTCACGTGATCCTCTTTTGCGACCTTTTGACAAGCCAAGTCAAATGGGGGAAGCCAGATTCACTTAACAGCTTTACAACTGCAGTGATTCACTTAACAAGTGTGGCAAGAAACGGCGTAAAATAAGGCAAAGCTCCCTTAATCATTGTCTTGCTTAACCTCAGTTGCCGTTGTAAGCCAAGGACTAGCTGTAAAGCTTTATTGACTAGAAACGCACCTGATAAAATTCTAGTGCCAATCTGCTCGTTCGGCACACGCAGGAGGGGTGCTGCACCAGGCCGGCGGACTGTCTGGATACGAGCCACGCATTTAAGAGGTATTTCTAGGATGAGAAAGAGAAAAGCACGGCATTAGCATTTCTTCCTGGCGACAGCTTTGCTGGGAACGGCCAAGGAAAGAGAGCAGTCGGTAACACAAGATAAGGAGTTGCAGAAAGCAGGTTCACACCACACACTAGGAGAGGCTGACCCAGGACCGGACATCTTGTGTAGTTCAGAGTGGGTGGGAGTGCAGAGAGTATCTGAAGATGCGGGGGCAACGTCGTCCGTTGTGTTTAATGTTGTCAGCCGCCCAGAGTCGCCTTGGGAGACGGGCAGCAAATGGAACAAATAAACGAATGAAAGAATGAAAGCCATCCCGCGATGGGTTTTGAGCCCATCATAGAAGCAAATCCAGGAACTGCGGTTTGGTGGATCCAGGTTTGAGATTTGCCAGAGGCTGAATTCCCAGCAGGAAATTCTGACCTGTAAAGCAGCGGTTCCCCAAACTTGGCCTCTTGGAAGACTTTGATGGCCGGGGAATTCTGGGAGTGGAAGTCCACAAGTCTTCCGGTTGCCAAGTCTGGACATGCCGGCTGGGGAATTATGGGAGTTGAAATCTGCAAGTCTTCCAGTTGACAAGTCTGGATGTGCTGGCTGGGGAATTCTGGGAGTTGAAGTCCACAAGACTTCCAGTGGCCAAGTCTGGATGTGCTGGCTGGGGAATTCTGGGAGTTGAAGTCCACAAGATTTCCAGTGGCCAAGTCTAGATGTGCCACCTGGGGAATTCTGGGAGTTGAAGTCCACCAGTCTTCCGGTTGACAAGTCTGGATGTGCCGGCCGAGGAATTCTGGGAGTTGAAGTCCACAAGTCTCCCAGTCGCCAATCTGGACCTGCTGGCTGGGGAATTCTGGGAGTTGAAGTCCACAAGATTTCCAGTTGACATGTCTGGACCTGCTGGCTGGGGAATTCTGGGAGTTGAAGTCCACAAGCCTTCCGGGTGGCCAAGTCTGGAGACGCCTGCTCCAGAGCAGCTTCCATCTGGTGTGGGGCTCTGGCTTCTGCAAGTTCCCAACCGAGAGAAGGGGGGGCTGGGGCGGCGTGTGGCAAAGCCTCTCGGGAGCGTCTTCTGCATGGGAGGCCAGGAGGGCTCCGCAGGCCCAGCCCTGTCAAAGGACGCGTGTCCGGACCTGATAAGCCGGGTTGCATGCGGGGTTTTTCGGGGTTCAACCGCTTCAGGCTACTCAGCCCCTCCCCCCTTCCCCCCTCGCCTGCTGCCCTCCCCCATTTTAGGGTTCCCGTCCTGCAGCCCCTTCCCCGGGCTTCTCCCCGGCACGTGTTGCGTTCACACGTGACGGGGCCGGGACCGGCTGGCTTCAGGCGGGGCTCTCCGCCCGCGCTCCAGGGAAAGAGGGGCGGCCGGCAGGGACGGGCCCCGCCCCGCCCCGGGGAACCCCCTTCTTCCCGCGGGACCCTCCGCCCGGAGGCTTACCCGGCAGCCCCAGGACGCGACCGCCGCCATCTTGGCCGAGGGAGCCTGGGCCGGGAGCCCGGCGGCGCCCGAAGATGACGTTGCAGCGCCACCGGCAGGCGTCGGGTTGCGTCATGCGGCCGCGCAGACGCAGAAAGGAACGTGGAGGCAGCCACCTGACTTTCCGCCTGCCCGGACCCTTCGCTGGACTGGGATAGGCCGGGGGAGCATCGGCCCCGCCCTCTTTGCTGGCTTGGCCCCCCTCCCCTCTGCGGGCTTCGGCCCCGTTCGCCCTCCCCCCGAGGGAGGGAGGGAGGGAGATGAGAGTGAGAAGGAAGGAAAGAAGGAAGGTGGAAATGGGAAAGAAGGAAGGAAGGAAGACGGGAATAAGGTGATGGGAATGAGGAAAGAAGGTGGAAATGGGAAGGAAGGAAGGAAGGAAGGAAGGAAGACGGGAATAAGGTGATGGGAATGAGAGGGAAGGAAAGAAGGAAGGTGGAAATGGGAAGGAAGGAAGGAAGGAAGGAAGGAAGGAAGGAAGGAAGGAAGGAAGGAAGGAAGGAAGGAAGGAAGGAAGACGGGAATAAGGTGATGGGAATGAGAAGGAAGGAAAGAAGGAAGGTGGAAATTGGAAGGAAGGAAGGAAGGAAGGAAGGAAGGAAGACGGGAATAAGGTGATGGGAATGAGGAAAGAAGGTGGAAATGGGAAGGAAGGAAGGAAGGAAGGAAGGAAGACGGGAATAAGGTGATGGGAATGAGAGGGAAGGAAAGAAGGAAGGTGGAAATGGGAAGGAAGGAAGGAAGGAAGGAAGGAAGGAAGGAAGGAAGGAAGGAAGGAAGGAAGACGGGAATAAGGTGATGGGAATGAGAAGGAAGGAAAGAAGGAAGGTGGAAATGGGAAGGAAGGAAGGAAGGAAGGAAGGAAGGAAGGAAGGAAGGAAGACGGGAATAAGGTGATGGGAATGAGGAAAGAAGGTGGAAATGGGAAGGAAGGAAGGAAGACGGGAATAAGGTGATGGGAATGAGAAGGAAGGAAAGAAGGAAGGTGGAAATGGGAAGGAAGGAAGGAAGGAAGACGGGAATAAGGTGATGGGAATGAGAAGGAAGGAAAGTGGAAATGGAAAGGAAGGAAGAAAGGAAGGAAGACGGGAATAAGGTGATGGGAAAGAGAAGGAAGATGGAAATGAGAAGGGAGGGAGGGAGGAAGATGGGAATAAGGAATGAGAAGTTAGATGGAAATGGAAATAAGGAAGGAAGGAAGGAAGGAAGATGGAAATAGGAAGATGGGAATGTGATGGGAATGAGAAGATGGAAATGGGAAGGGAAGAGGAAGATGGGAATAAGGAATAAGAAAAAAAGGAAGATGGAAATAGGAAGGAAGGAAGGAATGAGAAGGGAGATGGAAATAGGAAGGGAGGAAGACGGGAATAAGGTGATGGGAATGAGAAGGAAGATGGAAATGGGAAGGGAGGGAGGGAGGAAGATGGGAATAAGGAATGAGAAGGAAAGAAGATGGAAATAAGGAAGGAAGGAAGGAGAAGGAAGATGGAAATAGGAAGATGGGAATAAGGTGATGGGAATGAGAAGGGAGGGAGGAAGATGGGAATAAGGAGATGGGAATGAGAAGGGAGGGAGGAAGATGGGAATAAGGAGATGAAATGAGAAGAAGGAAGATGGAAATAGGAAGGAAGGAAGATGGGAATAAGGTGATGGGAATGAGAAGGAAGATGGGGAGGGAGGAAGATCGGAATGAGAAGGAAAGGAAGATGGAAATGGGAAGGAAGGAAGGAAGGGAGGGAGGAAGATGGGAATAAGGAGATGGAATGAGAAGAAGGAAGATGGAAATAGGAAGGAAGATGGAAATAGGAAGGAAGATGGGAATGTGATGGGAATGAGAAGATGGAAATGGGAAGGGAGGGAGGAAGATGGGAATAAAGAGATGGAATGAGAAGAAGGAAGATGGAAATAGGAAGGAAGGAAGATGGGAATAAGGTGATGGGAATGAGAAGGAAATGAGAAAAGGGAAGAAGGAAGAAGATGGGAATGAGGAAGAAAGGAAGGCGATGGGAATGAGGAGGATGGACATGGGAATGAAAAGGAAGCTGGGAATGAGGAAGGGGAAGAAGATAGGAGTGAGAAGGAGGGCAGGCAGGCATGAAGGAGAATGGAGGGAGGGAGGAAGATAGGCAGAGGAAAGAAGGAAGGAAGGAGATGGCAATGGGAGGGAAGGGAAGGAGGAAGCAGTGGGGCTCCTGGGCTTCCGAATTCTCAGCCTTTCTGGGAACGGAGTCACAGCTGCCCACACAGAACAGACGGGTCGGTTTCTGGTTCTGTGTCCAGGCGGGGAAAAAACCCCAAATCCAGACAGTCCTCGTCTTACAACGGGGTTCCTTGAGCGACTGTTCAAAGGTACTAAAGAAGTCACATTTTTCAACGCAGAAAAAAGGGGACTAATTGCAGCTTTTCACTTATGCTCCTTGCAGGATCCCGGGGTGTGTGTGTGTGTGTGTGTGTGTCACCTGATTCAAATTCAGACAGCTGCAGTCACGTGATCCACTTTTGCGATCTTCTGACAAGCAAAGGGAAGCTGGATTCCCTTTTAACAACCCTGTTGCTCACTTAACGATTGCAGCGATTCGTTTAACAGCGGTGGCCAAGGAAGCTTGTAAGACGGGGGCAAAACTCAAGCTTAACAAATGTCCCGCTTAGCAACAGAAGTTTTGGGTTCAATTGTGGTCGTTAAGTCGAGGACTGCCCTGGTCATCGTTTGCTAAGCTGCAAGCCAGAGACTTTTCAGAAGGGCCGTTGTCATCCCAGGGTCCTGTGCCGAGGCACACTTTTCAAATCATTTCTACCTTCGATCTTAACGGCTGGCAAAGCCGCCCAGAGTGGCCTCACCGGCGCGACGGGAGGCGTACAAATGTCATAAATAAAGAAGTATAAACGGCCACCCACCATCCCGCAAACAAAGGACCGGAGGAGCGAGGTAACGTTAAGTCACAAGGAAAAACATCTTTAATGTTGACAAGATCTCGTACAGGACAGTTTTGGTCGGATTCGCGTGCTAGTCGCCCACATTTCCAAAGGCTTCCGTCGACAAAAGGTTCCAAACAAGCTATTTTCCAAAGGAGGGTAGGTAACACAAATGATCGGGACTAGCTTTCTCTCCCCCATCCCCTCCCCACCCCTCAAAAAAAACCAAAAACTTTCCACAAGGTTCTTTCACCAGTCAGGAACAGGCAAAGAAGTGGAAGCCACCAGTTCCTGGAAAAAGGACTTCACTCCAGACACAAGGCAAACATTTTTTTTTTCCCCCTTTGCAATGCAACCAGGTGGCACGGCTACAAAAGAACCAGAATTCTGCCGGGTTCAGCAGTTTAAAAACTGCTACCGAAAAGAGAGAGAGAAAGAGAGAGAGGTAAAGATTAAAAAACAAAAAAATGGAAAAAAGCCATCCCCGTGGTTTTTTTTTGTTTTTTTTTAAAAAGGGAAGAATTAAAATGACTCCAGAAAGCAGCAAAGCTTTTCTCGCCAGTTATTATATCCAGGCAGATTTTGTTTTTTTTAAAAAAAAGAAACCATAAACGAGAAAGAATTACAAATCCAGACTCCCGCTTTCCCATCCCACCCCACTTCCCCCTCGGCATTTTAAAAAGGCGGGACATTTTTTAAGCATTTCGGTCAATCCGGACGTCGATCTCTCGGCCGCGGAGCTGGATGCCGTTCATCATGCGGCAGGCTCGCTCGGCCACCTCGGGGGACTCAAAGCGCACCACGCCGCAGCCTTTGGACTTCCCGTTCTCCATCTTGATGTCGGCGTAGAGCACGTGCCCTGCAACGAGAGAGTTGGCCCGCCGTCAGGGATCCCTTGCCCTGCCGCTCGCGCTTCACTTGGAACGTTAAATTTTTGGGGGGCTTGTAAAGCTTTAAAGCAGTGGCTCTCAACCTGTGGGTCGGGACCCCATTTGGGGTCGAATGACCATTTCACGGAGGTCACCAAACAACGCAGTCCGCCATTTCCCCCCCCCCCTTTTCCTTAGCTGTGCTACTCCCTTTTATTCTATTGGCTTTTGAAAGCCAATAGAAGAGACTCTCTTGAATAGACTCTAATTCTATTGGCTTTCCAAAGCCAATTGGAATTGTCCAGGCTGTCTCTGCCCTGCTGAGCCCACCAAAAATCCCATTCTGCAAACGGGGCTGCAAGTTGTCTGCAGCGAAGGAGAGCTGTCTGGAAGTTTCCACCCCTCCCTGCTGAGCAACTATTAAAAATGTAAGTCAAAGAGGGCCAGGGGTGGGAGGTGGGAGGCCGGCGGGTGCAGGGAGGGTTGCTGGCGCGCGTGGGGCCCGGCGGGTGCCTTACCTCCCTTGGGCTGGGCCACCTGGTGGCCCAGCCGGTGGTCGGCCTGCGCCATAGCTGCCCCTTGCCAGCTACGTCTCGGCCGGCGCAGGGGGCGGCACCACGCATGCGTGGCGCTCCCGGGAAGGGAAAGTCCTTGACTTACAACTGGTTGGGTAGTCCTCGACTTACGACCGGTTGGGGGGTTGTGGCATTAAAAAGGTTGAGAACCACTGCTTTAAAGGCTGGTAGGTCCTCGGTACCCTCCCTGACCGCGGCTGTTTTTCTGGCAGACATTTCACTCCCCAAGCGAGCGACATCAGCAATGCTAGAAGTGGGGGGGTGGCCTTGCAGAGAGGAGGAGGAGAAGATGGGAGGAAGAAGAGAAGGATGGGAGAGAGAAATGGGAGGAGGAGGACAGCTGTGGGGTCCTTGGTGCTCCCTGAGCTGGGCGGTTTTCTTGCAGATGTTTCATTCCCCAAGCAAGAAACATCAGCAATGCTAGAAATGGGGGGGGGGCTTGCAGAGAGGAGGAGGAGGAGGAGAAGATGGGAGGAAGAAGGATGGGAGAGAAAAGTGGGAGAAAGAGGACAGCTGTGGAGTTCTTGGTGTTCCCTGAGTTGGGCGGTTTTCTTGCAGATGTTTCATTCCCCAGGCGAGGGACATCAGCAATTCTAGAAGGGGGGGGAGGTTGCAGAGAGGAGGAGGAGAAGGAGGAAGAGGAGGAGGAAGAGGAGGAGGAGAAAGACTGTGGGGTCCCAGGTGCTGTCTCTGGACTTGAAGGGTTTTCTTGCAGACATTTCCTGACCCCAACTAGGCAACACCATCGGCGCTAGTCATTCCACAGAGCAGAAGATCAGAATCAACTCACAATGGAAGACAAAGCAGACCGATAAAAGCGGGGTCCCCAACCTCCAGGGCTTTGAGCCCTTTGGAACCGGGCCGTGGAAGGGGCGGGCGGGTGAGCGTGCGCACCCCCCTCCCTCGCGTGAGCAGCAGGCAAGCCTGTGTGCTCGCACGGAAGCATCCCCTTCGCCCCCCCCCCCCAGTTGGCCGGTCCACAAAGCCAGGAACGGTTGGGGAACTTTGCCATAAAAGGGCCAGATCACCATCGTCTTCCCAGCAGACAAAGGCCGAGCAGCGACCCTGATGACATTAGGTAGTTCGGTCATAAAATGTCTGCAAGAAAACCACCGAACTCAGACAGCACCAAGGAGCCTTCATTTCAACCCTGAGAAATAGAAGAACCCTGTGCTGCAGCTGCCAAAAAGGCCAACACAGTGCTGGGCTGCATTAACAGAGGGATAGAATCAAGACCACGTGAAGTGTTAATACCACTCTACAAGGCCTTGGTAAGGCCACACTTGGAATCCTGCATCCAGTTTTGGTCACCACGATGGAAAAAAGATGCTGAGACTCTAGAAAGAGTACAGAGAAGAGCAACAAAGAGGATCAGGGGACTGGAGGCTAAAACATATAAGGAACGGCTGCTGGAATTGGGGATGTCTAGTTTAACGAAGAGAAGGACGAGGGGGGACAGGATAGCAGGGTTCCAACATCTCAGGGGCTGCCCCAAAGAAGAGGGAGTCAAGCTATTCTCCAAAGCGCCTGAAGGCAGGACAAGAAGCAACAGGTGGAAACTAATCAAGGAGAAAAGCAACCTGGAACTAAGGAGAAACTTCCTGACAGTGAGAACAATTAACCAGGGGAACCACCTGCCTCCAGAAGTGGTGAATGCTCCAACACTGGAAGTTTTTAAGAAAAGACTGGACAGCCATTTGTCCGAAATGGTGTAGGGTTTCCTGCCTGAGCAGGGGGTTGGACTTGATGACCTCCAAGGTCCCTTCCAACTTTTTTATTATTATTATTATTATTATTATTATTATTATTATTATTATTATTATTATCGATCATCGCACAGTCAGCCAGATGTTCAGACTGGATTTGGCATTATTATTATTATTATTATTATTATTATTATTATTATTATTATTATACTGGGGATCAATAGTGAAAAAAACTATTCAGAGTTGGAAGGGACCTTGGAGGTCATCTAGTCCAACCCCCTGCTCAAGCAAGAGACCCTGTACCACTGCAGACGGACGGCTGTCCAATCTCTTCTCGAAACCCTCCGCTGATGGGGCCCTCACCACCTCTGAAAAAATGCACCCGCTGACTAGCACTCAAGCAGAGCAGCCAGGAGAGTCTTGGGGAAAAAAAAGGACTCAAGAGGCCAGGATGCCTCTCCCGCCTCGAAAGATCAGAATCGCGCAGGCCGGGACGTTCCCCGAGACGCTCTATGGAAGCGAGGGAAGGAAGACCGATGTCTTTGGAGTTTGGCGCTGGAGAAGAACCCGAGAATAGGCCGCAGCAGAAACCGATGGATCATCCGACGGTCAATTCCTCCCTCCAGGCACAAAAGACCAGGCTCAGATTATCCCACTCTGGAGAGGTTAGGCTGGTGCCGGCTCTAATGCTGGGAAAGGGGGAAGGGAAAAAGAGGAGGAGGAGGAGGAGGAAGAGAAGGAGGAAGAAGAGGAGGAGGAAGAAGAGGAGGAGGACTATGGGGTCCCCCTTCATGACCCAAACTGGGTAACATCATCAGTGCTAGGAGAGGGAGGAGGAGGAGGAGGAGGAGGAGGAGGAGGAGGAGGAAGAGAAGGAGGAAGAAGAGGAGGAAGGAGGAAGAGGAGGAGGAGGAAGAGAAGGAGGAAGAGGAGGAGGAAGAAGGAGGAAGAGGAGAAGAGAAGGAGGAAGAAGAGGAGGAGGACTATGGGGTCCCCCTTCACGACATAAACTGGGCAACATTATCAGTGCTAGGAGAGGGAGGAGGAGGAGGAGAAAGAGGAAGAGGAGGAAGAGGAGGAAAAGAAGGAGGACGACGACTATGGGGATCCCCCTTCACGACCCAAACATCATCATGAAACGTCTGCAAGAAAACAAGCAAGCTCAGAGAGCACCAAGGCCCTCTCATTTCAGCTCTGAGCTACCAGTATTCTCCTTTATTAGCATTTATTTTTATTTATTCAATTTGCCCCCCCCCTCGTTTTGAAGCAGCTCAGCAACGTCCTATCAACACCAGCTTTCAATGGAAGACCCACCCCCCCCCCTTTGTCTTCCCCCCACCTATTCCACTCCTGGCTGAACACGTTTCGGTTCAAATCAGGGAGAAGGAAGCAGCCCTCATCCCAACTGGGGGTGTGTGTGAGTCAAAAAACACTTGCAGCAGGGGCTTAAGTGCGGAGAGGGGCGGCCCCCACAGCCCTTCCTGCCTTCCTAACAAGGCCTGCAATTCCCCCGCTGAGTAGGTTACAAACAGCCCCCCCCGAACTCTCTAATCAAGGCTACGCGGGCGACTTACCACATTCGTTGAACTTGTCCTTCAGCATTTTCCACGTAAAGTCAAAAGGAAGCTGGGGAGAAGGAAGAGAAGAGGCAACACAAGCGTCACCCCACCTGTCGTCCGGGCAGGTAGGAAAGCAAGCCTCAACTGGGCCCCAAATCCCACCGGATTGCTCCCCCCTTTGGCCAGTGGTCCGCTATTTCCCACTGGAGAGCATCCCCAGCTTGACCACGTAACGCAGGGGTTCTCAACCTTTTTAATGCCGCGACCCCCAACCGGTCGTTAAGTCGAGGACTACTCAACCGGTCGTAAGTTGAGGACTACTCAACCGGTCGTAAGTCGAGGACTGCTCAACTGGTGCAGCCCCGTTTGCAGAAGGGGACTTTTGGCGGGCTCAGCAGGGCAGAGACAGCCTGGACCATTCCTATTGGCTTTGGAAAGCCAATAGAATTAGACTCTATTCAAGAGAGTCTCTTCTATTGGCTTTCAAAAGCCAATAGAATAAAAGGGAGTAGCACAGCCAAGGAAAGGGGGGGAAAAATGGCGGACTGCGTTGTTTGGCGACCCCCGTGAAATGGTCCTTCGACCCCAAATGGGGTCCCCACCGACAGGTTGAGAACCGCTGACGTAACGTGTTTTGGGGTCGGGATGGAAGAAAACGGGGACATTCGGAGGGAAAGAGGGGGCAATTTTCACGGGATCCGCACACAGGCTCACAAACACACAAGAGATGCAACTCACGTTTCTCACAAAAATCTGGCAGGCTTTCCTGGCTACTCCGGCGGCGGCCGCGGCAGCGGCCGCGACGGGTCCTCCGGTGCCCAGGGCGCCGCTGAAGTTTCCGGCAGCAAAGTTCCCGCGCTCCATGTCCATGCTTCTCTCGAAGCTGCTCCCCATGGGCAGCCCGATGCGGTCTAATCCGGCGCCCATGCCCTGGCTCAGGGCTGGCCCCATCCGGTCCATGCTGCTGGCCGCCGCCCCGATGCGGTCCAGCCCCATGCGGTCCATGCTGGGGGCCGCCAAGCGGTCCAGCCCCATCCGGTCCATGGGGGCCGCTCCCAGGCGGTCCAGCCCGGCCGGCATCCTCTCCATCACGGGGCCCATCCCCGCCGGGACCATGCGGTCCAGGCCCAGCCCCATCCGGTCGACCCCGCTGCCCATGCGGTCCATGGCGCTGCTCACCCGGTCGAGGGTGGAGCCCATGCGGTCCAGGCCGAAGCCCAGGCCGGCCCCCATCCGCTCCATGCCGGGGCCCATCCGGTCGAGGCTGGAGGCCAGGTGATCTAGCCCCAGGGGGGCCATGCGGTCGATGCCCGAGCCCAGGCGGTCGACGCCGGAGCCCATGCGGTCCAGCACCAGGCCCATCCGGTCCATCTCGGAGCCCACGCGGTCGATCCCGTGGCCGAGGCCGGTGGGCAGCCTGTCGATGCTGGGGGCCATGCGGTCCAGTCCGGGGGCCATGCGGTCAATGGCCGGGATCGAGGCGCCGCCCCCGCCACCCCCTGGAGGAAGGAAGAGGGAAAGGCGGGTCTCAATCCTGGGACTGGGACCCTCAGCTCGCCCCCCCCCCCCGCCGCCCCTCAGGATAGGCCGCCTTTCGCCTGCGGGGGGCTGACGGGGGTCTCCCAGCCTTGCCAGAAACCGAGCGGGCTGGCAAAGCCACGGTCTCTCCCACGGAGGGAGCCCCCATTTTGCAGGCAATCGTCCGCTGACCCAAAACGGTCGCCAAGCGAGACATTTCTGAAGTGAGCTTGGCCCCATTTTACGACGTTTCTGGCGGCAGCCGTTCCGTAAAATCACTGCAGCTGTTTAGCCGGTTCCCCGGTTGTCAAGTGAAATCTGGACTTTGCTGGTCAGGAGGATGCAAAAAGGGGGTCACGTGACACACACACACACACACACACACACACACACACACACACACACTCAGGACACCGCAACCGTCATAAATACGAGTCGGTTGCCAAGCGTTTGAATGCTGATCGCGTGACCAGGAGGATGTTGCAAAAGGCCCTTTTTCCAGTTGTAACTTGTCGTCTGTACGGTTTCTTTAGTGACCTACCTGAAGTTACGACGCTGAAAAAAAAAAAGTGACTCACAGCCATTTTTCATACTTACGACGGCTGGACCGTCCCCGCAGTCACGTGATCAGAATTCCCGACACTTAGCAACCGACTCACATTTACGACAGTTGCAGTGTCCCTGGGTGATTGTGTGTGTGTGTGTGTGTGTGTGTGTGTGTGTGTGTGTGTCATGCGATCCCCTTTGGCGACCTTCCGACAAGCCAAGTCAAAATGGGAGAAGCCTGATTCGGTTAACAACCGTGTTACTCACTTAACGACCGCAGGGATTCAGTTTTAATCCCTGGGGCAAGAAAGGTCGTAAAATGGGGGGGGGCCAAGACTCATGTAAGAAACGATTTGCTTTGTAACAGAAAACTTTGGGCTCAATTTTTGGTTGTAAGACGAGGACTCCTGTCAAGGTAGTCTCTCTCCTTCCTTTTTCCTTCCCTCCCTCCCATCTCTCCCCGCTTCCTTCCTTCCCATCTCTCTCCTTCCCTCCATCTCTCTCCCCTTCTCTATCTCTCCTTCCCTTTCTTCCCTCCCTTCCATCTCCCTCCTTCCCTCCTTCCTTCCTCCCATCGCTCTCCCTTCCTTCTCTCCCATCTCTCTCCCTCCCTCTCTTCCTCCCATCTCTCTCCCCTTCCTTCCTTCCCTCCCATCTCTCCTTCCTTCTCTATCTCTCCTTCCCTTTCTTCCCTCCCTTCCATCTCCCTCCTTCCCTTCTCCCTTCCTCCCATCGCTCTCCCTTCCTTCTCTCCCATCTCTCTCCCTTCCTCCTCTCTTCCTCCCATCTCTCTCCCCTTCCTTCCTTCCCTCCCATCTCTCCTTCCCTCCCTCCCATCTTTCTCTCTCCCCTTCCTTCCCTCCTCTCTTCCTCCCATCTCTCCCCTTCCTTCCTTCCCTCCCTTCCTCCCATCTTTCTCTCTCCCCCCTTCCTTCCCTCCCATCTCTCTCCCCTTCCTTTCTTCCCTCTCTTCCTCCCATCTCTCTCCCCTTCCTTCCTTCCCTCCCATCTCTCCCCTTCCTTCCCTCCCATCTCCCCTCCCTCCCTTCCTCCCATCTTTCTCTCTCTCCTTCCCTCCTTCCCTCCCTCCCTCCACTCCTTCTTAGAAACCTGCCATTCCTCCCCACTTGGGAAGGTTCCAGGGAACAGCCCCGCGTTTGACACTCAGATCAGACCCTTCCCGCACTCATAATGCACTCCCTGTACAGGCGGAGTCCGGACGACCTACCTATGCCTCTGTCCAGAGTGTCTCCAAAACTACGGGCCATCCCCATTTCGTTTCTCGGGAAGTCTCTTTCGAATCCCCCTCCGATGGCTCGGTCCATCTCTGGAAGACAGAGAAGAAATCTCAGCATCCTCCCTGGCGACCACATTGGGTGCAGCTGGGCCCAGATTGTTGGGGGCAATGTAAATATATATATATATATATATACATTGCTTACTGGTATACACCGCTTAGAGAGTGCTCGCACTTAAAGCAGTATATAAGTCTCATAAATAAACTCGCCCACATTTAGAGGTGGGCAATCCCACCCACCTATTTAACCCTTGAGCAGCACGTTTGTCCAGGGACACACACACAAAGAAGCTGGGTCACACCAGCATCCCGCCTTGGGTTTTTGCTCACCCCCCCAAAAAAAATAGAGGCCCCTAAGGAATCCTTGCAGCCAAACAGCAGAGGGGCTGTCCTGGAGTTATGAGCGTAACGGATCGCACCCATCACGGTTATTAATTTGTGACAGTTTGAGGTTTATACTGGAAGAAAGATTCTTTGCCTACTTTAGAAGAATGGATATTTAAAGTATCTAGTTTTGCAGAAATGGCAAAAATTTCTGCTTATTTAAAGGATCATACACAAGAAAGATATGTTATTGTATGAAGATGGATAGATTATATTCAGAAAAAGTATGGAATTAAAAAGTTTCATTTATTTTATGAATGAATATTAAATATTACAGAGAATTGTTTTATAGGTTATGGAGTTAAAGGTTAATTATGATATTTTTTTTTCTTTTCTTTTCTTTTCTTTTTTTATTATTATAAATTTTGTTATTATTAACCCTGTATTCTGCTCTGGGAAGTGAAGGGAGGGGCGTTGGGGGTGGGAGGGATGGTAAGGGGGGGGGGGGTAAAGGTAGTATAGACAATGGTTGCTTATGCATTTATTTTACTTTTAAATTTTATTGTATTTTTATAATGTTTGTATGTTAAAAAATAAAAATTTTCAATATATAAAAAAAATTGTGACAGTTTGTAAATGGCATTTTTTGGGGGGCAGCGGTGGCTAAGTGAACAACACGGTCCTTAAACAAACCAAACAGTTTGCCACGGGCCGATTTCTTTTCCCACCCACCCCCCAAAAAAAACAGAAATACCAGGTTTTGGGGGGGTCAATACCATTGTAAAAACCAGAATCACGCGAACGCAGGACGCTGCAAACAGCCGCCGACGTGGGCCCGGTTGCAGAGCACGCGCAGCGCAGTCACGACTGTGGGGAATGGGGTGTGGGTGTGTTTGACTGCCACAGCTTTAAATCCAGGTTGCAAGTACCCCCGCCCCCCCGAGGTAGATCGTGGAAACATGTCAGTCGCTAAGTGACTGTAAGTCTACACTCATTGGCTGTTCGCCACAGAACTGAAGGGATGGCTGAAATGCAGCTGGGAGCTCCATGTTTGCTTAGGAGAAATCAGCAATTCCTTCTTTACAAGAAAAGCCGACAGCAGGATAAAAAGCATTCAGACAGCATTATCTAGTCATGCAGGGGTAGGCAAGCTTGGCTCTTTTATGACTCGTGGACTTCAACTCCCAGAATTCCTGAGCCAGCTATAGCATAGCTGGCTCAGGAATTCTGGGAGTTGAAGTCCACGAGTCATAAAAGAGCCAAGCTTGCCTACCCCTGGATCTAGTCCGTCAGGTCGATCCCAACAGCGGGGACACGCACGGGGGGTCCCGCTGGGGATGGCTGCGCACAGTGGCCAGAGGAGACACGGCAAGCGAGGCGTTAAGGCTGCAGGCTCTTACCACTCATCCGGCCGAGGTTCATCCCGGAAGGAAAACGGCCCAGGCTCTCCATTCCACTGAAAGGACCCTCCATGCCTGAAACGGAAGCGTCGCCGTTCAGCTCCCGGTTTCGGGGAGGGGCCGCCAAGGGCGATTCGCGGCGAAGTGGGGGAGAATGGATACGGCCCCGTTTCTTGCACTTATTAATTAGTCACCCAGTGGGCCGTGCCTTTTGCTCCTCTTGGCCAGCCTGAGGGGCCGGAGAAGAACCCGAGGCCGAATAGCTTCCTGGCCGTCTCTGGGGCCAGACTGGTGGGAGGCACAGGCGATCCGCGCGGCGCTGACCCTCCCCGGGGCTGTGAACGCAGAACCCAAAGGCCCTGCCTGAGCAGCGAATGCGCCCACGGCTGTTTTATGGGGCGGGCACCATGCAGGAGCCTGGGGCTTTCCAATTTAGCGGTCAGTTCTCGTGGAAGATTCTGGACGAACCTTCGCTCGTCATCAAGAGCCTCGGCGGCCGAGGGACTTACCTCCCATTTTATTCATTCCGAAGCCCAAGCCTTCGATCCCCATCCCTAAAAATTAAAACAAAACAAAACAAAAAGGGTGTGTGTGAATGCACACCCCAAATCCCTTTCACCCTCCCCAGCAGGGAAGATGAGAAGAGATCTAAAGCAGCAATCCTGCGTGGGGGCACGGTGGTTAAAGTGCAGCATGGCAGGCTCATTCTGCCCACTGTCAGGAGTTCGATCCTGACCAGCTCAGCCTTCCGTCCTTCCGAGGTCAGTAAAACGAGGAACCAGATTGCTGAGAGCAAATAGGCTGTAAACTGCTTAGCGGGGGCTGTAAAAGCGTTGTGAAGCGGTATATAAATCTAAGTGCTATTGGTATTCTCTCCCTCCTTCGCGTTTTCTTTCTACCTTTCTTTTCTTTCCTTCTCTCTATCCTCGCCTTCCTTCTTCTCCATTGTTGTCTTTCCCTCCTGCTCCATCTCTTATTTCTCTTCTCTTTTCCTCACCCTCTTCTTTCCTCTCCTCCCTCCCTCCCTCCCTCCCTTTTTTTGTCCTTTTCTTTCTCTTCTTTCCTTCCTTCCTCTTGTAAGAGACCTGGTGGCGCTGTGGTTAGAATGCAGCAGTGCAGGCTGACTCTGCCCACTGCCAGCAGTTCGATCCTCTCACCGGCTCAAGGTCGACTCAGCCTTCCGTTCTTCCGAGGTCGGTAAAAGGAGGAGCCAGGCTGTTGGGGGCAAATAGGCTGACTCTGTGAACCGCTTAGAGAGGGACGTGAAAGCGCTGTGAAGCGGTATACAAGTCTAAGGCGCTAGTGCGATTTCTGATTTCGGGCCTGTGTCTGTGGGGAGCAAAGTGCCTCAAACTGGCTTCCGTAAAACGGCCCACCACCTGGGGTTGTCCTTGGAGAAAGCTGCCCCCAAAAGAAAAGGGGGCACCTGGGAAACTCCCCAACAGGTCAGGAAGGCAAAAGAGAAGAGCTGAAGGGAAGAAAATCCACAATTGAGGAAAGAGAGAGAGAGAAAAAAAATATCAAGGACCCCCAAATGTGAAGCAGCAGATAAAAGACTCACCTCCAGGGCCAAGGTTGCCCATGCCCAGGCCTTTGTTCAGGTGGTTGGCATCAATGGGTAATCCGCCCGGCCCCAATCCCATGCCGATCCCTCCAAGGCCATCTGCAAGAGGGATGGACAACGGAGAGTCAAATGCCTCGTTTCTCATTTTGGGGAACAAACAGCTCCGTCACAGAACAGAACAGGGGAGGAAAAAAGGCTGGTTGACTCCGATCTAGTCAGTCTGGGTGTTTTAGTTCATCCCATCACAACAGACACAAGGGATGCCCACCCAGCTTGCTCTGAAGTAACACACACACACAAACACAACACACACAGGCTTAAACCGAAAACACTTTTTCCATCTGCAGGAACTCTTGATTAGCATCTCTAAGAAACGAAGTCTCTTCGGAAAAAAATGAAAAGAATATAGAATAGACCAGAAGAATATAGAATAGACTTTCCAATGGCTGAAAAGCTCAGCGTTTTGCCTGCTTAACTACAGGCCTCCTTTTGAAATACAATAAGGGAACAATCTATTTGCTGTTACATGTCTTGATTGCAGCTAGGCTGGCGTTCGCGCCAAAATGGAAGAGCAAAGAAATTCCCCCAGAGGAAGAGACGCTATGTAAAATACGACAATGTGCAGGAATGGACAGGCTCACAAGGGTATTGAAAGACAAATGCAGGTCAGTTTATTTCAAAACCTGGGATAAATTTTACCACTGGAAGGATTTGAGGACGGTTGGGATTATAGGCTAGTGTTAAGATAGAAATATATGGAATTTTAGAATAAGCATTGTATATAAAATTTAGATGTATATTTAGAGATGAAAAACCGATTGTAAAATGTGGAATAATTCGATAAGAATAAGTACACTGGAATGTCACGTTATATCCAATGTTTTTTTTAATTGTATTATAAATAAAATTTTGGAAAAAAAAAAACCCACCTACAGGCCTCCTTTTCATGAACCGGGGGGGGGGGGATGCTAGATGGGATTTGAGGTTGATTTTCCGAAAGGTTCTGAGCTGAAATATTTCCTAACGTTTCAGCACAGCTGAGGATCTTCCGGCCACAAGCTAACGACAGATAACTGTTGGGTCAGTTTGAGGATTATCTGCCAAACACAATCAGGGACCAGGGGTGTCCATAAGGGCCTCAGAAAAAGCCAAGATGGCGGCGAGAACGTGACACATATTAAGAGAGAAAACGAAAATGTGAATGAGAGAACAGAACGAGAGAAGAGAGAACGAGAGAATAAGAGAGAACAAGAGAACGAGAGAGAGAGAGAGAACGAGAGACGAGATGTTGACCCGGACTTAGGGGACAGTGAATACGTGCAGATGGCCCCCCTCTCTCTGGCCACTTTCAGACCCACGATTGCAAGGTCATGGAAGGACAGCGAAGGAAACACCCCATAACCTAACCCACCCGAGAACAGATGGAGCCTTGGGGAAACACCCAAACCACCCAAAAGGGGAACATTTTTAGCTACTTCTGCTTTCTCCCTTCTTATCTACAGTGTGCCAGCCTTAAAGGGTGAAATCTCTATCTTATGTGGGTCAGCTTTGCTGGGTGAATTGCTTATGTAATCAAAGTAGGTATAAAAATTAAGGCTTTTTCGATATTTGGGGCGTTTCTCTCTGAGCCCGTCTTTGCTCAGCTGAATAAACACGTAACTATTGAGGGCAACTTCTGGTTTCCTGTATTTTTTTTATCAAGCAAAACCTCACTGTAGTAATCACTCCTTTTTGTTTTGAAGGGTGCAAAGAAATGGCCACCTTTACGCAGCCTTTTATTGTTTATATAGAGGTTTGCAAATAGCAAAAGATACAGCATGGCAACAGCATTTCATTGGCTAAAATCCTTTACCAATCCTCAAGAGTAAAAAGCTAGAGGCCATAAACAGGGAAACTTGTTGTTCACCGGCTAGCCTTATCAAACTGGCAAGGTCACACAGACCTGCTGTCAATGCTGCAAATACTGTATATTCTTGCTTTGACAATATGAAAAACTGTCTGGCATTTATTGGGTTAATACTTAGCTTAGACTGAGCGGGGGGGGGGGGGAAGCCCGGGAAAGAAAGAGGAAGTAAATGTTTGACCTTCTCACTAATTGGATAATGTGACCTGTGACTGCATGAGAAGGAAGGGGTTGAGCAAGGAAAGCTTGATGCCAGCGACAGGAAGTTCAGATTCTGGCATCAACCAGTCTATCATGGTGACCGGCAAAACTGTAGCTCTGAAAATAAAGATTTTAGGAAACATGCCTGAAAGTTCTTTGAAGTGCTTCATTAGTCGGAACCTGTTGACACCTGCGTACTGTCACGTCACCATGGTGATGTGGGGGGGGGAGATAGATGCAGAAAGGAGGGGCACCCAGGCTTTGAAGGGCAGTTTTCCGCACACAACTTTTGCCTGTCTCTCATCTCTACACCTCAGAACCCGCATATCAGAGAGAACGAGAGAATAAGAGAGAACGAGAGAACGAATGGGAGAATGAGATAAAATGAGAAAACGCTTTGACTTCAAGGTTGGGCGCTTTCTTAACCCCCTTCCTGCAGGCACCCCTGGTGTGAAATCAGCCCTGCTACATTTTAAAGAAACTAGGCGCTGAATGCCACAGGTATCGTCTTGTGAAGAAGCCAACAAAGACACCGAGTGTGTTCTATTGCTGAATGACAGCACAAATGACTGACTAGAGCCCCTCTCTGTGTGAGATGGGCAGTTAAGACATACAAAATGCAAATAACGAACAAACAAAAAGCCACATCTCAATATTAAAAGTTATGTGGGGTCCTTGGGGTCCTCTGAGGTGGGAGGGGGGGGTTCCTCGCCCTAATGTTACCTAGTTTGAGGTAAGGCAACTCCTGCAAGCAAACAGCCCAGCCCAGTTCAACCCGGGGCTGCAAATATTCTTGTCTATCAATTCAAAAGTTTGTGTAGTGTATATTTTCAGGCAGGGGCAGAAAAGAGCCTTGGAGCTGCTTTGGGCAAGTGTCAACCGGCTCCCGTTGTCCCCGGAGACGTTCTAGGCACGACTCCAGCGTTGTCTGCTTCGTCGGAGGTTTTGTTTCAATTTAATAAGATGTTTTCACTAGCAAAACACAATTCATTCGGCTGCTGGCAAGCCACGTCGACACTCTTTCATCGTCCGTGGGGTGCCACACAGACCCGATGTCAACGCTGCAAATATTGTATATTCTCACGTTTGACAATATGCAGAATTGTCTGGTAATTATGGGGTTAATACAGAACAGAAGGGGGGTTGGGGGTAAAGCCCGGGAAAGAGAGAGATTACGAGGGCTAATTTAGGGAGGGGACATGTTGATAATTGAACTGCTCAGAGGAAGTTAGCAACCCCGTCGTTAAGTGAATCCGGTTTCCACACACAAACACACACCGGATTTTGCTTGTCAAGAGGTCGCAAAGGGGAAATCATGGGTCACTCCACCCCACCCCGGGGGACACGGCAGCCGTCATAAATACGAACCGGTTGCCGAGCGTCTGAATTTTGACCGGTAAAGTGTGAAAACTGGTCGTAAGTCACTTTTTTCAGGGCTGTTGTCATTTTGAACGGTCACTAAAGGCACCGTTGTAAAGTCGAGGAAAGGTCCAGATGTCAACGCTACAAATACTGTATATTCTTGCTTTGACAATATGCAGAACTGTCTGGTATTTTTGGAGTTAATGCAGAGCAGAAGAGGGTGGAAGGTAAAGCCCGGGAAAGAGAGAGGAAGGAAACCTTTGACCTTCACACTAATTGAATAATGTGATATATGATGGCTAATTTAGGGAGGGAACAGGCTGATAATTGAACTGCTCAGAGGAAGGGAACTTAGAGCCTAGCATCCCTCCGTTGTGCCTGTGCCCACATTTTGTAACAATAAAAGACTTTTAGGAAAATCAATGCCTGGAAGTTCTTTGAAGTGTTTCATTAGCCGGAACCGTAACACCCGACCCCCTCCCCGACATTCCAAAGTGGCTCCCTGCTTCACAACGGCCTCCTGAACTAAAGGGAGGAAACGAATCTAGCAGAGTTTTGCAAAGCGTCTTCCGCCTGGCTCTCCAGCCCAATCAGGCGCCGTTTCCCTACGGAGCTCGGAGGACTTACGCGGAAGCTGCTGAGGCCGCTCCGGAGGGAAAAAGTCTCCTTTTGGCAAAGCGCGCTCATCCTGAAAAAATGAAAGAGAAGCTTAATGTGGGGGGGAGGGGGGAGAGACAAGGAGGGGATGGGCGTAGGCAACCCTCCCTCCATTATCCCAAAGGTGCTTTTTTTTTCTTTTTTCAGGAGGCAACTAGACTTCCCTGTTCTTCCTTTGAAGACGTTTCGCTTCTCATCCCAGAAGCTTCTTCGGCCCTGACTGGATGGTGGGGAAGGGAAGGATTGACACTCCTTGCAGACCGCTGGTCATTTGCATTCCTTTAGAGAGTCATTGAGGCCACTTGGAGGTTTATCTCTGTCCTCGGGGCGAATGGTGCAAATGGGGTTGGAGCTTGAACAGTCCCAAGAAGGCTCCACTCCCATTTGCACCAGTCAGGTGACCCTGAGGACACAGGTAAACCTCCAAGTGGCCTCAACAACTCTCTAAAGGAATGCAACCCTCCCTCGATTATCCCAAAGGTGCTTTTTTTTTTTTTTTCAGGAGGCAACACAAAGGGTGACCCCTCCCCAGCATGCACCCAGGGGGCGGGGTCGACATGTACCCAGGGGCTGGTTCCTGTTTCCAGACAGCCTTGTGGAGCTAAGACTGAATGTGTTTCAGCAAAGATGGCCACAAAATTGTACATTGGCTCCCGGCCGGCCTGGGCCAGGGCCAAGGCAGTGGGGGCTGTTCCCTCACTGTTTCCAGGATGGTTTCACAGGCCACATGAAACCACTTTGCGGGCTGCCCCCGGTCCTTGTGTTTGACACGTCTATTTTAGAGGGTCGTTGAGGCCACTTGAAGGTTTACCTGTCCCCTCAGGGTCACCTGAGTGGTGCAAATGGATGTGGAGCCTTTTATGTGAAGATGTTTCGCTTCTTCAGCTCTGACTGGATGGTGGGGAAGGGAAGGATTTACAGTCCTTGCAGACCGCTGGTCATTTGCATCCCTTTGAGAGGGTTGTTGAGGCCACTTGGACCCTGAGGACACAGATGAATCTCCAAGTGGCCTCAATGACCCTCTAAAACAGACATGTCAAACACAAGGCCCGGAGGCGGCCCGCAAAGTGGTTTCATGTGCCGGGAGCCAATGTACAATTTTGTAGTGGCCATCATGGCACTTGCCCCGGTGGACCATGCCTTGGCACTTGCCCCAGTCCCACCCCCTTCTGCCAGAGACCCTCAGATCTGTCCCACTCCTGCCCAGGCCCCCCATAGGCACCCTTGAGACGAATGATGTAGAACGGGCTACGCCCACTCCATCCACGCCCACCTAGTAGGCTGCACCCACTCTGGCCACATCCACCCCCCCCATCCCCAAGGGCAACCGCAATGCTGATGCAGCCCTCAGTGAAATGGAGTTTGACACCCCTGCTCTAGAAGGCAAATGACCAGCTCTCTGCAAGGAGTATAAATCCTTCCATCGTCCACCATTCGGTCAGAGCGGAAGAAGCTTCTCGGGTGAGAAGCGAAACATCTTCAAAGGAAAACCAAGGAAGTCCAGTTGCCTCCCGAAAAAAAGGCACCTTCGGGGCGACTGTAACCCGGGTTGAGGGAGAATCTCCGTAGAAAACACTCACACACACACGCTTACCATCTTGACATGCATCGGTCTGTCGAAGAGCAGCTGCCCGTTGAACATAGCTAGCAGTTGAGTCAAGGCTTTTCAGTCATACGTCGGTCCAAGAGAGACCGCAAAAGGCTCAGAAACACTTGTCAAAACCTCCCCCGTGTTGTGCTTTCATCAACTCGCTCCCCATCATTCTCTCTTGAGCAGTGGTTTTCAACCTTGGCAACTTTACTATGTGTGGACTTCAACTCCCAGAATTCTCAACTGCTTCCATCCTGCGACGATATCTGTAATACCATCAAACATCCACATCTGCCTATCTCAGGTCCTGGGTAAGGACTCAATAGGTAGACAAAATGCCAAATCCAGTCTGAACATCTGGATGACTGTGCGATGATCCATAGTAATAATGATAAAGCTGGAAGGGACCTTGGAGGTCACTTAGTCCAACCCCCTGCTCAGGCCAGAAACCCTATCCCGTTTCAGACAAATGGCTGTCCAGTCTCTTTTTAAAAACCTCCAATGTTGGAGCATTCACCGCTTCTGGAGGCAGGTTGTTCCACTGGTTAATTGTTCTAACTGTAAGGAAGTTTCTCCTTAATTCCAGGTTGCTTCTCTCCTTGATGAGTTTCCACCCGTTGCTTCTTGTCCTGCCTTCAGGCACTTTGGGGAATAGCTTCACTCCCTCTTCTTTGGAGCAGCCCGAGATACTGGAACACTGCTATCCTGTCACCCCTGGTCCTTCTCTTCGTTAAACTAAATATACTCAATTCCAGCAGCCTTTCCTTGTATGTTTTAGCCTCCAGTCCCCTAATCATCTTTGTGGCTCTTCTCTGCCCTCTTTCTTTAATATCTTCCTTATCAACGGGCCTCGCCTTCTCCCCCTCCGCCTGCCTTTCAGCGGGAAGCCAGAATTGATCTCCAAACGGGCAGTTGAGATTTGGGAGGTCTTTGTGCCGGCCACTTTACCCCTCAACCCCTTCACGACATAATACGGGGCGACAGTTATGGGTGGCGATTCCCAATCAGCGTTCAGAGGCAGAGTAAACCTCCAACTCCTTCAGCGCGCGGCCTACCCAACCCGCTCTGTCCCAAAGACGCCCGAGCTTTGTCCCAAAGAGACCCTCCCTCGGGTCCGAGCAAAGGATACAGATGGCCTGGACGGCCTCGATTGCTTGTTCAAAGGTGACGGTGCCGATGCCCCGGCTCTTCCCGTCTTTGTCTTCCAGGATGTCTGCTCGGACGACTACCCCAGCCATGCCAAAGACCTCCTTCAGCTTCTTCCAGCCAACCTTGTAGTCCAGCTGAAGGAAGAGACCGGGGGGGGGGTGGGGAGGAGAAGATGACCAGGGAGCAACAATTAAAACATTTGGATCTTTAAAACATGGCTCATCCCTCAGGAACGCTGCCCTGTTCACCGTTAACGGGGGAGAGCTTAGCCGGATTGTCTGGGACGGGGGCTCTTTAAAATGCAGAGGACGATTGTGCCCCCGCCCATCCTGGGGGACTTTAAGGCGGGTGGACTGTCAAGCTGGGGGATTCTGGGAGTTAAAAAAAGTCCACCCATTGGGAACGGGTGGGCCAGGCCAAACCATGCGTTAGTCCGGCAAGATTCTGTCTATTGCAGTGTTTCTCAACCTTGACCGTTTTAAGGCATGTGGACTTCAACTCCCAGAATTCCACAGCCAGCGTTGCTGGCTGTGGAATTCTGGGAGTTGAAGTCCACATGCCTTAAAATGGTCAAGGTTGAGAAACACTAGTCTATTGCCTGTAAGCAAATAATGCACTGAACTTTGGCTGCATTGTTTTACGGTCGTTCTGGGCCCTAGGCCCGGGGTGGGCAACCTTGGCCCTTTTAGGACTTGTGGGCTTCAACTCCCAGAATTCCTGAGCCAGCTATAAGCTGACTCTGTTAAGTTGCTTAGAGAGGGCTGTGAAAGCACCGTGAAAGTGGTATGTTAAGTCTAAGGCAGCGTTTCTCAACCTTGACAATTTTAAGGCATGTGGACTTCAACTCCCAGAATTCCACAGCCAGCATTGGTCTAAGGCAGTGGTTCTCCGCCTGTGGGTCGGGACCCCATTTGGGGTCGGACGACCATTTCACGGGGGTCGCCAAACAAGGCCGTCCGCCATTTTTCCCCCCTTTGGCCACGCCCCTGGCACCCGGTGTTGTATAAGTGGTTGGGGGTCACCACAACTTGGGGAACTGTATTATGGGGTCGTGGCATTAGAAAGGTTGAGAACCACTGGTCTAAGGGCTGTTGCTATTCTCTTTCCCTTTCCCTCCCTCTCTCCTTCCTTCGTGCCCTTTTTCTACCTTTCTTTTCTTTCCTTCCCTCTAGTCTCTCCTTCCTTCCCTTCTTTTTCTCCATTTCTTTCTTTCTGTCCTGCTCCCTCCATCTTTTATTTCCCTTCTTTTTTTCTCTCCGTCTTCTTTCCTTCCTCCCTCCCTTTTTTTTCTCCCCTTCCTTCCTTCCTTCCTTCCTTCCTTCCTTCCTTCCTTCCTTCCTTCCTTCCTTCCTTCCTCCCTCCCTCCCTCCCTCCCTCCCTCCCTTCCTCTTGTAACAGCCCTGGTGGCGCAGTGGTTAAAATGCAGCTCTGCAGGCTGACTCTGCTCATAGAGCCAGGAATTTCGGTCCTGACCGGCTCAAGATTGATTCAGCCTTCCGAGGTTTTTAAAATGAGGACCCAGATTGTTGGGAGGCCAATACGCTGACTCTGTAAACCGCTTAGAGAGGGCTGTAAAAGCACTGTAAAGCGATATATAAGTCAAATGCTCTTGCTATCGGGGAGGATTGGATAACTCCTGCTCTATCTCTTTATCGGGATCCTTGGCAAATTCGGGTTCAGACCTGGGCTTGGGTCAGGCTAAGCCAAGGGTAGGCCACCTTGCTCTTTTATGACTGGTGGACTTCAACTCCCAGAATTCCTGAGCCAGCATGGGGGAACTATGGCCCCCACATGACTCGTGGACTTCAATTCCCAGAATTCCTGAGCCAGCATGGGGGAACTATGGCCCCCTTCATGACTCTTGGACTTCAGCTCCCAGAATTCCTGAGCCAGCATGGGGGAACTATGGCCCCCTCATGACTCATGGACTTCAACTCCCAGAATTCCTGAGCCAGCATGGGGGAACTATGGCCCCCTCATGACTCATGGACTTCAACTCCCAGAATTCCTGAGCCAGCATGGGGGAACTATGGCCCCCTCATGACTTGTGGACTTCAACTCCCAGAATTCCTGAGCCAACATGGGGGAACTATGGCCTCTTCATGACTCATGGACTTCAGCTCCCAGAATTCCTGAGCCAGCATGGGGGAACTATGGCCCCCTCATGGCTCGTGGACTTCAACTCCCAAAATCCCTGAGCCAGCATGGCTCAGCTTGGAAACCTCTGCCTTTCCCCTCAGCGTGGCTGGCTCAGGAATTCTGGGAGTTGAAGTCCACGAGTCCTACAAGAGCCAAGGTTGCCTACCCCTGGTTTAGGACAATACATGTTATTTTGCTATTCGATACGCAAGAGCCAGGATCGTTTGCACTGGGCTGACTTCGCCTCCGCCAGGGACCCCAAAAAAAGAACATGACCGTCCTTTCAGCCCCGAGGACCAAATTCCGACACGCAAACCGCCCAGAGGGGCAACTTACATTGGCCACGAAAACGGTACTGCCCAGCCGGCCGGCTTGCAAGGCGTGGATGATCTCGTTAGGGATGTTGGGGTTGTTGAGAATGCTGGGCGGGATGTTAATCATGCCAGGCCCGCTGGGGCTGATGCCCATCCCGCTGCCAGAGGCGGCCATGGCCTTCTGCACGGCTCTTCGGACATGCTCACCGTCGGGGTCCTAGAACAGGGAGGGAGACGCTTTTAGCCGCCTGCTCTCCTGCAGGGCAGAGAGAAGCTCAGAATGCGGCCTTTGTGTAGTGCTGGGAAAATGGAGACAATTTGGGAAGAAAGGAGGATCGGGGAAGAAACACTGGATTGTGCAGCATTGAACAGATTTACATTGAAGAAGATAATGTTAAATACATAATACGTGGTTTGCTAAGCACTAAAGACTTGCAAGAGGTCGGCTGGGACGGGCCCAAACTGGGATCATGTTGGAATATTCATGAGCAGGAAGAGTCATGTGGTAACTCAGTCAGCCAATGTGAAGAAAGTGCTACTGAGTCTGTGCAAATAGAGTATTGAGTGAGGAGCTGGATTTCCAGTCTCAGATCTGTCTCTGTAGCTCTCTGTAAGAAGTCTTCAATTGATCTATGCTGCTGTAAAGAAGAATGTATGGTATTGTAAATATTTTGATATGAATATAAAGAAGTTATTTTGAATCAGCTAAATCAGTGGTTCTCAACCTGTGGGTCGGGACCCCATTTGGGGTCGAACGACCATTTCACAGGGGTCGCCAAACAACGCAGTCCGCCATTTTTTCCCCCCTTTTCCTTAGCTGTGCTACTCCCTTTTATTCTATTGGCTTTTGAAAGCCAATAGAAGAGACTCTCTTGAATAGACTCTAATTCTATTGGCTTTCCAAAGCCAATAGGAATTATCCAGGCTGTCTCTGGCCTGCTGAGCCCACCAAAAGTCCCATTCTGCAAACGGGGCCGCACCAGTTGAGTAGTCCTCAATTTACAACCGGTTGAGTAGTCCTCGACTTACGACCGGTTGGGGGTCGCGGCATTAAAAAGGTTGAGAACCACTGAGCTAAATGCAGTCAACTGTGAGAGCTTCCGATTCATTTTTTCACCAACAGAGAAATTAAAATTCTCTAACAGATCACAAGACTGCAAGGCCCGACAATCGTTCTAAGTGCAAAACACAATTTAGCTGCCCAGGGCCTAACTCGAAACCCCTTTACCGGGGGGGGGGGATACCAGTGGCCGTAATTCACTTTTTTTGAGGCCACTATAACATCAAATGTTAGTTTGATAAGGTCAAACGACGACCTGTTCCAACTGGGGCCTGGTTCTTGACTGCAGGGACAGGAAACCGAGCGAGGAGCATCAAAGGTGGAAAAGAGAGCTGCTTCTCTCTTCAGCTTCCAGTGGGAGCAAAGGAAAGGAAAACTTGCTTTTTTTTTCTCCCCAACAAGAAATTATAACTACAGACCCATTCTTTTTTGTGTCACAAAACACGATCAAAATAAAAGGAAAAAAAAAAGCATCACATTCCTCAACACAGAAACAAGAATTTCTGCCAGAAAAAGCATTCGCAGGTGCTCCTCGGCGCAAAACCGCTAGTGACCATTCGAAACTTACAAGGGCGGGGCCCTGAAAACAAAAAGGGGCTGTTTTTCACCCTTAACGACCGTTGCAACGTCCCCATGGGTCACGGGATTTACATCTGGACACTTGGCAACGGACCCACATTGACGACGGTCGCGGCGTCCCGCAGGTCACGTGATCCCCTGGGCCGACCTTCCCAGAAGCAAAATCAGTGGGGAAGACAGAGAGAGAAAGAACAAAAACTTTTAGGCCGGGACGGTTAGTGTGGCCAGGCTGGGTGGTCTTACCTCTTTCACCTTCAGGGGTCTCCCGCTGAGGCTGTGCTTGTTCAGCACCTCCACCGCTTTCTTCATGCTCTCTTCCATCTTGAACTCCACCACCCTGCGGGCAAAAACGTAAGGCGAGGAGGGGTGAATCTCCCAGGCTAGCTGGCCCGGTTCCAGCCCTGTTCGGGGAAGGAGGGAAGGGGGGGGGGTCATTGCTACTTACGCGCAGCCCTGACGATGCCGAAGTGGAGAACCGGGACAGGTAGATGCAAAACACAAAGAAGGGGGGAAAGGGGACAGGAAAAACAACGGCGGTCAGTCCAGAGTCCAGCGCAGGACGCCCTTCAGCTATCCCGCTGGATCTCGAGAGGTCAAGAGACTTAAAAAAGGGGCGCTCCTTCAGGGTCGTGGCTGCAGGGTCCAGGTTGCCCTCCCAGCAACAGTACAACTGTTGTTCACCTGAGCGCCAGAAGCTAAGGCTACGTGGCCAAGGGGGGGCAGAGGGGACGGGGGGGGACGCAGAAGCCACGATGGGCAGGACAGACGGCAGTTCCTCCCTCTCGACTCTGCGAGCATTTACGTGCCTCCAGGCCGGCCAACGGCCCCTACCCACTCGCCTCCACAAAGCGGCCTTTGGGGAAAGGCGCGACAGGAGCCTCCCTCTCTGCGCTGACCAGGCCCCCACAAACAGCGACACGTTCGCTCCGAACATTTAAGACACAGACGGCCAGAGAGCTCTGACATTTAGGCAACCTCGCTTCCACACCCGAGGTCGGCCACAAGAACCACACGGACACATTTAGGCTAGAAAGGTGGGACATTTGGGATGATGCCGGTGAGGATCCATGCTTAAATCAGACAGCCAAACACCAAGGAGCACGGCGGCGGCAGCAGCAGCAATAGGTGCCGCTGGGTCTAGCAGACCCCCCCCCTTCCACCTCCCTCCCGCCGCCACCCGCCCGCCCGCCCGCAAGCAGCTCTGGGCCACTGCCAACGAGAGAACCACGCTACCACATACACGCCGTTCCTCGCCGCCCCAACCGCGTGGGGCTCCACAACCACCATCACACACATTTGTCACGTAGTTTAAAAATCCACGGAAGGAAGAAATTGCTCTCGGAGACTTACCCTTGACTTTCCTTCAGCGTCCATTAAGAGCTCCACGTATGTTACCTCACCAACTACAAATGAGATTCCGGGCGGTACATAGACCAGGGGAAAAAGCCAAGAAAACAAGGGGGATTTAGAACAGTCGTCAGCAACCTTGTTTGGAGCCTCTGCCTTGTTAGAAAGCCCAGGGAAAACGCCTCCGCTGGCTATGCCGCCGCGACTCGGCGTTACCGGCGTGCAGCATATTGGCGCCACCCGAGCCCTTGGCCCTTCCCTTCCCGTTTGATACGCCAATCCGTGCCACCCAAGGGGGAGCAGCCACGGGAAAAAGTTTGGTTTTGAGCCTGATCAACAGGAGGACTGTTTCAAGATGGACAGTATTTAGTATTTATTTGTTATGTATACATAGGGGTGTGGGTCTGTAGCAGGGGTAGGCAACCGTGGCTCTTTTATGACTGGTGGACTTCAACTCCCAGAATTCCTGAGCCAGCCATGCTGAGTGGAAAGGGAGAGGTTTCCAAGCTGAGCCATGCTGGCTCAGGAATTCTGGGAGTTGAAGTCCACGAGTCATGAAAGAGCCAAGGTTGCCTACCCCTGGTCTAATCTAACTAAACATTGTTATGCATGTATACCATCTGAATGGGGTGAGGAACTTTGGCCCTTTTATGACTGGTGGACTTCAACTCCCAGAATTCCTGAGCCAGCCATGCTGAGGGGAAGGGAGGTTTCCAAGCTGAGCCAGGCTGGCTCAGGAATTCTGGGAGTTGAAGTTCGTGAGTCATGAAGGGGCCATAGTTCCCCCATGCTGGCTGAGGAATTCTGGGAGTTGAAGTCCACCAGTCATAAAAGAGCCAAGGTGGCCTACCCCTGGACTCTATACATACGTTGTACATAGTACGTTTAGGTGTGTGTCATGTATGTGTTTCTTTGAGAGCAGGCAACTATAGTTCATTTTCGATGTGTGCCGTTGTGCCCACAGTAAAAAAAACGACAATAAACGTTATCTTATCTTATCTTATCTTATTCTCCTTTCTAATCTACAGGGCTTCACAATTCCAGGGGGACTTAACGAGAGTTTGTTTCGTGACCGTTCCAAGTTACAACGGCACAGGCGAAAAAAGCGACGTAGGGCCGTTTTTTTCCACTTAACGACCGTCGCTGATCAAAATTCGGATGCTCGGCAACGGACTCGTATTTCGGCCGCCGTGTCCCAGGGGGTCACGCGATCCCATTTTGCAACGGCAACCGGGGGGGAGGGAAGCTAGATTCGCTTAACGGCCCCGTCACAGAGCAGAAACAGCTTCTGGGAGGAGAAGGGAAACGTCTTTGAAGGAAAAACAAAGAAGTCCAGTTGCCTCTTGGTTTTTTGTTTTTTTTTTTTTTAAAAAAAAGGCACCTTTGGGAGCCAACCCCGTCACTAACTTAACAGGCGCGGCGGTTCACTGAATAATTTTGGCAGGATCGTAAAATGGGGCAAACCGTCCTTCGGCGCCTCGCTTAGCAACAGAAACGCCGGCCTCAATTGTGACCATACCCCGAGGACTGCCTGTATTTATTTGCAAATAGATTTACAGGTAGCTCTTGCGCAATGTCGGTCACTGGCACTGTACGCTCCTAAAGCAACGTGTCGTGCAGCCCAGCATCCTATAACCGTGCCAACAGCCACAGAAGTTCCACTGGTTACCAGTGTTTCCCAAACTTGACAATTTTAAGGCATGAGGACTTCAACTGCCAGAATTCCACAGCCATTCTGGGAGTTGAAGTCCACATGCCTTAAAATTGTCAAGTTTGGGAAACACTGGGTTAAGCCAATTTCAGCCGGTCACTAGAGACATGATTACTAAGCCAGCTTCCTAACTTTTGAACAGGAGGGGGAAAAGAGAAAAAGAGCCAACACACAAGAGACAGTGGGGCAAAGGAATGAATTTCTGTCTGGAATTCTGCTCCAGCTCTTACTCCAAGGTCTTTCTTTTCCATTTGCATCTCAGCAAATATTTCTCCTTCACCTTCTGACAAGGAGGAGTTTAAAGTGGGAGAAGGGAGAAAATAGAACATAATAGACACCCACCCAGAAGATTGTGGGGGGGTGCTGACTAGACAGCTCTGCAATACTGGCTACCACTCCGATTGGATTAGAGTTGGTTAGAAAGATGGGCGGTGACATAAATAAACTATCGTTTGCTGAAGCACCCATCCAGAGTAATAACTACTCCCTAACCCAAAGTAGGCAACCTCGGCTCTTTTATGACTCGTGGACTTCAACTCCCAGAATTCCTGAGCCAGCATAGCTGGCTCAGGAATTCTGGGAGTTGGAGTCCACGAGTCAGACAAGAGCCAAGGTTGCCTACCCCTGACCCAGGGGATGAGAAAGAGTTTTGCAAAAGGCCAGCGAAATCGCTGCCAGTGTTTAAAGGTGTGTGTGTGTGTGTGTGTGTGTGTGTGTGTGTGTGTGTGTGTGTGTGAGAGAGAGAGAGAGAGAGAGAGAGAGAGAGACAGAGAGAGAGAGAGACAGAGAGAGAGCACATAGCTGGTTCAGGAATTCTGGGAGTTGAAGTCCACGAGTCATAAAAGAGCCGAGGTTGCCTACCCCTGCCCTAACATAAGAAAAGCCGAATTTTCAATTTTGTAAGAAATAATCTGAACTGTGTGGGCTGCTCAAAATGCACCTTCCAGAGTGCTCTCTGGTAAAGGTGTGTTTGTGTTTTTGCGTGAACAATCAGCGCCAACCGTCTCAAGGGAGTTCAGCAATGGATATCATCTTAATTGGCGGGCTGGGAAAACGTCAAGGCACTCTGGTGTAAAGCTCCAAAGGGGAGAGGCGAAGATGCTGCACGCCTGTAACTTTGAAATGTCACCAACAAATGATCAGACTAAAATGGCCTCGCCGAGGGGGGGGGGAGGCCACGATTAAAACATTTCAAGGCAGGCATCCACACACACCCGTGAGAGATCTGAACAGACCACGACACTGAAGATTCTCCTCAGCCATATACTTACAGGCACCTCTGCAACAGGACTATTACTGCGGGCTTTAAACCTCCCCACAATTCTTGAGTGATGGAAGAGCAGTCGGGTGACCTTCAGCATTGATCTGCTGCTCCATACCTGAATCCAGGGCCCTGTGGTGCTTGTAGACAAAACCCAGATTTCTACCCATGTTTAGAGCCACAATATTGGGGGGGGGGGAGAGAATCTTGGCACTACTAGTTTTGGAACTGCCCTCAAATGACATTTAAGAGTTCAGAGGGGTTCCAAAAGAAGACTGGAAAAGCAGCTCATGGAGAGATGCCGCTTGCGCCAACCTCAGCCGCAGTCACTAACTCCGAGAACCTCAGAACCTCTAAGCTCTCTTCGGCAGAGAGAATGAAGCCCTTTCTCCATTTTACTCCTGGGAGTATCCGCAGGGGGGAGAAAAGAAAAAAAAACACCTCTGGAGTAGGAAACGATCCCTCCCGTTGGAACGTGGCATCCAGCGGGGTGGATTGTGAACTGGAGGAAGGGAAAAATCACCAATATTTCACACGCAGCGCAGGTCAAGACCTGACATGCCCCCAAAGCAACCTTCCATTCATCGTTTCATGTGAGTAAAGCCACAGCTAGGAGGAGGACTGGAAGCCCCCCCCCCTTTCTGATGAGTGAGGCTGCGCTTTCTGGTGCTATCAACATCCCCCCCCCCCCAGGGAGGGTTTATACATTTAACTGGGAATGGCTCGCACACCCCTAAGGGGGCCCTGCATGCCACTTGCTTGCCTTAGGCTCACAATTCCTGTCGGCCATCTCTCCTCCACGTTTTAAGCCACAGGTACACCTTGGCCCCCTAAGCACAATCCAAAGGCCTTGTTGTCCAGTTGTGTTTTAAGAGAGGCTCAGCCAAGATCGCAACAGGCCTCCTTTCCCCACAAAATGACCACTACAAAAATTAAATCAGGCCAGCATCGCCCGTTTGGATTTAGTGTTGCCTCCCCGTAGGTTACCTCGAGGTAAATGACCTATTGGCAACATTACGGCCTTGCCAACCCCATCCATTTTTCTAATGCTCTGCCTGAAGCAGGCTAAAGCAGGGCTTTTGACCCGACAAGCCACCGCACGCGTTCTCTTGGCAAATTTGCGAGGCCTGGCTGCAGGAGCCCATCTCTAACCCCCCCCCTTGAGCTTCCCTCTTAAAACAATCTTAGATAGTCAACCACCGAGCAAGATTTCGTCAACGAGGAAGACCGCTGCTCTCCTTCCTGGAAACTGGATCGTCGATCCAGGAAGGCTTTCAAGAGGGGCTTCCCATTGGAGGGGCCAATGTATTTAAATAAAATAAAACAGAAGCCCTCAATCCAAGTCTTTTTGACGCTCCGCCTCGGCTCTTGCAAGAGCCCGAAGGCGCTTCTGTGCTAAAACACCTGCAGATCAAAGATGTGTCCTGCCAGGGCACAGCCGCTAGCATGCAACGCCCTACGAAAAACCTTCGGTGCTCAACATGGCTACGGCTATCCAAACCGCTTCCGGCCCGTATCACGTCTGCTGGATTAAAAGGAAAAGGTCACAGGGAAGAGAGGCCGCGGTCCGGGCAGTCGCGCGGTCCCCCCCCCCAAGCCGTGTACCTTTCTCCTTGACCAGGTCCTTCAGGTACTGCCACTTGACGTCGAAGGGGATGTTGGTGATGAAGGCTCGGTATCTTTTCGAAGAAGGGCTGGGGTACGGCTCAAAGCGGCTCCCTCCACCCCGTTTCGCATTTTTCTCTTTCCTTTTCTCACTCTGGCCGGGCCAGTCGCCTTCACTGCAACACGGGAAGGAAGAGGGCCGAGTCAGACCCAGCCACCCCCAAAACCAGGTCAACGTTCACTCTGGAAGCCTAGCTGCTTTATAAACAAGGGGAATGGAGGCTAAAGCATATAAGGAAAGGCTGCTGGAATTGGGGATGTCTAGTTTAATGAAGAGAAGGACGAGGGGGGACACAATAGCAGCCTTCCAGTATCTCAGGGGCTGCCCCAAAGAAGAGGGAGTCAAGCTGTTCTCCAAAGCCCCTGAAGGCAGGACAAGAAGCAACAGATGGAGAAACTAATCAAGGAGAGAAGAAACCTAGAACTAAGGAGAAACTTCCTGACAGTGAGAACAATTAACCAGTGGAACAACCTGCCTCCAGAAGCGGTGAATGCTCCAACACTGGAAGTTTTTAAGGAGAGCCTGGACAGCCCTTTGTCTGAAATGGTCTAGGCCAGCGGTTCTCCACCTGTGGGTCGGGACTCCATTTGGGGTCGAACGACCATTTCACGGGGGTCGCCAAACAACGCAGTCCGCCATTTCCCCCCCCCTTTTCCTTAGCTGTGCTCCTCCCTTTTATTCTATTGGCTTTTGAAAGCCAATAGAAGAGACTCTCTTGAATAGAGTCTAATTCTATTGGCTTTCCAAAGCCCATAGGAATTGTCCAGGCTGTCTCTGCCCTGCTGAGCCCGCCAAAAGTCCCAGTCTGCAAACGGGGCTGCACCCGTTGAGCAGTCCTCGACTTACGACCGGTTGAGTAGTCCTCGACTTACGACCGGTTTGGGGGTCGCGGCATTAAAAAGGTTGAGAACCACTGCTGTAGGGCCTGCTCAGAGGTGTCTCACTCGCCATGCCGGCCTTTTTCTGCCCTTCCCAAACAGGCTGCTGCCATCCCCTCCCGAGGGCAAAAAAAAAAGGGGGGGGTGGAGCGTCCCGACGGGACTCCATCTCCCATCGTCCCCTGTCCAGGAGGCGGCAGAAGCGACCGGCCGAGAAAGGCGCCTCAGGCCTCCCGCCACGCCCGCGCATGCGCGCTGAGACCACGGCCGAGGCCCGTCTGCTCCCCCTCCCCCTCCCCCCCCCGCAACCATCCCAACCCGCCGCGGCCGTGCGCGCGCACCTCTTGGGCCCTCCGTCGACGATGCCGTTGCCCGCCGCGTTCGCCGCCCCTCCTGAGCCCAGGCCGCCTCCGGGAACGACTCCGGTCTCCGCCATTTTGGGGCCGCCTTCCAAACCCGCCGCGGAGACGGTGCCCGAAACGACCGCCGCCATTTCCTTCTTCTCCTCAACCGAGCTCCCGCGGCAGCTGCTACTGCGCCTGCGTCGGCGACGCCCAGCCCACCTTTTTTTTTTTTTAAAATAGCCTCATAGGCGACCAATGAGAGGGAAGCGAGGGGGTGGGGAAAAGCGACGGCGAGGAGCCACCCGCCCTTTCTCCACCCCCTCCTGCATGACGTCAGCGTTGCCGTGGTTGCCGAATAAGTAGGAACAACGGGGCGGGGCTGAGGGGGCTCCAACCCTGGCCGCTTTTACGACATGTGGACTTCAACTCCCAGAATTCCCCAGCCGGCAGGGTCGGCGCAGTATAAAAAAAAAAAAAGATCACTGGGAGGTTTTTAAGAGGCTACACCAGAGGTCTTCCAACTTGGCCCTTTGATGACTTGTGGATTTCAACTCCCAGAATCCCTTAGCCAGGCACGCTGGCTGAGGAATTCTGGGAGTTGAAGTCCACAAGTCATCAAAGGGCCAAGTTTGAAGACCCCTGGGCTAGACAGTCCCTTGTCTGAAATGGTGGAGGTTCTCTGCTCAAACAGGGGGCTGGACTAGAAGACCTCCAAGGTCCCTTCCAGCTTCTATTCCAGGGGTCCTCAACCTTGGCAACTTTAAGACTTGTGGACTTCAACTCCCAGAATTCCTCAGCCGGCTTCCACAAGTCTTAAAGTTGCCAAGGTTGAGGACCCCTGTTCTATTCTGATTCTATTCTATATTCCATTCCATATTCCATTCCATTCTATTCTGATTATATTAATTCTATTCCATGTTGACACTTTGGGAAAAATGCAAAGAAGAGCAATAAAGATGATTATGGGTCTGGAGGCTAAAACATGCAAAGAATGGTTGCAGGAATTTGCTATGTCCACCAGGACATAGCCTAGCCCAGGGGTAGGCAACCTCGGCTCTTTTATGACTCGTGGACTTCAACTCCCAGAATTCCTGAGCCAGCATGGCTCAGCTTGGAAACCTCTCCCTTTCCCCTCAGCATGGCTGGCTCAGGAATTCTGGGAGTTGAAGTCCACGAGTCATAAAAGAGCCAAGGTTGCCTACCCTTGGCCTAGCCTATCCTGGTGGCTGAGGAATTCTGGGAGTTGAGGTCCACGAGTCATAAAAGAGCCAAGGCTGCTGAGGGGGGGTTGAACTAGATGACCTCCAAGGTCCCTTCCAGGTTCCGTCTTGGGCCCACGACTCTTAAAATATCTTCATAAACGACTTAGATGAGGGAATTGAAGGGGAACTCATCACATTTGCAGAGAACACCAAACTGGCAGGAGTAGCCAACACCCCAGAAGATGGGCTTAGGATCCCAAAAGATCTTGACAGACTTGAACAATGGGCTCTATCCAACAAAATGAGTCTCAATGTGGAGAAAAGCAAAGTTTTATATTTAGGCAGGAAAAATCAAATGGACAAGTACAGATTAAGCGAGACCTGGCTTAAAAACAGCAACTGTGAGAGGGACCTTGGAGTCCTAGGGGATGATCCCTTGACTCTGAGCCAGCCATGTGCAGCAGCAGCCAAAAAAGCTAACACAATCCTGGCTTGTATAAATAGAGGCATAGAATCAAGATCATGTGAAGTATTAATATGTTATATTATAAAACCCTAGCAAGGGTCAGTGTGTCTCTTGTGTGTGTGAGAGAGTGAGTGTGTGTGTGTGTGCGTATGTATGTATGAGTGTGAGAGTGAGAGTGAAGCTTCTCGGAGCTTTTGTTCTAATCCAAATATATACACACTAAGCCAGCTTCTGGCAATGATTCCCCTCATATTACATTTTGTGTGTGTGTCTGTGTGCATATGTGTATACAGATAGATAGATAGATAGATAGATAGATAGATAGATAGATAGATAGATAGATAGATAGATAGATAGATAGATAGATAGAGATAGATAGATAGATAGATAGATAGATAGATAGATAGATAGATAGATAGATATAGATATAGATATAAATCAAGATCATGCAAAGTACTAGTACTGCTTTATAAAACTGTAGTAAGACCACACCTGGAATACTGCAGCCAATTTTGGTCACCATATCACAAAGAAAGACATTGAGAGTGTGGAAATAATTCAGAGAAGAGCAACTAAGATGATCAAAGCCTGGAGACTAAAACATATGAAGAACGGCTGCAGGACTTGGGTTTGGCTAGTCTAAAGAAAAGAAGAAATAGGGGAGACATGATAGCAATATTCCAGTATTTGAGGGGCTGCCACCATGAAGAGGGGGTTAAATTATTCTCCAAAGCACCCGAGGGCAGGATGAGAAACAATGGTTGGAAAATGACCAAAGAAAGAAGCAACCTGTAATTAAGGAGAAACTTCCTGAAAGTGAGGACAATCAACCAGTGGAACAGCTTGCCACCAGAAACGTGAGCGCTCCATCACTGGAGATTTTTAAGAAGAGATTGGACAACCATTTGTCTGAAATGGCATAGGATCTCCTGCTTGAGCAGGGGGCTGGACTAGAAGACCTCCAAGGTCCCTTCCAGCTCTATTCTATTCTATTCTATTCTATTCTATTCTATTCTATTCTATTCTATTCTATTCTATTCTATTCTATTCTATTCTATTCTAATTTTGCTCTAATTTTGCTCTATTCTATTCCTTATTCTATTCTATTCTATTCTATTCCTTATTCTATTCTATTCTAATTTTGCTCTATTCTATTCTATGGTGGCACAGTGGTTAAAATGCGACATTGCAGGCAAATTCTGCCCACTGCCAGCAGTTCGATCCTCACCAGTTCAAGGCTGACTCAGCCTTCCGTCCTTCCGAAGTCTTTAAAAGGAGGACCAAATGGTTGGGGGCAAATAGGCCTGACTGTGTAAACCACTTAGACCAGTGGTTCTCAACCTTTTTAATGGCACGACCCCGCCCCCAACCGGTCGTAAGTCGAGGACTACTCAACTGGTGCAGCCCCGTTTGCAGAATGGGACTTTTGGCGGGCTCAGCAGGGCAGAGACAGCCTGGACAATTCCTATTGGCTTTGGAAAGCCAATAGAATTAGACTCTATTCAAGAGAGTCTATTCTATTGGCTTTCAAAAGCCAATAGAATAAAAGGGAGTAGCACAGCCAAGGAAAAGGGGGAAAAAATGGCGGACTGCGTTGTTTGGCGACCCCCGTGAAATGGTCGTTCGACCCCAAATGGGGTCCCGACCCACAGGTGGAGAACCACTGACTTAGAGAGAGCTGTGAAAGCGCTGTGAAGCGGTATATACTGTAAGTCTAAATGCTGTTGCTATTCCTTCCCTTCTTCCTTCCCTTTCTCCTTTTTTCGCGCTCTTTTCTTTCTACCTTTCTTTTCCTTCCCTCTACTCTCTCCTCCCTTCCCTTCTTTTTTGCCATTTTTTCCTTCTCTCCTGCCCCCTCCGTCTCTTATTTCCCTTCTCTTTTTCTCTCGCTCTTCTTTCCCCTCCTTCCTCCCTCCCTTTTTCTTTCTCCTTTTCTTTCTTTCTTTCTCTTCCTTCCTTCCTTTCTCTGCTAAGAATTGCAAGCTAATGCTGCCCACAGCCAGCAGTTCGATCCTGACCAGCTTGAAGTTGACTCAGCCTTCCAACCCTTCTGAGGTCGGTAAAATGAGGACCCAGACTGTAAACCAGTGTAAACCATTTAGGAGCAGGCTGGAAACCACTATGGAGCTAAAAGCAGTGTTTCTCAACCTTGACCATTTTAAGGCATGTGGACTTCAACTCCCAGAATTCCACAGCCAGCGTTGCTGGCTGTGGAATTCTGGGAGTTGAAGTCCGCATGCCTTAAGATGGTCAAGGTTGAGAAAGGGAGATCCAACATAGAGGTGAGCGGAAATTTTCTGACTGGAAGAACAATTAATCAGTGGAACAGCCTGCCACCACCCCCACCCCCCCGGAGCTGTGGGCGCTACATCATTGGAGGTTTTCAAGCACAGACTGGGATGGTACAAGGTCGCTTGAGCAGGGGGTTGGACTAGAAGACCTCGAAAGCCCCTTCCAGCCCTCAGATTCTATGTTCTGGGTTGTAAGGCCCAGTCTTCGGTACTCTGCCCAGAACTGCCTCTTTTCAGACAGCTCAACAAGACCGGATCCTGTCCAAAGTCGGAGGGAAATCCTGATCAACCACATGCCGGCAGAAATGAGATGGGTCTACGAGCCCAGCCGAGGCGGTTTCAGCTCCGGCTGACCCGAACGAGCGAGTGAGACCAACCACTCTGGCTGACCAGTCAGCCCCGTCGTACGTCCACACACCATTAAGGCTACGGAGACCCCCGTGGCTGTTATTTCTGTAAGCCGGATGGCTACAGCGTTTATTTTTTATTTAAAAAAAAAAGGACACCCTCCGGTTTGCCGTCAGTTCGTTTTCTGTCGGTGTCGTTTTTGTTTGTCTCTTTCTGGGATCTCGAGATTGGGATCCACTCTCAAAAGGACAGGGTTCTCTAAGGCAGAGCAACATCACTGGGCAACGAGGAGGGGGAAAGACAAACAGCACCCCCCCCCTCCCCACCTACATAGTGCAAAAAATATAAAAGGGGCCGAGAGAGTCAGTGGTGGTGGGAGCCGTGACGGGGGGAACCGACCTTCTGGGTTTTTGCACGTGGCCCGTCCGTGTCTCTGAACAAGGCCTGCTGACCAGGCTGGACCCCCGGGCCGGAGAAGGGGGGACGGTCAAGCCCCCCTTGGGGGGGGGACCCTCTTGGCAGCCAGGGTTCTGGGAAGCAAAGCTGCCCCTGACACACGTGCACACACACACGCACAGCCCCACCGACAAGCTCCTTCCACAGTGATGTTTAGGAAGGGAGAAGGGCCCTGAACACAGCCGCTGGAAACTGAGAACAGTCATAAAATTATAATTACAACGATAATTAGGGTACTATAATATAAGATAGTTACGCGGGTCAAGGGAGAGGGGTATCCTTCTCCCCAGTGGGCCTCTGAGGACGGAGCGGGGCCGAAGGGCGCCCCTCGGCGGGCCGCGTCCCCAGGCCATTGCACACGCCCCGGGGAATCGGCTGTCTCTCGGCGGCGGGAGGGGGACGGGGGGGCTTGACCGATGACCGGGACGGCCAGCTCCCTTCCGGCTGGACCAGAGGTTTGGACAAGTCCGCCTTCTCGTCCTTTCGCCTTTTTCCTCTTCCTGCCTTCCGGCGCTTCGGAGCAGGGGAGGGAAACCACGAGGGGCGAGCCTGGCTCACACGGTGGTCTCGTCGGCTTTCTTCTTCAGCAGCTTGGCCGAGAGCAGGGAGTGAGGGGCCGGGGAGGGGTTCCTGGCGTCGGGAATCATCAGCCGGACCTTCTGGTTGGTCCTTCGCCACTCGGAATAGAGCTGGCAGTGGTAGCGGAACGACACCTGGGACGAAACAATAACAATAATAAATAACGATGACGATGATAATGATGATAATGATAATAATGAAGAAGTAGTAGTTGTTGTTGGAAGGGACTTTGGAGGTCATCTAGTCCAACCCCCTGCTCAGGCAGGAGACCCTATGCCAGTGATGGCGAACCTTTTAGAGACCCAAACTGCAACCCGAAACCCACGTATGCATCGTCGGGTGCCGAGTGGGCGTGGCCCATTGGGTGGGTGTGGCCCATTGGGTGGGTGTGGCCCATTGGGTGGGCATGGCCCATTGGGTGCGCGTGGCCCATTGGGTGGGTGTGACCCATCGGGTGGGCGTGGCCCATTGGGTGGGCGTGGCCCATTGGGTGGGCGTGACCCATTGGGTGGGCATGGCCCATTGGGTGGGAGTGGCCCATTGGGTGGGTGTGGCCCATTGGGTGGGCGTGACCCATTGGGTGGGCGTGGCCCATTGGGTGGGCGTGACCCATTGGGTGGGCGTGGCCCATTGGGTGGGCATGGCTGCAGGGGTAACGGCAGACTGGGTGGGACTAAAAAGTTCAATCTATCAATTCCAACTTTGCGAGGTCTTTTTTTATCCCACAAGAAGTTGAGATTGACCGATTGATTGAACCTTTTTTTCTTTTTTTGCACACGGCGGCAGAGGCCTAAAGCGAAAAGGTTTTATAAAACCCAGCTGAAGGCCCAGGACTGGGGCGACAGCGCGCGTGCCCACAGAGAGGGCTCTGCATGCCGCTTCTGGCACCCGTGCCATAGGTTCGCCACTACTGCCCTACACCATTTCAGACATGTGACTGTCTTGCCTCTTCTTAAAAACTTCCAGTGTTGGAGCACACAGAGTTTCTGGAGGCAGGCTATTCCACTGATTAACAGAATTACAGAGTTGGAAGGGACCTTAGAGGTCATCCAGCCCAACCCGCTGCTCAGGCAGGAAACCCTATACCATTTCTGACGAATGGCTGTTCAGTCTCTTCTTAAAAACTTCCAGTGTTGGAGCATCCACCGCTTCTGGAGCACAAGGCGAGGGAGGGGAGGAGGGAGGGAAGGGAGAGGGAGGGGGAGGGGCTTCCAATGGATCTTGCACCCACCCCCACCCCCGCCACCCCAGAGCTCCGATTCCGGCCCAGTAACTGAAACAACACAGGCAGTCCTCGACTTACGACTCACAACTCAGCCCAACATTTCCGTTGCTAAGCGAGACGGCTGCCGAGTGAGTTTTGCCTCCCGTTTTTGCGACCTTCCTTGCCACCGCTGTTAAACGAATCCATGCAGATGTTAAGCCAGTAACCTGGTTGTTAAGTGAAACCGGCTTCCCCCTCCCCCCCCGTTGACTTCACTTGCCGCAAAAGGGGATCATGTCACACACACACACACACACACACACACACACACACACACACACACACACGAACGCTGCACAACCGCCGTGTGAGCCGGTGGCCCAGCCTCTGAATTTGGATCATGGGGGGATGCCGTAAAGGTTGCTAAATGTGAAAAACGGTAAGTCACTTTTTTTCAGTGCCGCAGTAACTCTGAACGGTCACTAAACGCAAGATTGTAAGCCGAGGCCCGCCTTAACCATTGCCAATGAGGAGAATTAGCATTTGCCCTGCCCTGATTTTAGTCCCCCCAGCCCCCCCAAAAGGTTTAAAATACAATATAGTCTCACTCAAAAGACTGGTTTGTAAAGAAAGGTCTGAATTTCCCTTCCAAAAGCAGAAAGAATTGGGGAGGGGGGGGGGCAGGAGAGAGACTGAGTTTTTTATTTTGTCAAGGTAATGATTGAACAGCTGACCAGCTTATGTAATGTAAGATGTAATGATGGGAATGATCAGCAGAGTCTGTGTCCTTTTAAGAGCCAGCAGGGTCTGCGTCTTTAAGCCAGCAGGGTCTGTGTCTCTTTAAGAGCCAGCAGGGTCTGTAGTCCCTTTAAGAGCCAGCAGGGTCTGTGTCTTTTTAAGAGCCAGCAGGGTCTCTGTGTCCCTTTAAGAGCCAGCAGGGTCTGTGTCCCTTTAAGAGCCAGCAGGGTCTGTGTCTCTTTAAGAGCCTGTGTATAAAAGGGAAGGCTCCGCTGATGTGTTTTCTCTCTCTTCCGTTTCTTGTTGTAATTCTGGTGTGTTGGATCCTGCTCTATTAACACGTGTATTGTATATTGTTCCTGGTGTATGATATTATAGGTCGTGTAAGATAAACTATCATTTAATATAGACCACCATTTTACTCCTGGGTTACCTCACGCAATAAGACTATGCGCGGTCTGACATATTTATTTTTTTAATTGGAGATGTTGCCCACCTTAGCTGTCCCCCAAGCTGGAGAAAACCCCTGCTATGGCCCCACCCTTGCTGATGCCTCCAGGTTAAGGATGCTACCCTATGGCTCCCAGCTTCAATGCTGGGGTGGGGGGTCTTTTCTATTCTCTCCCATGGCCGCCTAGCTGGTCTGCTACTCCTTCAGACCAGAGTCCTTTCAGACCAGGGGTGGGGCATCTTGGCTCAGGAATTCTGGGAGTTGAAGTCCAAACCCCTGATTTAGACCCATGCAGAAAACCTTCTGCCCCTTTTAAGCATCTCGGACTAGGAGACTATTTCCCATAAAGCACAGACATCAAGCCAGGCAGATGTGTTTTGGAGGGGGGGGAGAGGGGAAGAAATTCAACAGTGGGAGAAAGGAGATGTAGGTTCAGCTCATCCTGTCCCGGAAGAGCAAGGGCGGTCCAGTCGGGGTCAAAGGAGCGGGACTGGACTTCCCAGTGGTCCACCTGGGGACGATTGTGCATTAAAAGGATGCGATCTGAAAAGGACGTGAAGGGTGAAGCTGAGTCACACGCACGGCGTTGAGAGAAATGGGGGCGGAGGCAGAAACGAGGAGAGCCGAAGCACTGATGGATTACCTTCCTTAGTTGGGTCATGGAACGTCTGCAAGGAAGCCCCCAAGCCCAGAGAGCACCCAGGACCCCCACAATCCTCCTCCCCCTCCTCTCCACAAGCCCCTTTCCCTCCCAGCACTGATGATGTTACCCAGTTGGGTCATGAAACGTCTGCAAGGAAGCCCCCAAGCCCAGAGAGCACCCAGGGCCCCCACAATCCTCCTCCCCCTCCTCTCCACAAGCCCCTTTCCCTCCCAGCTCTGATGATGTTACCCAGTTGGGTCATGAAACGTCTGCAAGGAAGCCCCCAAGCCCAGAGAGCACCCAGGGCCCCCACAATCCTCCTCCCCCTCCTCTCCACAAACCCCTTTCCCTCCCAGCACTGATGACGTTATCTAGTTGGGTCATGGAACGTCTGCAAGGAAACCCCCAAGCCCAGAGAGCACCCAGGACCCCCACAATCCTCCTCCCTCTCCCTCCATACACTGATGACGTTACCTAGTTGGGTCATGAAACGTCTGCAAGAAAACCCCCAAGCCCAGACAGCTCCCAGGGCCCCAGAGCGGGAAGGGGGCCTGGATCAGAAGCAGAGGGACACGCCTGGCATTGCAGGTCAAACGCTAAAAGTGGAGGCCCTTTCCCGAGGCGTGCAAGTGACCGTTATGGGAGCCGAGCCCACGAGCACTGACCAGTGTCCAGAGGACGTAGATGGTGAACAGGGCGATGGTCAGGGCAATGAGACCGATGGCCTCCAGGTGGCTGTTGAACTGCATGTGGTCCTGGGCGCCCCGCAGGCAGAGCCAGCCCGAGATGGCCGCCAGCGGAGTGATGAAGAGGAAGCAGGCCATGTCGCAAAACAGCGTCCGCTTCTCGTTGCGCGGGCCGGGGTGCCTGAGCCACTACAGCGGGAGGACAAAGAGAAGAGAGAACAACACCGTTGGAAGGGACCTTGGAGGTCTTCTAGTCCAACCCCCTGCTCAGGCAGGAAACCCTAGACCATTTCAGACCAATGGTTGTCCAGTCTCTTCTTAAAAAACCTCCAGTTTTGGAGCATTCGCCCCTTCTGGTGGCAAGCTGTTCCCCTGGTTAATTGTTCTCACTGTCAGGAAGTTTCTCCTTAGTTCCAGGTTGCTTCTTGATTAATGTCCATGGAGATTCTCAGCCATCCAAGCCACGGTTGTCCCAAAGGGGCTTTTTCAGAAGGCAACTGGACTCTCTTGTTTTTGCCTTCCAAGACGTTTTGCTTCTCATCCCAGAAGCCCCTTCTTCAGCTCTGACTGAAGAAGAACTTTCTCCCCCATCCAGTCAGAGCTGAAGAATCTTCGGGGAGGAGAAGCGAAAGGTCTTCCAAGAAAAACAAGAAAGTCCAGTTGCCTCCTCAAAAAAAGCATCTTTGGGATGACTCTCCTTGTTGAGTTTCCATCCATGGCTTCTCGTCCTACCTTCAGGCACCTTGGAGAACAGCTTGACTCCCTCTTCTTTGGGGCAGCCCCTGAGATACTGGAAGGCTGCTATCCTGTCCCCCCTCGTCCTTCTCTTCATTAAACTAGACAGACCCAATTCCACCAACCAGTTTTTATATGTTTTAGCCTCCAGTCCCCTAATCACCTTTGTTAACAATAATAATGATAAAGTTGGAAGGGACCTTGGAGGTCATCTAGTCCGACCCCCTGCTCAGGCAGGAAACCCTATACCATTTCGGACAAATGGCTGTCCAGTCTCTTCTTAAAAACTTCCAGTGTGGGAGCATTCACCGCTTCTGGAGGCAGGTTGTTCCACTGGTTAATTGTTCTCACGGTCAGGAAGTTTCCCCTTAATTCTAGATTGCTTCTCTCCTTGATGAGTTTCCACCCATTGCTTCTTGTCCTGCCTTCAGGTGCTTTGGAGAATAGCTTGACTCCCTCTTCTTTGGGGCAGCCCCTGAGATACTGGAACACTGCTATCCTGTCCCCCCTCGTCCTTCTCTTCATTAAACTAGAGTCCAGCCACAGGGGTAGGCAACCTTGGCTCTTTTATGACTCATGGACTTCAACTCCCAGAATTCCTCAGCCAGCATGGGGGAACTATGGCCCCTTTATGATTCGTGGACTTCAACTCCCAGAATTCCTCAGCCAGCATGGGGGAACTATGGCCCCTCATGACTCGTGGACTTCAACTCCCAGAATTCCTGAGCCAGCATGGCTCAGCTTGGAAACCTCTCCCTTTCCCCTCAGCATGGCTGGCTCAGGAATTCTGGGAGTTGAAGTCCACCAGTCATAAAAGAGCCAAGGTTGCCTTCCCCTGGTCTAGACAAACCCAATTCCAGCAACCGTTCTTCATACTTTTAGCCTCCAGCCCCCCGATCATCTTTGCTGCTCTTCTCTACCCTCTTTACTCTTTCCAGTGTCTCCACACCTTCTTTAGAGCAGTGTTTCTCAACCTTTTTAATGCCGCGACCCCCAACCGGTCGTAAGTTGAGGACTACTCAACCGGTTGTAAGTCGAGGACTACTCAACCGGTGCAGCACCGTTTGCAGAAGGGGACTTTTGGCGGGCTCAGCAGGGCAGAGACAGCCTGGACCATTCCTATTGGCTTTGGAAAGCCAATAGAATCAGACTCTATTCAAGAGAGTCTATTCTATTGGCTTTCAAAAGCCAATAGAATAAAAGGGAGGAGCACAGCTAAGGAAAAGGGGGAAAAAATGGCGGACTGCGTTGTTTGGCGACCCCCGTGAAATGGTCGCTCGACCCCAAATGGGGTCCCGACCCACAGGTGGAGAACCGCTGCTTTAGAGGTTGAGAGGAAGGAGAACATCAGGTGGGGAAGAGCTGACATGGGGAAGGGGGGGCTGGAGGAAGGAGGCACGTGGACAAGACGTCACACAATCCTCCTGCCAGTGTCTCCTGCCCAGGGCTGCTTCCACATCCCCGAAATCCATCCGGCACCTGAAGCCCATCTCAAACCACCCAGAATAACCCTGGAAGGAGTCAGACCAAATCGTACTGGTCCACCTGACCCGTCACCGGCTCCGAAGACGGTCCCAGAGGAGCCCACCTAACGCTCTCCTTGCGTGTGACAAAGCCCCCCTCCCCTCGCCCGCTCGGCAGGAGCCCGGGAAACGCACCCACCTCCGACAGGGGCCGGGGCCGCCTTTCCACCACAAACTCCGTGTGGCACAGCTCGCAGTAACTGGTGTTGGACGAGGACAGCCACTTCTCCAGGCAGCTTTTGTGGACGGTCCCCAAGGTGCCGGTGCAGTTGCAGGGCGAGAGCAGGCCCTCCCAGCTTCCGCCTTCATGGCAGATTCGACAGATCGGACCATCGCTGGAAAGGGAGACACCAGTAAGAAAAGGACCACCAGGGCCTGGGGGAGGGGAGGGGAGGAGGAGAGGTCTCCCATCGTCCGTTTTGGGAAGAGTGCCACAACCTTGCTGGAAAAACTCTCCGCTCCCAGGGCTGGCATCCCGAAAGCCGACACTCGGGCCGTCTCTCCGAGAGAAGTCAGCCCAAATTCCAGTTGGTGCGTAATTTCTTAAGCTACTAAAATTCCTCTGTTTGTAACCTACAACTGGCCGAAACGGCGCATCCCAGGGCTGTGGGTTTTGGACTTGATGTGCTTCGGATGGGCTAGGCCAGGGGTAGGCAGCCTTGGCTCTTTTATGACTCGCGGACTTCAACTCCCAGAATTCCTGAGCCAGCCTGGCTCAGCTTGGAAACCTCTCCCTTTCCCCTCAGCGTGGCTGGCTCAGGAATTCTGGGAGTTGAAGTCCACGAGTCATGAGGGGGCCATAGTTCCCCCATGCTGGCTGAGGGATTCTGGGAGTTGAAGTCCACGAGTCGTGAAGGGGGCCATAGTTCCCCCATGCTGTCTGAGGGATTCTGGGAGTTGAAGTCCACGAGTCGTGAAGGGGGCCATAGTTCCCCCATGCTGTCTGAGGGATTCTGGGAGTTGAAGTCCACCAGTCATGAGGGGGCCATAGTTCCCCCATGCTGTCTGAGGGATTCTGGGAGTTGAAGTCCACCAGTCATGAGGGGGCCATAGTTCCAACATGCTGGCTCAGGAATTCTGGGAGATGAAGTCCACCAGTCATAAAGCGGCCTAGGCCTAGGCCAGAGACAGGTAGCCTTGGCTCTTTTATGACTGGTGGACTTCAACTCCCAGAATTCCTGAGCCAGCCATGCTGAGGAGAAAGGGAGACGTTTCCAAGCTGAGCCATGCTGGCTCAGGAATTCTGGGAGTTGAAGTCCCCAAGCCGAAAGCCGACACTCGGGCCGTCTCCGAGAGAAGCTAGCCCAAATTCCAGTTGGTGCGTAATTTATTAAGCTACTAAAATTCCTCTGTTTGTGCAAATGTAAATAAGAAACCATGGGGCAATAAGCACAAATATTTCAAAGAAGAAAGAGGGGGGAAATGTAAAGAAGAGAAGAGTACTGTTATAAACTGCTGTTAACAAGAAAGGATATATTACGTTTGTATGTGTGTAATGTTTGTTGTGTTTTGTTTTGTTGGTCTAAAACAGTGGTTCTTAACCTGGGCGATATTGCCCCCCAGGGGGCGATTTCATTTTTCAGGGGGGCGATGGAATGAAAAGGGGCGATGCGGGGGCGAAGGAACGCAAAGGGGGAAATATGGGGGCGATGGAGCGAGACGTTTTGGGGACACTTTTGAGACTTTTTCGTACAGTGAACCGCTGTATATCTGTCGTACAAAAACATCAGATCGCTCGCTATTAGTGGATTGAACTGTGTTTTCAAATGTTCCTCCAGCTAGCTTCAGTACAGAACGCCGTACATATGTGAAGACGCATCGCTTATCTTCATGCGCGTTGTGCAGCAGCCTCTACCCATACAGTGGCGCATTATTGGCCAGAATATGGGAGATATGGGAAAAAGACTGGAAATAAATGATTTGCATCGATATGTCCCGATGAACAATTTTAAAGAAAACCAAAAAAGTGTTTGCATAAATTGAAGAATTATTTCCTATGTTATGACTGAGAGGTTATGGTGGGGGAAGGGGGCGATAACAACTTCCTCATTGGCTCAAAGGGGCGATTCGTTCAAAAAGGTTAAGAACCACTGGTCTAAAATAATAATAAAAATAAAAGGGGGGGGGGAGAATTCCTCTGTTTGTAACCCTCAACTGGCCGAAATGGCACATCCCAGGGCCGTGGGTTTTGGACTCAATGTGCTTCGGATGGGCTAGGGCAGGGGTAGGCAACCTTGGCTCTTTCATGACTGGTGGACTTCAACTCCCAGAATTCCTGAGCCAGCCTGGCTCAGCTTGGAAACCTCTCCCTTTCCCCTCTGCATGGCTGGCTCAAGAATTCTGGGAGTTGAAGTTCACGAGTCACAAAAGAGCCAAGGTTGCCTACCCCTGGGCTAGCTCAAAGAAGGCATCCAGAATTATGCGACTGAAATTTGGAGAAGCTGTGTCTGTTTCACCCAACTGTCATTGCATAGGCCTCCTGCAAGTTTCCCCAGCGTGGGAAGTCTCACTGGGGAAGCCAGCGGGAAGTCAGCCCTGCCTCCCCTGCCTTTTGGCCCATCTAGGCTCCTTCTGTTTCTTTGCCCAAGTGAGGAGAGACCTGGGAAACAAGGGCTCCATAAGTTGTCCAGTGTTCAACTGACCGTGGACTGATCTGTTTGGGGTATTTAACCAGCCTTGCTGCAAGCCAGGGGTGAAGTCAAGGCACTCAATCAGTTCTTTGGGGGTCCTGCTAAGCCAATGGTTCTCAACCTGTGGGTCGGGACTCCATTTGGGGTCGAACGACCATTTCACGGGGGTCGCCAAACAACGCAGTCTGCCATTTTCCCCCCCCTTTCCTTAGCTGTGCTACTCCCTTTTATTCTATTGGCTTTTGAAAGCCAATAGAATAGACTCTCTTGAATAGAGTCTAATTCTATTGGCTTTCCAAAGCCAATAGGAATTGTCCAGGCTGTCTCTGCCCTGCTGAGCCCGCTAAAAGTCCCCTTCTGCAAACGGTGCTGCACCGGTTGAGTAGTCCTCGACTTACGACCGGTTGAGTAGTCCTCGACTTACGACCGGTTGGGGATCGCGGCATTAAAAAGGTTGAGAACCACTGTGCTAAGGCTTGATCATCCCCATTCTGGCCAGAGACTGGGCCACGCGACCGAACCCCGTGGGGCAGAGGGGATGGGGTTGACTTTGACCGAGAGGGCACTTCGTCTCCCACTGTCTAAAAGCAGAGTTTACCGCTCTTATCTCTGGCCAGGGAGAAAATCCTGACGGGGGAATAGAAACCATTTCCCATCCATGGCACTTCCAAAAGGTGTTTCTCAACCTTGGCATTTTAGGATGGGTGGACCTCCACTCCCAGAATCCCCCAGCCAGCATGGGGAATTGAACCCACATTAAGAGGGGTGGACTTCCACTCCCAGAATCCCCCAGCCAGCATGGGGAATTGAATTGAACCCACATTAAGAGGGGTGGACTTCCGCTCCCAGAATCCCCCAGGCAGCATGGGGAATTGAAACCACTTTAAGAGGGGTGGACTTCCACTCCCAGAATTCCCCAGCCAGCATGGGGAATTGAACTGAACCCACATTAAGAGGGGTGGACTTCCCCTCCCAGAATCCCCCAGCCAGCATGGGGAATTGAACCCACTTTAGGACGGGTGGACTTCCGCTCCCAGAATCCCCCAGCCAGCATGGGGAATTGAACCCACTTTAAGAGGGGTGGACTTCCACTCCCAGAATCCCCCAGCCAGCATGGGGAATTGAATTGAACCCACATTAAGAGGGGTGGACTTCCGCTCCCAGAATCCCCCAGCCAGCATGGGGAATTGAACCCACTTTAAGAGGGGTGGACTTCCGCTCCCAGAATCCCCCAGGCAGCATGGGGAATTGAAACCACTTTAAGAGGGGTGGACTTCCACTCCCAGAATTCCCCAGCCAGCATGGGGAATTGAACCCACTTTCAGAGGGGTGGACTTCCACTCCCAGAATCCCCCAGCCAGCATGGGGAATTGAACCCACTTTAGGACGGGTGGACTTCCGCTCCCAGATTCCCCCAGCCAGCATGGGGAATTGAACTGAACCCACATTAAGAGGGGTGGACTTCTGCTCCCAGATTCCCCCAGCCAGCATGGGGAATTGAACCCACTTTAGGACGGGTGGACTTCCACTCCCAGAATCCCCCAGCCAGCATGGGGAATTGAACCCACTTTAGGACGGGTGGACTTTCGCTCCCAGAATCCCCCAGGCAGCATGGGGAATTGAACCCACTTTAGGACGGGTGGACTTCCGCTCCCAGATTCCCCCAGCCAGCATGGGGAATTGAACTGAACCCACATTAAGAGGGGTGGACTTCCGCTCCCAGATTCCCCCAGCCAGCATGGGGAATTGAACCCACTTTAGGACGGGTGGACTTCCGCTCCCAGAATCCCCCAGCCAGCATGGGGAATTGAACCCACTTTAAGAGGGGTGGACTTCCACTCCCAGAATCCCCCAGCCAGCATGGGGAATTGAATTGAACCCACATTAAGAGGGGTGGACTTCCGCTCCCAGAATCCCCCAGCCAGCATGGGGAATTGAACCCACTTTAGGACGGGTGGACTTCCGCTCCCAGAATCCCCCAGCCAGCATGGGGAATTGAACCCACTTTAAGAGGGGTGGACTTCCACTCCCAGAATCCCCCAGCCAGCATGGGGAATTGAACTGAACCCACATTAAGAGGGGTGGACTTCCACTCCCAGAATTCCCCAGCCAGCCTGCTCCTCCGCAGGGCTGCTGCTCTGATGTCTGCCCCTGAGGGCTGTTTTTTTCTGAAGCCACCACCGCCAGCGTGCCAGGGCTGTGGCCGGGCCCGGGGAAGCCCCCTGGACGCCCAACGCCCGGGAGGCTCCTCTCCTTCCTGGGGGGGGGGTCTCCTTGGGAGCCAGACCCGGCCTGACTTTCTCACCCAGGCAGGTCTGCTCGCAGGCAGCCCAGGTGGGTTTCGCCCAGAAAAAAGGTCTGAAGGGCATCCTCAGCCTTGCCCGCTCCCAAGGGGGCGTTCCTTGACATTAAATGAAAAAAATGAGGACCTAGATTGTTGGGGGCAATGTAAATATATATATATATATATATATATATATATATATATATATATATATATATATATATATACACATACACATTGCTTACTGGTGTACACCGCTTAGAGCAGTGGTTCTCAACCTTTTTAATGCCGCGACCCCCCAACCAGTCATAAGTCAAGGACTACTCGACCGGTCGTAAGTCGAGGACTACTCAACGGGTGCAGCACCGTTTGCAGAATGGGACTTTGGGCGGGCTCAGCAGGGCAGAGACAGCCTGGGCAATTCCTATTGGCTTTGGAAAGCCAATAGAATGAGACTCTATTCAAGAGAGTCTCTTCTATTGGCTTCCAAAAGCCAATAGAATAAAAGGGAGTAGCACAGCTAAGGAAAAGGGGGGGAAAAAATGGCGGACTGCGTTGTTTGGCGACCCCCGTGAAATGGTCGCTCGACCCCAAATGGGGTCCCCACCCACAGGTGGAGAACCGCTGGCTTAGAGAATGCTTGCACTTAAAAGCGGTATATAAGTCTCATAAATAAATAAATAAATAAAACCGGTGGGGGGGGGAGTTGTGAGTCACGACTCACAACGGGTGCAACACAACCTGAGATTCGCTCTAACTTTGGCCCGGCACGGGAGCCGTTGCCTCCCTCCTCTTCAACGCCAACCAGCCGGTGTTCAAGGTTGCAGCCTCCGAGGTGCCCATCCAATTCCTGTCCGTTGCTCTGCTCTTTGGCTGGCCCGCAGCCACCCACCCACCCACCCACACCCACGCACACACACAGAGAGAAACACACCTTCCCCTCAGACATTAGTCAAGCCGGCACGGACCGGGCCTCACCTCTGCGGGCCCAGGGCTTTGATCACCGTGGAGAGCAGCCGTCCGTCCTTGGCGGTGACCTGGGTGACGTACTGGGGGCGCCCCAGATCCGAATCGTCCACTGACTTGGACAAGGTGGCACTGCCCGGACAGTCACACAGCGAGCCAGGGAGGTGGCAGCAATCTCCCGTTGTCATGGCAACAGTGGAGGGGGGGGCACGATGCTGGGTTCAGCACCCAGACAGCCGGTTCATGATAAGCTGCAAACGAGAGAGAGAGAGAGAGAGAGAGAGAGAGAGAGAGAGAGAGAGAGAGAGGATATGAAACGAGAAAGGCCCGTGCATGCTGTTTCGTTAATTAGATTTTAATCAATCCATCCATCCATTTTTATGCCACCTGGAGCCCAGCTGATTCTAGACTCTGTCCTTCAGCCAGAGGTCCAAAGTGGGCTGCAAGGAGGGAACTTGCCCACGCTAATTCATTTTGCTCGGCGCATCCCCTGCATCGGCTAAGGTTTTTTTTTTTTTAATTGAAAAGTTTTATACAAGTTTTAAACAATATCCCCCCCCCCCTAAAATAACCCCCTCCCTCCCCCCTCACTTCCCAGAGCTGGTTACAGGGTTACAAATAAACAAACAAATTCTAAATAAACTTATCCCACTATACAAATAATAAAATCGATAATATACTTTAACTCAGGTTTTTCTTTTTTAAAAAATTAAAAGAGAGCAACACATGCACACACGCACACACACACACACAATATATATCTGTCTACATCTCCACCATGGAGGATTCCACACAACCAAATTTCCCTCAACCAGGGATCCCTGCTACATCCAGACGTACAGTGGCTCCAACTGACCGCCTGGCGCTTGAGCGGAGTCTCTTAGAGCAGTGGTTCCCAACCTTTTTAATGCCGCGACCCCCCAACTGGTCGTAAGTCGAAGACTACTCAACCGGTCGTAAGTCGAGGACTACTCAACTGGTGCAGCCCCGTTTGCAGAAGGGGACTTTGGGCGGGCTCAGCAGGGCAGAGATAGCCTGGACAATTCCTATTGGCTTTTGAAAGCCAATAGAATTAGACTCTATTCAAGAGAGTCTATTCTATTGGCTTTCAAAAGCCAACAGAATAAAAGGGAGGAGCACAGCTAAGGAAAAGGGGGGGGGGGAAATGGCGGACTGCGTTGTTTGGTGACCCCCGTGAAATGGTCGTTCGACCCCAAATGGGGTCCCAACCCACAGGTGGAGAACCACTGTCTTAGAGACAAACAACTTCTCACAAAGAGTCATTAAGACTCTCCAGGCCTCTAGAAGGCCTACAACTAACAGGATCTACGATTCCACTTGGAAAAATTATTGCGGTGGGCGCAACAGGCAACAACTAGACCCATGCAACATCTCTATCCCAGATATCTTGGACTACCTAGCAGAGGGCCTGGATAGGGGGTTAGCACCCAACACAATTCGTAGACAGGTGGCTGCCCTATCAACCATAATACGGCAACTCTGAAACTTTAGCAGAGGAGAGTTGTTTAAAAAAACCCAAAAGAGACAAGAGCAGGTGTGTAAAAACCATCTTCGACACCCCCCCGTTAAAGTTGTGGGTGATAAAGCCGCAAAAAGGAAGAGTTTGCTTGAGCTTCTCTCCTACACCGATTACTCGATAGTCAGGGAGTCAAGCTATTCTCCAAAGCACCTGAAGGCAGGACAAGAAGCAACGGGTGGAAACTCATCAAGGAGAGAAGCAACCTGGAACTAAGGAGAAACTTCCTGACAGGGAGAACAATTAGCCAGTGGAACTCCTTGCCTCCAGAAGCGGTGAATGCTCCAACACTGAAAGTTTTTTAAGAAGAGACTGGACAGGCATTTGTCCGAAATGGTGTAGGGTTTCCTGCCTGAGCAGGGGGTTGGACTAGATGACCTCCAAGGTCCCTTCCAACTTTACTATTATTATGGATCATCGCACAGTCAGCCAGATGTTCAGACTGGATTTGGCATTTTGTCTACCTATCGAGTCCTTACCCAGGACCTGGGATAGGTAGATGTGGATGTTTGATGGTATTACAGGTATCGTCGCAGGATGGAAGTAGTTCCTAATAAGGCTGCCTTTTGCAATTGACTAATAGCGAATTTGTCAATGCCAATGGTGTTCAAGTGTTGCTCCAGTTGTTTTGGGATTGCACCTAAGGAGCCTATTACTATTGGTACTACCCTTGCTTGCTTTTGCCACAGTCTTTCTATTTCTATTTGTAGATCTTTGTATTTTGTTATCTTCTCCAGTTCTTTCTCGTCTATTCTGCTGTCTCCAGGCACTGCAACGTCCACTATCCAGACTTTTTTGTCTTTCTTATTGACAGTTGTTAAGTCTGGGGTGTTATGTTGCAGGTGCTTGTCTGTTTGAATTCTGAAGTCCCAGAGCAGTTTAATTTTATCGTTTTCTATGACTTTCTCTATTTTATGATCTCACCAGTTTTTGCTTACAGGCAAATGATATTTTTTGCAGATCTTCCAATGCACCATTGTTGCTACTTTGTCATGCCGCTGCTTGTAATTATTATTATTATTATTATTATTGTTATTATTATCTTCCTGGAGACGGAACAAAAAAGTTCTATATCTCTGGAAGAAGCAAGTCTCTTGGAGAGGAAGGTGGGGGGAAATCTGCCTCTGCCCTCTTGTTTTCCAAAATAAGGGGCTGGGTCAAAGCAACGGTAGAAGATTGACTGACACAATTTAATCCACCCGTTTTTTTTCTTCAAAAAAAAAAAAAAATGAACGTGCGACGGACTGCTTGAAGGAGCCCAGACGTCTTCCTCTGCGGAAACAGCCTTCCAAAACGGGCTTTGCTAAAGGGGTCTCTCGACCTGTAACTCTTCCTGACCTGATGCAGGAAACCCCCCCCCCCAACCATTAACCTTTGGGCCTGCCGGCTGCAGCAACGGATGGAGACCAAAGGTCCCCTCCCAGACGGTGACGGTCAGGAAGGCCTTTCCCTCTTCTGAGTGACATATGCTGTGAATGCTCCAACACTGGAAGTTTTTAAGTATTCAAAAGCCAATAGAATAAAAGGGAGTAGCACAGCTAAGGAAAAGGGGGGAAAAAATGGCGGGCTGTGTTGTTTGGCGACCCCCATGAAATGGTCGTCCGACCCCAAATGGGGTCCCAACCCACAGGTGGAGAACCACTGCTCTAGAACGTCGTGCACCCCTGATACAGTCGAAATAGTAATAGTAATAGTAGTAAAGTTGGAAGGGACCTTGGAGGTCATTTAGTCCAACCCCCTGCTCAGGCAGGAAACCCTATACCATTTTGGACAAACGGCTATCCAGTCTCTTCTTAAAAACTTCCAGTGTTGGAGCATTCACCACTTCTGGAGGCATATAAAGAACGGCTGCAGGAACTGGGAATGGCCAACCTAGAGAAAAGAAGGACCAGGGGGGACAGCATAGCGACGTTCTAGCATTTGAGGGGCTGCCCCGAAGAAGAGGGAGTCAAACTATTCTCCAAAGCACCAGAAGGCAGGACAAGAAGCAAGGGATGGAAACTGAGCAAGGAGAGAAGCAATCTGGAATTATGGAGAAACGTCCTGACAGTGAGGGCAATTAACCAGTGGAACAGCTTGCCACCAGAAGTTGTGGGCGCTCCATCACTGGAGACTGGACAGTCACTTGTCTCAAATGGGAGAGGGTCTTCTGCTTGGGCCGTGGTTTGGGGATGTCTAGTTTAACGAAGAGAAGGACGAGGGGGGACAGGATAGCAGGGTTCCAGTATCTCAGGGGCTGCCCCAAAGAAGAGGGAGTCAAGCTATTCTCCAAAGCGCCTGAAGGCAGGATAGGAAGCAACAGGTGGAAACTAACCAAAGAGAGAAGCAACCTAGAACTAAGGAGAAATTTCCTGACAGTTAGAACCATTAACCAGTGGAACAACCTGCCTCCAGAAGTTGTGGGCGCTCCATCACTGGAGACTGGACAGTCCCTTGTCTCAAATGGGAGAGGGTCTTCTGCTTGGGCCGTGGTTTGGACTAGACAGAGAGTTCCCCAACCTTTCCAGGTTGGCAGCCCAGGGCAGGGGCAGGCAGGAAGAGGGGATGGTTTTGGGGGGGCGCACGTATGCACGAGACCCCTTGCTCACGCGAGTGGAGCCGCAAGCCCCGCCACGCTTGTATGAGTGAGCTCCCGAGCACGTGACACTTGTGTGAGGGGGGCTGTGTGCACACTGGCTGGCCAGCCACTCCTGCGGCCCATTTGCGAATAGGCCATGAACCAGTCACGGCCCACCGGACTAGAAGACCTCCAAGATCCCTTCCAGCCCTATTCTGATTGGCCAATCGATCAACTGAGCCCCTGGGGTGAGTCCACACAGCCCCCCGTTTATCCCACGGGAATCCACTCCTGGCGGGGGACGAGGGAGAGCAGCCCACTCAGAGTCCCATGGCAGCCGAAAGGCAGAACGGTGGAAGTGGCCAAACGAAGTGACTGCCGCGGTGGGCTTCCCGGCCCCGGGTGACCCCAAAACGGCTTCCGGCTGATGGTGAAAGAGAGCCGCGGCCGAGATTCAGATGGCCTTTGATTTTGTCCAGAGAGTAAACAGGGGGACAAGAAGGTGGGACACAGGTGTGGCTGAAGGAAACGCCTCCCTGTTTAACAGTCAAGCGACCAGCGCAGCTCCCAGAAAAAGAACAATTTAACTCCCACACTCATACACACACACACACACACACACACACTTTCTCACACAAGAGACACACTGACCCTTACTGGCTACATCTGGCACGGAAAGGCCAGACAGGGGTTTGGTCTTAGAAACTGAGCTGTCAGAAGATGGGGGGGGGGGGAATCAGAAACCTGCCAACGCCAACATCCCGAGGCGGTTCATGGGGCCTTCAAATTCTAACACAGCACCGTGGAGATGCGGGAAACGGCCCTGCTTTATTTATTTTATTTATTTATGAGACTTATATACCGCTTTAAGTGCAAGCACTCTCTAAGCAGTGTACACCAGTAAGCAATGTATGTATATATGTGTGTGTGTGTGTATATATATATATATATATATATATATATATATATATATATATATATATGCGTTTAAGAAAATTAAAAACGTGAACCCTGGGAATGTTCATAATGAGAAATAAAATGATCACCAGGGTAATAAAACTATAAAATTTATTAAAAAGCGCCTAGCTTTCGCCGTCACCTGCCGGCATCCTCAGGGCTAGTGCGCCAGGGAGTGAGAGAGTCACTTTTATAGGAGTAGTGAAGTCTGCGCACGACTCCTCGACCTCGTCATCGGGCCTAAATAGGGTGACTGCGCACGATTGGTCTGTTCCTTTCTATTCATTTCAACTGCACGTTGAAAGGAGGATGAACGTGCAGTTGAAATGAATAGAAAGGAACAGACCAATCGTGCGCAGTCACCCTATTTAGGCCCGATGACGAGGTCAAGGAGTCGTGCGCAGACTTCACTGCACCTATAAAAGTGACTCTCTCACTCCCTGGCGCACTAGCCCTGAGGATGCCGGCAGGTGACGGCGAAAGCTAGGCGCTTTTTAATAAATTTTATAGTTTTATTACCCTGGTGATCATTTTATTTCCTATCATATATATATATATATATATATATATATATATATATATATATATATATATTGTCCAAATAATAATGATCACCAAGAGAATATCTATCAAAAATAGAATTTAATCCACCGAGCTTTCGTCAAATACACTTGACATCGTCAGGTTTAAAAGGCAAACGCCAGGGGGGAGTCTTATATACAGTTGTTTAATGCCTGTTTAAACAACTGTATATAAGACTCCCCCCCCCGCGCGACGTATTTGACGAAAGCTCGGTGGATTAAATTCTATTTTTGATAGATATTCTCTTGGTGATCATTATTATTTGGACAATATGAATATTCCCAAGAGTCGCATTTTTGTTTTTATTTCTAATATATATATATATATATATATATATATATATATATTATATATATAATATTATACCTTGCCCCCAACAATCTGGGTCCTCATTTTACCTACCCCGGAAGGATGGAAGGCTGAGTCAACCTTGAGCCGGTGAGATTTGAACTGCTCACCTGCTGAACACAGTCAGATAATATGAACAGAGGAAGAGAAAAGGTGCGTGTTGTGCCCATGCTGGGGAAGCCAAGTTAAACAGCTAGTGTGTGTGTGTGTGTGTGTGCCTTCGCGTCCCTGTGGGGTCCTAACAACTGCCTGGGCAAGTCCCCGTAGTTTTCTTGGCAAGGTTTCCAAAGTGGCTGGCCTCTGCCTCTCTCCCTCCCAGGGATGAGAGAAAGCGACTGGGCCGAGGGCAGCCAGCTGGCCGTGTGCCCAAGGCAGGACTAGAACTCAGGGCCCCAGGGTTCACAGCCTGGGACTTTGAAGTGTCAGTTACTCCAAGCTAGCTGTCAAAAATTAAAGAAAGCAGCTGTTATCAAGGCTGGAAATGAACACAGAGCAAAAAGAGAGTTTTCCACACTCCAAAACTCAGAAGGGGACATGCAAGCAATCCCCTAGAACAGGGGTTGGCCACCTGAAATCTTGTAAGACTCGTGGACTTCAACTCCCAGAATTCCTGAGCCAGCCATGCTGAGGGGAAAGGGAGAGGTTTCCAAGCTGAGCCAGGCTGGCTCAGGAATTCTGGGAGTTGAAGTCCACAAGTCATAAAAGAGCCAAGGTTGCCTACCTCTGGCCTAGGCCTAGGCTGCTTCATGACTCGTGGACTTCAACTCCCAGAATTCCTGAGCCAGCCATGCTGAGGGGAAAGGGAGAGGTTTCCAACTGAGCCATGTTGGCTCAGGAATTCTGGGAGTTGAAGTCCACGAGCCATGAGGGGGCCATAGTTCCCCCATGCTGGCTGAGGAATTCTGGGAGTTGAAGTCCACGAGCCATGAGGGGGCCATAGTTCCCCCATGCTGGCTGAGGAATTCTGGGAGTTGAAGTCCACGAGCCATGAGGGGGCCATAGTTCCCCCATGCTGGCTGAGGAATTCTGGGAGTTGAAGTCCATGCACTTTAAGAGCTGCCCCTGTTGAGAAACACAGGGAGAAACGAGGCTGGCCCAGCAAGACTCTCCTTATGTGCCTGCCAAGTTGTCATCATGAACACAACAGAGGAACAGTGTGGCAGGAAACGAGTCCTGCACAACTTCCTGAAGAGCAAACCAGAGGAGTTGCTCTTTTGTCTTAAGGCTCTCCTAGGCTGCCAGGCCTTAAAGCCAATCCAGTCAAGTACGGCTCCTCTCTTATATTTCTAAAAACAACAACAATAAAGTTGGAAGGGACCCTGGAGGTCATCGAGTCAAACCCCCTGCTCAGGCAGGAAACCCTATACCATTTCGGACAAAGGGCTGTCCAGTCTCTTCTTAAAAACTTCCAGTGTTGGAGCATTCACCACTTCTGGAGGCAGGTGGTTCCACTGGTTAATTGTTTTCCCTGTCAGGAAGTTTCTCCTTAGTTCCAGGTTGCTTCTCTCCTTGATTAGTTTCCATCCATTGCTTCTTGTCTTGCCTTCAGGCACTTTGGAGAATAAGTTGACCCTCTAATCTTTGAAACAGCCCTTGAAATGTTGGAAGACTGCTGTCATGTCCCCCCTCGTCCTTCTCTTCATTAAACTAAACATCCACAATTTCAGCAACCGTTCCTCATGTGCTTTAGCCTCCAGTCCCCTGATCCTCTTTGTTGCTCTTCTCTGCACTCTCAACATCTTTTTTACATCATGGTGACCAAAACTGGATGCAGGTTGTTCCACTGGTTAATGGTTCTCACTGTCAGGAAGTTTCTCCTTAGTTCTAGGTTGCTTCTCTCCTTGGTTAGTTTCCATCTGTTGTTTCTTGTCCTGCCTTCAGGTTCTTTGGAGGATAGCTTGACTCCCTCTTCTTTGGGGCAGCCCCTGAGATACTGGAACACTGCTATCATGTCCCCCCTTCTCCTTCTCTTCATTAGACTGGACATACCCAATTCCAACAACCGTTCTTTGTATATTTTAGCCTCCAGTCCCCTATTAAACCAACATATATAGTTACCCATCGACCAGAAAGCCCTGAGGAGTGATGAGTGGAGCTAGGGTCACAATTTAAAAGAAGGGTCTCCAACCATGACAACTTTTAAGACCTGTGGACTTCCAACTGCCAGAATTCCCCAATCAGAACGGTTGGCTAGAGAATTCTGGGAGTTGAAGGCCAAAAAAAAAAAAATGCTGGCTGGGGAATTCTGGGAGTTGACGTGCACAAGTCTGGAAGTTACCAATTGTGGGAAAACCCTGATTTACATCCATCCATAAGACTAGCCCCATCTGCCAATCATCCCAGGCCATACTATTGATCCTTTGACCCCGGGGCCAAATCAACCCAGCCTTCCGGTAAGCCAGGAAGGTCCAGCCTGTCCCATAAGCCACAGCAGAGAAAGCACCCTGGCCATGCCCATCCTGGGGGACACAGCCACACTCCCTCCCTCCCCCCCAGCCGCCTGCGTAGAAGAGGAGAGAAGAGGAGAGGAGGTGGCCCCACAACAAACTCAAGGCCACCCCAACAGAGCGCACTGCCAATACAGGCAGTCCTCTGACTTACGACGGTTCCTTTAGCGACTGTTCAAAGTTACAGCACTAAAAAAAGTGACTTACGGTCGTTTTTCACACTTACGACCGTTACAGCATCCCTGTGGTCAGGTGATCCAAATTCAGATGCTTAGCCACCGTCTTGTCTTTATGACGGTTGCGGTGTCCTGGGGCATGTGTGTGTGTGTGTGTGTGTGTCATGTGATCCCCTTTTTGCGACAAAGTTCAAGAGGGGAAGCCAGATTGACTGAGCAAGCCTGTCCCCAACCGAAGCAACGCAGAGATTCGCTGAACGACTAGCGGCCAGAAAGGTCGTACCCGGGGGGAGGGAGGGGGGGGCAAAGCTCCCTGTTCAGTTTAATTCGGGAATGGGGATGGAATAGAGCTGGGAGAGACCCCCGGAGGTCTTCTAGTCCAGCCCCCCTGCTCGAGCAGGAGAACCTATCCCCGTCGCAGACGAGCGGCTGTCCGCTCCCTCCTTGATTTCTGGCTCCGTCGTAAGGCGAGGACTACCTGCAGCGGCCATTGACAGGTGACCGAGGCATGGGGGGGTTCTCCCCCCCCCCACACAGAGGACCTAGAAAGGGTGCATAAAATGTAAACCCCCCCCCTCCCCCCTCCTCCTCCCAGGGCTGGAATCGGCCCAGAAGGGGGAGGGGGAAGAGTGAAGTCCAGGGAAAGGAGACCACCAGGAAACTCCAGGGCTGCCGGGAGATGGGGAAGGGGCTTCCCTCACACCCCCCCCACCCTAATGCTGCGAGGGCTCCCCGGAGGCGGGGGGGGCCGAGACCCCCCTGGAAGGGACCCCCCCACACACCATTCCCCCCCCCCAGGCTCACCCCAGGCCGGCGGCAGAGACGGCGTCCGTCCTTCGGGCTCCGCTGCCGCAGCGCCCGCCGAACCGGCCAGGCCTCCTCCTCCTCCTCCTCCATCGGCTCCGGGCCTCCCTGCTGCTGTCACTCAAGCCGGCCTCGCCCCGCCCCTTCTCACCTGCGCCCCGCCCCTTCCGCCGCCGGGACGCTCCTCAGCGTCGAGGTCCGGCCCGACCCATCTCCTCCGGCCGGCGCTGAGGGGGCGCGGGAGGGAGGCCGCTCGCCCGCCCGCCGCCTCCGCCGCCGCCGCCGGCGCTTCTGTCAGCCGCCTCGCCCGACCTGCGCACCTGACGGGGGAGCCGGGCCCCGCCCCTTTTCCCCCGCGCCCCTCCCACCCGCGCGCGACCAACCCGCTTCCAGAGCCGTCCTAGGAGAAGAGCCAATCGGCGGCGGCGTCAGGGCGAAGAAGCGCCCGCCTCTGAGAAGGGAGGGAGGGGGGGTAAAAAAAGAGAGGAAGTTCGCGCATGCGCATCTCTCACCGTGTTTTTTTATTTTTTCCCCTTTCCCACTCCGGCTCGGCTTTTCCGCGACTGGCGGGGAGAGGGAGGACCGGGGAAGCCACGCCCCCTTCCGTGCTGCTCGTTCTTCCTCTGGCTGGGGGATTCTGGGAGTTGAAGTCCAGGCGTCTTAAAACTGGGGGTGGACAAACAAAGCCCTGGACGGCAAAGTCTTCCAGTATTTGAGGAGCGGCCCCAAAGAGGAGGTCAAGCTATTTCCCAGAAGGCAAGGCGAGAAACAACGGATGGAAACGCATCCAGGAGAGAAGCAACCTGGGATTAAGGGAGAAACTTCCTGCCCAGGGAGGACAATTAGCCAGCGGGACGGCTTGTCACCTGAAGTTGTGGGCGCTCCATCACTGCAGGCTTTCAAGAAGAGACGAAATGACCATTTGCCTGGGATGCTCGGCCAAGCACGTGGTACCCGTGTTGTACTTTGATAATAAAGGTTGATTTGGATTTGGATTTGGATTGCGATGCGATAAGGTCTCCTGCTAGAGCAGGGGGTTGGACTACAAGACCTCTAAGGCCCCTTCCACAGCTCTATTCTGATGGAAAGCTGAAAACTCATTCTAAGGTGGGAAACACACCCCTGGAATATTCAGCTAGTCATCATTAACAAGATCATGCCAGGGACATTATGGGAGGGTATGAAATGTTACACCAGTGGTTCTCAATCTTTTTAATGCCGTGACACCCAACCGGTTGTAAGTCAAGGACTACTCAATTGGTCGTAAGTCGAGGACTACTCAACGGGTGCAGCACCGTTTGCAGACTGGGACTTTTGGCGGGCTCAGCAGGGCAGAGACAGCCTGGACAATTCCTATTGGCTTTTGAAAGCCAAGAGAATTAGACTCTATTCAAGAGAGTCTCTTCTATTGGCTTTCAAAAGCCAATAGAATAAAAGGGAGGAGCACAGCTAAGGAAAAGGGGGGGAAAATGGCAGACTGCGTTGTTTGGTGACCCCCGTGAAATGGCCGTTCGACCCCAAATGGGGTCCCGACCCACAGGTGGAGAACCACTGTGTTACACGGGCCATATAGACAGGGTGTCCTTGACTTAGGACCACAACAGCCCAACCTGTCTCTTGCTAAATGAGACTTGTGTGAGTTTTGCCCTATTTTGAAGACCTTTCTTGTGAATCCCTGCGGTCGTTAAGTTAGTGATATGGTTCTTCTGGTTTCCTCACATGACCCCAGGACACTGCAACTGTCGTAAGTATGAGTCAGTTGCTGAGCGGCTGGATTTGGCTCACGTGACCACGAAGATGCAAGGGTCTTAAGCGCGAAAAATGGCGGCCAGTCACTTTTTTCACTTCCTTTGTTAACTTTGAACGGTCACTAAATGAACTGTTGTTAAGTCAAGGACTTATAGCAGGGGTCTTCAAACTTGGCCCTTTTATGATTTGTGGACTTCAACTCCCAGACTTCCTCAGCTGAGGAATTCTGGGAGTTGAAATCCACAAGTCATAAAAGGGTCATGGTTTCCCCATGCTGGCTGAGGAATTCTGGGAATTGAAGTCCACCAGTCATAAAAGGGCCATGGTTCCCCCATGCTGGCTGAGGAATTCTGGGAGTTGAAGTCCACAAGTCATAAAAGGCACTCTGGCTGAGGAATTCTGGGAGTTGAAGTCCACCAGTCATAAAAGGGCCATGGTTCCCCCATGCTGGCTGAGGAATTCTGGGAGTTGAAGTCCACAAGTCATAAAAGGCACGCTGTTACTGGCCATGTTCACTAGATGCTTGATGCTTCAAATCATGCTAGCCAATGAAAGAATGCTTTCCAAAGATTTTTCACCTTTTTAAGGGTCTTCTGGCCTTGCACCTGTGGAAGACCCATCTTATTACTCACGCATAAATAAAAAGATATTAATCTACTTTTCCAGCTCAGATCCTCTTTAGACAAAGACACATAGGGTTAAGAACCTTGCCAAAATTCACGGCTAACACAATGGAATGCTGAATGGTGAACCATTATAAGATGAGGACTATCTATACAATATTATAGATTATTACTTTTCCAGACTGCATGGGCAGAATTGTACCCAAGTGGGTACACTTCGCCCTCTTTGAGGGGCAGACCCCAATAAATCTTTAAAAAAAAATCACCCCAAAAAAGCATTTCTATTGACTCGTACTGTGGTTTGTGTAGTCCAGGAGTCTTCACACTTGGCCCTTTTATGACTTGTGGCCTTCAACTCCCAGAATTCTTCAGCCAGCAAAGCAAAGCTGGCTGAGGAATTCTGGGAGTTGAAGTCCACAAGTCATAAAAGGGCCATGTTTGAAAACTCTTGGTCTAGTCTGAGGCATGAACAATGAAGCAACGTAAGAAATAGAATAGATAGAATCAAGATCACGTGAAGTATTAATGCCACTCTTCAATGCCTTGGTAAGGCCACACTTGGAATACTGCATCCAGTTTTGGTCACCACGATGTAAAAAAGATGTTGAGACTCCTGGAGGCTAAAACATATAAGGAACAATTGCTAGAATTGGGTATGTCTAGTTTAACGAAGAGAAGGACGAGGGGGAACATGATAGCAGTATTCCAATATCTCACGGGCTGCCACAAAGAAGAGGGAGTCAAGCTATTTTCCAAGGTGCCTGAAGGCAGGACGAGAAGCAACGGATGGAAACTAATCAAGGAGAGAAACAACCTAGAACTAAGGAGAAACTTCCTGACAGTGAGAACAATTAACCAGTGGAACAACCTGCCTCCAGAAGCAGTAAATGCTCCAACACTGGAAGTTTTTAAGAAGAGACTGGACAGCCATTTGTCCGAAATGGTGTAGGGTTTCCTGCCTGAGCAGGTGGTTGGACTAGATGACCTCCAAGGTCCCTTCCAACTTTACTATTACTATTATTATGGATCATCGCACAGTCAGCCAGATGTTCAGACTGGATTTGGCATTTTGTCTACCTATCGAGTCCTTACCCAGGACCTGGGATAGGCAGATGTGGATGTTTGATGGTATTACAGATATCGTCGCAGGATGGAAGCAGTTCCTAATAAGGCCGCCTTTTGCAATTGACTAATATCGAATTTGTCAATGCCAATGGTGTTCAAGTGGTGCTCCAGTTGTTTTGGGATTGCACCCAAGGAGCCTATGACTATTGGTACTACCCTTGCTTGCTTTTGCCACAGTCTTTCTATTTCTATTTGTAGGTCTTTGTATTTTGTTATTTTCTCCAGTTCTTTCTCTTCTATTCTGCTATCTCCAGGCACTGCCACGTCCACTATCCAGACTTTTTTGTCTTCTTATCGACAATTGTTAAGTCTGGGGTGTTATGTTGCAGGTGCTTGTCTGTTTGAATTCTGAAGTCCCAGAGCAGTTTAATTTTATCATTTTCTATGACTTTCTCTATTTTATGGATCCCACCAGTTTTTGCTTACAGGCAAATGATATTTTTTGCAGATCTTCCAATGCACCATTGTTGCTACTTTGTCATGCCGCTGCTTGTAATCAGTTTGTGCAATCTTCTTGCAACAGCTTACCAAGTGGTCCACTGTTTCTTCAGCTTCTTTGCATAGGCGGCACTTACTGTCTGTTGCTGTCTTCTCAATTTTGACTTTGTATTCGTTTGTTCTTAAGGCTTGGTCTTGTGCAGCCAGAATTAGTCCCTCGGTCTCTTTCTTCAATTTTCCTGCTCTTAGCCATTGCCAGGTTGTTGTTGTTGTTGTTATTATTATTATTATTATTATTATTATTATTATTATTATTATTATTATTATTATTATTATTATTATTTTGCTTCGAAAATGTCCTAATGTAAGACGTAGCAGCTCAGTCCTGGCATATTTTCAGCCTATTTTAAGATTTCCCCTGTTCAAGGATCTCATCTGTACAAACATCGCTCTGGGCAGAAATTCAGTTTAAAATGATCAAAGGTGCTCCTGCTTAACTGAGCATTTTAAAAAAAACAACAGCTCAGCTCCTGTAATTTTCCTGGCAATACTTGAAATGTGGCTTTCCTCTGGTTCCCTGGAGGTTTGTCAATACGTTAGTTCTGTCGATTTCTGGGGTTCTCTTGGGGCGCCACAATGAAAAACCAAACCCCTGACTCCTCTGAAGATCTGTGTGTCTGGGCAAGCCACAATCTGTCTTTTGTAAATTGCAAAAGGACGATTTTCTGCCTTTCAAAAAATAAAAAACCTGGAGCCTGGTGCAAACACATCACACCGTCCAACCATTTTCGCTTGTGAGTTTTAAGCACCTCTCACTTTGCCAAAGCCCTCAAAAAAGGAGTTTTAAAGCAATTCTGGAATCAGTGGTCAGTTAAGCACCATAATGCATGCTTATATGTAAGATTTATAGATTGTAAGCGGCTTTTGGGCAGTGGATAATTCTTCCTTTGTAACTGGGGTTGGAAGCAACAAAGATGATCAGGGAACTGGAGGCTAAGGCATATAAGGAAAGGCTGCTGGAATTGGGATGTCTAGTTTAATGAAGAGAAGGACAAGGGGGGACATGATAGCAGTCTTCCAATATCTCAGGGGCTGCCCCAAAGAAGATGCAGTCAAGCTATTCTCCAAAGCACCTGAAGGCAGGACAAGAAGCAACGGATGGAAACTAACCAAAGAGAGAAGCAACCTAGAACTAAGGAGAAACTTCCTGACAGCTAGAACAATTAACCAGTGGAACAACCTGCCTCCAGAAGCGGCGAATGCTCCAACGCTGGAAGTTTTTAAGAAGAGATTGGACAGCCATTTGTCCGAAATGATGTAGGGTTTCCTGCCTGAGCAGGGGGTTGGACTCAATGACCTCCAAGGTCCCTTCCAACTTTATTATTATTATTATGGATCAT